TCTCAAGGATCCGTGAACGACTGATCCGTGATTCACATATGAATTCTCAGATGTTGAGCCGTTCTCGCAGGCAAAGTGCCACAACCCAGGCCCGATAAAGAGCAGCCTCGTCGACAACATGTTCTCCTGGAACGTCCAGCCCCTAGTTTCCCATACTGCCCGCTTCAAGTCATTGACCAGTGACGAAGAGTTCCAAATGGGCTTCCGATCATCCGAAGAAGGGAAGAGCGTGTAGGTCCCGCGAACGCTCTCGCGTCGTTTCGATTGAAAAGGCAAGTCGAGACCTGGTGCCCTTTCACCAAGGTAACCCTGCAAACAGGACGCAGACGCCAACGGACAAATAGTCAGAGTCGAGCAATAGTACACACGACCCATGGTCAAGCTTTCCGAATTCCAGTCTTCTATATCTCCTTGAATAATGCACAGGGCATCCACCCAAAGATATCGTAGACCGAGAGCTCTACAGGTGATGGCGGTGTCTCTCACAACCGGACTCATCAAGTCGATTGGTATACCCTCAAGGTGCTCTGATAAGTTCTTTCTGGTGGTCTTCAACTGCTCAGCTGCATCCTCTCTAGATCCCCAGCAGTAACTGAGTGTCGCATATTCAACTCCGCGAAGGTCTGCCGCATTTTCTTCGTGCAGGATATCCGAAGTTACAAGGCGCGGGACGTCTAGATCGGTGCTGCCAACGTCTATGAGCCTTGTTGGAATGAAGGCTGTGTCCTCCTTGACATGATCACAATCGTTCTGACACCTTTTGAGCTCGTACTTTATCCAGTCTACATTGGCGGGATCAAGCAACCGGGGACGTCGCTTGTCGTCGACTCGCAACCAATCTGTGACATTGTCTAGCGCGGATGGGAATGTAAGCTCAGGCAACTGCAAACTACTCGAACTATGTCAGAGATATCGAAACTCACCGTCGTCGGATTCGATGTTGAAGGTTATGGCCGCAATAAACTCCTGCTCAGGGTGTTTGTACACTTCACATCGCCAAAACACAAGACCTTCCTCGTTCGGTTTCGAGCCGAATACATCTCTGTCAGCGCCCCAAACGTATCCGCCATTAATGTAGACATCTCCTCTATAGTCTATCCCACGTTTGATGATGTGTTCTCGGATGAATGTGCACAGGTGGCAGCCGTTGGTTGAAGACTCCGCCAGCACTGGCAATGAAGGCAGCGAGTCTCTCCATTGGCAAGGCGATCCCAACATGATAAGTTCACCTTCGCCTTCAGCTTTGTGTCTCAAAGTTACAGCAGAGTCCGAAGAAGCAGACTCTTCCTCAATGAAGTCATCGATGCTATCATCCATCAGCACGGGGAGACATCTTTCGCACAGAGCTGGACTTTCGAGCGCCCCAAAAGTGACAGGCGACGAAGGCGACATTGATTCTTGAGTTGTGAGAGTATCGTCGCTGGTAGAAAGCTTTTTGAGGTACGCATGAGAGTCAGAGATCGTGTTTATCACTGTAGTAAGGACCATGTGGAAGTCATGACGAGGTCGTCGTCTTCGTCGTTGCCTAATGCTTGAATGAGTGATTTGTTACAAAGCGGGGGAGAATCCCTGCTCCAGCTCTGACTACGGGATTTCTTCATTGTTCGATGCATGATCGGCACATGGTACCTAGACTGAGACTATTTCAGCACGCTCATATGCCTGTTCTATCAACTGCTAAATAGGGTCAACACATCCTTCTCCAGCCTTTCTTTAGTCCTGCTCTATTGCGATTCATTCGCACTTAGCCAGATAGAATGGAAGTAAAATTAACTCATTGGTAATTTATTATTGCCCGTCGAAAAAGTATGCAATTCATTGACGCTGTATAGAAGTCGATGGCATATAGGTTCATTGAAGCCAGTCATACTTTCCTGTACCGAGACGAAATTTTACCACACTTAGATCAAAGCAATCGTATGTTAAAGCAAGTATGCGTTACTAATATTGCTGCAAGACCTACTCAGAAATGTTGCAAGCTTTCTCTATCACTTGCTTGATAGACTTGCCCTTGAAGCCAGCCTCTGAAGTTGTGCTGGCTTTCTGCAGAAGATGCATTTCAGTCGGAATAAACTCCCAGGAAAGATGCGCGACGTAAGACCCATTTCGCATTTCCTGTCATCACTCTCCTCCCTCCTCTGGCTTCTGGCCGTAGACCACGTTACTTCGAAGTAGTTAGCATCGAGCTGGTCTTCTCCCAGGTCTCATCAGCCATCAAACTTACTAGTACAGCCAGGCATGAATCTTGGGATCTTTCAAATCCTTCCGAACACCAGCCAGCAAGACAAGGACCTCCTCCTTCGTCCATCCAAGAGCTCCGCAAAGAAGGCGCAGGGAGAAGCCTTCAAGGCCGTCCAATAGCTGAATCAACTCCAGCATCCCAATGTCTTTGAGATGAGGGTCCTTGGCCCATGGGCCAGCAGGGATCTTGAATGGTTGGTGGTGAATATTGACAAAACCGGTATTCTCACGCACAATACCTTCCAGCCTGGGTCCGATTTGCCCATCTCGGCCAAAGATTTTGCAGGCGTCCATGAAGAGGTCGACCCATCGCAGGAGCTCGGTGCCCTCGATTGTACCATCGTCGGAATAGATCATGAAACTCCAGTCTTGGAACTCGGCCCAACCGCCAGGGTTCAAGTTGCTGCCGAATACTTAGAATAGCTCTAGCTTTAAGAAGCTAGGGGTATAGAGGTGGCTTACTCATAGACGCGCTTCACGTACTTTGGCCAGTCCGCGATGGACCCGCACATGTAACGGCTGAAAATGAAGTCATACTTATTTCCAAGCCACTCGCTTTCAACGTCATCAATCTCGAATCTGACATTCGGCGGTACCCTTTACTTGGAGTTAGTACGTTGAGAGCCTCATTCACCGATGAGATTTACCAAGCTGGCTGAATGGCGCTGAGATCGTTCCCGAGGATCTACTTTTGTGTCAGCAAGTGCTTATTATGGGCATGGATGCCTGGCTAGTATCAAATGACATATATACCTCCGCATTGGGATACTTGTCACCCATTTCAATGGCCCCTGAAGTTGTCAGTCTTCTGTATAGCGACTAGGAATTTTGATGTTGTGTTACAAATGCCTGTTCCTGTGCCGACATCAAGGACCCGATGCATTTTTGTCTCATCTACCGGAGCCAAGAACAGTTTGTTTCCGACTGTCTTCGTCAATAGCGCATGGCAAAAGTCCAGTCGGTCCATCTCGCTCTGATTATCACAGCAATTAGTTTCATCTGCCAGGAGCCATCACATCGCTTTTATGGTTTACTTCATCGTTGGGCAGGATATAAGCTTGAGAGAACAGTCAGTCGGGTTCCAAGAAATACTGTGTTGGTAGTGGCATACATCCGGATCGAAACGAATGGTAACGACGGCCATGCTCGGTGGGGTAGTCAAGGACGGACGAGGATAAGGATGCGGTGTATGAGGAGCTACAGAATTAGGTCGATTCTACTATGGAGGAATGGGCCCATCTTGGGGCAAGACGTCGCACACATTCTATCGTCAATGGTAGACGCGTTGTCCTGGCAGAACTAGATGTCAGTGTATGCGCAGTGAGCAAAAACTTCGACCGTCACGCACCGATTCGCCATCATCGATTGCGATATCAGCCTCCAGGTCATTGGCTCCAGCGGGGGACAACCCAGCTGCGTCCGACGGAGTCTTGGTCTTCGGGGGAGACCTGGCCGACTGCGGAGAATGTGCCGCAGGCGATCCTGCCGGCGGCGTAGGTTTCGAGGTTGAGTCGGCCATGACGCAGGATTGCAGTTGCGCTTCCAATGACAATTAACTACGTAGTACGAGATCAGGTACAAAAATGGCGGAAACGCGAGAACAGATCAGATTCCAGCCGCTCCATGAGTCGCGCCCGGGCCCGCGGGGTGTTTTGTAGAACCCTACCACGCCCGAGGACCAGGTTACCACCCCCACAGCTCGGCAAGTTATGAAATGTTGGTGCTTTAGTTCTACGCCTTTGTGCAGTGCGTGCTGGCTCTTCTCTCGCCCGGCTCCGTCTTAGTGTGCGGCACAGCTGCATAGTGTGCATAAAAATCCAAGTCTCCTTCCCGATTAGTCTTCCTGCCGCGGTTGGTGGAGGGTATCGAGCACGCGCACGGCACACCGAGACCTCGTGCCGCTCAGCTCCTCCCGAACGTCTGGTTTCGGTACAGTCCCTCGGGCCGTTTGGTTCTTGACATAGGTTCTTGCATTACCTGGATGTCCTCAAGCCGGTCAGCCGTATCACAATGAGGTCTTCTTTCTGGTCAAGCGGCGCAACTCTCGTTTACGTGTATTGATCAATTGCTGCGTCCTGAGATGGCATTAAGGCGTGGAACCTATTGTCAAATGTGAACTCTTCCAGAGACAACACTCAACTCCGGAACCAATGGTACGATTTGGTAAACCAAGTTGCGCCAGAATATATAGTAAAGCTCCAGAGACGCATGCTCAAGGGTACCCTGCAGGTCGCTTCGGACCGGAGAACCCGAAGCTCCGGAATCGATTCCGGTGGGTAGTTAAACGAGGAATCTTTGGCTAACAAAGACGGCACTGTGGCTCCGCTAGATCTCCCACCGGGTTATTCTATTGTGCAAGCAAGACAGAATGACCGGCAGCCGCTAATGCTTTTGTGCAATACTTTACATGTGTTAACACCATAGAATCTAGAAGGGGTATTTACGCCCGATTGTCGCTATGTGATAAGTTATCTACATGAATTCAGCTAGATCGTACTAGAATATCTGGCAACTTTATCGTTGAAAACATTGGAAAATCAAGTATGTGTAGCCGATATCACGGGTGGGCTCAGGGGCGAAGACGTCTGTCTCTTGGCTATCGAAGATCTCCACCTGCCAAAGATAATGATGCGCCAAATCGGTTGGTGAAGTAAGCTGTCGTTTACTAAGGCCGGTCGAACCGTGGGGCAGGACCAGAGCTAAAATATCTGTAAGTGACTACTTAGTAAGAAGGGCCATTGATATCGAACTAGCCTACATCATTTCATCGGCAATGGCTGGAACTCATTCACCCATTGATTCCTCGGCTTGCTCAATGTGCTCTTTCCACGCCGCAAGAAATCGCCATATCCCATATCGCTGACAATACCGCTACTATCGCGGTCCCAAACCACTTTGCCTCGCAAAATGGTATAACGCGGCCAATTGTTAAACTTCATCCCTTCGAAAGGCGAGTAATCGATATCATGATGCAACATCGAGTTCTCCAAGACAAACGGCTCCATCTTTGTTGAGCCCGTCCCGCCACTGGCAGCAACTTGCTCAATCGTTGGATACCAGATCACAAAGTCGGCATCATATCCTGCGGCAATCGCGCCCTTCGTGTCTCCCAACCCGTAAAGCTTTGCCGGGTTCGTCGCCGTGACCTCGACAAACTTCTGTGGCGTCACTCTACCCGTTAACACGCCGCCCTCGAATAGCAGCGGTAGTCGTGTCTCAACGCCGGGAAGCCCGTTGGGAACCTGGTCGTACCTCATCAAGCCATCTTCCTTGCCCAATCCCGCCTTTTTGCCGTCAGGGTGATCGTATTTACTCGGCGCGTGATCTGAGCTGAAGGTCGTAAACGTCCCATTGGCAATGCCAGCCCACATGGCGTCCAAATCCATGCGGTCCTCACGTAATGGCGGACTGCAGATATGCTTCGCGCCGGAGAAGCCATCAGTGGCCGGATGAGACGGCTTCAGGGCATCGGCTGTGAGATAGAGGTAGTGGGGGCACGTCTCAGCGTGAACTGGCAGGAGCCTTGTCTGCGCGCTCCTGACGTGCGCGGTGGAGGTCTTGGAAGACATGTGGACGATGAGAATGGGGATATCAGAGAGCTCAGCAAGGGCGATAATGCGGTACGTTGCCTCATCTTCGGCAATGTTGGGCCGGCTGATGGCGTGATAGTACGGCGCAGTGAGTTTCTGCTCTGCAAGGCGTGCCGTGATCCAGGTGATCATGTCGCTGTTTTCAGCGTGCACCATGGTTGTCATGCCTAGGTTCCTCGTAGCCATCATGACATCTAGGATTTCGCCGTCTTTGAGCTGCAAGGGCTTGTAGGTCATGTAGAGCTTCACGGAGGTGATGCCCTCGCTGACAAAGAATGGAAGTTCATCGCGAAGGATGGCGGGTGTCGGGTTTGTGAGAATGATGTGAAAGCCGTAGTCGCAGTATGACTTCCCTCGGGAGCGTGAGTGATAGTCATCTACGACTGGGTGAAGAGACTGATGGGTGCGTTCCTGGGTAGCGAAGGCAATAATCGTTGTTGTGCCTCCTGCAATCGCTGATCGAGTGCCGGTCTCAAAGTTGTCTCCTGTTGGAGAGTTGTCCTGATACTGGTTTAGACAAGGGGGTTCTGTTTGGAAACCGAATAGAACATTTTCTTACCTGGTCAAGGTGTACATGGGAATCCACGCCGCCCGGCATGACGAAGCCATGTTGTGCATCTATCACTGTCTTGGCCGAGAAAAGAGACTTGAGATCCTGGCCTACAGCTAAGATCTTGCCGTCGCGAACCACGATATCTTGTCTCACGTGGACATCAGATGCCGTTACCTATTTTGTTTCTCCATCAGTCATTTTGCCGATGGGGCCCTCGCTACAACATGATTCATGTAGTACTCACCACTGTGGCATTCTCAATGATGAGATCAACCTCCATGTCGCTTTACCTTAGTGTGCTATGACAGCAGAAGAGTCTCAGTATGCTAAAAGCGATTTTTGAGGCACTCAACCAACAACAAACTTCGCTTCGGTAATTCGTAGAGTTTTTTCAATCTGTCCTCGAGTTTCCCTTGACACCATATGGAGTATCTACAGAGTCATTAACGACATCTACACTGGCTGTAGACTTGATAACGCTGTTCCTGCGAAGAATAAATAGGCCTATCTGAGATAAAGATAGGCAGCCACGGCAAACTACCCGACGGCCTATCGGCGCTTATCGCCCACAACTTAGACTACCCTACCTTAGGGAGCTGCAGGGAATAGGACGGACGATACGGAGCACTGCACGCTGATCTCAATGCATGAGGGGTAGACCCAGCACTACTTTGTGGGAGATTCGGAGAAGAGCTCAGCGACTTCTCATGGCGAAAAGAATAAGTTTGGACTGAAGTTTGCATAGCGGCAGTGAAAAGAGGGAATGTGAGAACATAGCAACTTAACAACTGCACAAGAAAAACATGAAGTCAGCGGCAATGCTATCACGGAAGCTTCGCGTGGCTGCGGCTCAGATGGGCGCAACGCATTACAACGACCCCCGGCCCAAGACACTGAATCGCATGCTATCACTTCTTGAAGACGCAGCCGCAAAGGGAGCACAGCTAGTTCTCTTCCCTGAAGCCGCCTTCACAACCTTCTTTCCCCGGCATCTGATAAACGACCCCTCTGAACTTGACTCCTTCTTCGAGCACGGCGATGTAGCGACTCAGCCGCAGACAAAACCGCTATTCGATAAGGCCAGCGAGCTGGGCGTCGACATCTCGGTCGGCTTTGCCGAAAAGGCCGACAACGGCGAAACCTTCAACTCCTGCATCTACTACCACGCAAAGAGCGGCTCCATCCTCTCAAAGTACCGCAAGATCCATCTTCCGGGCGACTTTGAGCCCTTTGCGGACCCGGATGCCACCAACCAGCTAGAGAAGCGTTACTTCAAGCCTGGAGACCTCGGCTTCAATGCGTTCCGGGTACCCGATCTGACAGAGCCGGAGGTGGCACCGGAGCGCGGGGACCCCATCTTCGGCATGATGATCTGCAACGACAGGAGATGGGCTGAGAGCTGGCGCGTCTTGGGTCTACAGGGCGTCAAGGTCGTACTGTGCGGCTACAACACGGCCGGCTTCGCGCCGCATCTCTGGGGAACCAGCGCCAGCATGGATCCGGACGAGGCGCGGAGCAAGGCACTCTTCCACCACAAGTTGGTGATGCAGGCTCATAGCTACACGAATGCATGCTTCAGCATCAGCGCTGCGAGGTGTGGTCTCGATGACGGGAAGTACGACCTCATTGGCGGTAGCTGCATCACTGGTCCGGAGGGCGAGCTCATCGCTGAGGCATCTACAACAGAGGACGAGGTCGTCTATGCAGAAATTGACCTGGCTGAGTGCCGGCCGGGCAAGGAGCGCACATTTGACTTTGCCAGACATCGTCGTGTAGAGCATTATGCTCGCATCACAGAACAAACCGGCGTCGTGGAGCCTCCCAAGCTCTCGCCCTTAGTCGAGAAACACAACGGAGCAGTAAGCAACGGCATCACGCCTGGACAGACTCAGAAGAAGATCCGCATCCTCCTCATCAACCCAAACAGCACCCGCGCCATGACCGACGCCTGCGTCGCCATGGTCGAGAGCCAATTGCCCCCCGACGTCCTCGTCACAGGCTTCACGGCGCCTAGGCCGGCGCCGTCAGCCATCGAGGGCAGTTTTGACAACGTAATGTCCGCCGCGGCCGCTGCTCGCGCCGTCCTGCCCCTTGCGGCGACCCATGATGCCGTCTTGGTGGCGTGCTACTCCGACCATGCCCTCATCCGCATGCTTCGCGAAGAACTCCCTCGCCAGCCCGTCATCGGGATCATGGAAGCCTCGCTCTTCGCGGCGCGAACGCTGGGCGGGCGGTTTGGGCTCATTGCCGTGAGCGAGCGGTCGAGGGTGTTGCACGAGGATAGCATTCACCACTATGGCTTCTCAGCCTCCTGCGCCGGCGTGGTCTCGTGTAAGCTGGGCGTGCTGGACTTGCACGAGAAGAGCCAGGATGAGGTCATGGGAATCATGGCAGCCGTCGGGAAGAAGCTGGTGGAGGAAAAGGGGGCCGATTTGTTGCTTCTGGGATGCGCGGGTATGACGCCGCTCAAGGGGGCCGTAGAGGCGGCTGTCGGGGACGGCGTGCAGGTTGTTGACGGCGTATTGGCTGGGGTGCATCACCTAGTTGGATTAGTTAGAATGGGCGGTGCCACGGCCAAGAGGGGCGTCTACAAGAGCTCTGGTGACGGACGAAAGGCGAGAGGACAGGATTGGATCTAGTTTCCTTAGTTGGCCGCGGGAATAACAACATGAGCTTAGATGGAATAAATATCAGCCGAAGCTTTATCACTCTCACACCATGGAGCTTGTTGCTATCGAAATGCAGGGTTGTTTTGCTAATGATCCAATCGGCCAACGCCCCGTTATCAGAGTCCGATAGTTTGCAGATCAACTCAGAGTCTCAACCAACATGGAATCCTGGGGAGGACGCGGGGAATGAAGTCCGCAACGACATCAAGTTTCCTAACATGCTTTCCATCTTTGAATCCACACCATGGAGATCAACTTGAACGGCCAGACCAAAAAGAGTAGTAGGAACAGTCATCCTTGCGACTTCTGCCGTTACAAGCGCGCCGCTTGCCTTGTGCACGAAGACACGCCACCATGTGAGCTCTGCCGAAGGTTAGGCAAAGAGTGCACATTTGTTGGGGGCCCTAACAAGAGGAGACGGCTATCCGAGCGGCGGCAAAGCGGCTCGAGCGATGGGATACGGAGCCCCCATCACCAACAGGATGGAGCTGCCCCTGGAGCAGATGGGAGGTTTCCGTCTGTGGAGGTTTCGCCCATTGCCGATTCCATCTTTGTGAGAGGGCTGATGGACTCTGCGAGCCCGACATCACCACACACAACGTCTTCACCAGATGTTCCACGTCGAGAGAATGTCTTCATACCGTCGTCGCTGGACGCGGAGCCTGGCCACAATGCTCAGGTGATAGGTCTCAGCGGTGAATCGGATCCGTACTTGCTAAATCTGTACCACTTCGACGAGAGAGACGAATGCACGTTTCAGCAACTCCGCATCAGGAATATGGGGCCTGAAGATGGGGTTCCCATTCAGTTTATGCTACAGCGCAACTCACAAGCTAGTAAAGCGCAACCAGGAGGGCTGGGAGCTACCGCGGCCGACCTTAGATGCGAGGTCTCGGACTTGGTCTCTGAGAATGTTGGTCAAAGGCTCATCACTCTGTAAGGAATTGGCCAGACCCTCTTATACTCACTCGAATATGCCTGAGTTCAGAATGAAGTTCCGACTGACTGGTGGCAGTTTCTGGAAGTATGTTCAACCTTACTTCCCGGTCGTATCCAAAGAACACACAATCCAAAATCTTAACGGCAGCCCCTCCGCAATGCCAATATGTCTCCTGGCAGCAATCTATGGCCACGCCCTCCCCTTCTGCGTATTCGACGACATCCTCTGTGTAGACGTCGACACCCTCCCCTCGGCAGACCACCTCTTCAAACTTGCCTGGATGGCCGCCCTATCCGAGTTCCATACTCCATCTCTCGCCACGGTGCAAACGATGCTTCTCATGATTCAGCGACGGCCAACTAACAAGCACGTCGCCGACACGCCGTTCAAATGGACCATGCTTGCAGACACGGTGGCGCTCGCGCAGTGTTTGGGACTCAATCTGGACCCATTGGATTGGGCGATTCCGAGCTGGGAGAAGAGATTGCGGCGGAGGCTTGCTTGGGCGGTGTATGTTCAGGACAGGTGGCTGAGCCTTAACTTTGGCAGAAGTTCGCACATTCAGGAATGCGATTGGGACGTCTCGTCGCTTGGGCCGGATGATTTTGGTGATGTTCCTGGTTGTGAAGGTGAAGGGCCGTTGGTGTGTAGGCACTTTCTGCACCTAGCCTCTCTAACTGAGATTGTGTCCAAGATTCAACAAAACATGTTGTAAGTTGCATCCTAACACAGCGTCACTGCTCTGATATTGGTGCTCATTGACCGTTGTAGCTCTATCAAAGCCACTAGAGCTCTCTCCAAGTCGCTCGAAGCAACTTTCGAAGTTGCTCGGCCCTTGAGGATTGAGCTTGCAGAGTGGCTGCAAATCCGACCCGACGTAGGGGAACAGCCCTCAGCATCTCTGCCAGAATGCGGCCTGGATGGGAATGGTAGTCTGAAACTCGCCTACATCACCGCAAAGATTGCTGTCTTCAAGGCTCTTCTTCGACCGAAAAGCATCGAGGTCCCAACCGAAGCCCGCACGGCGTTGCGCACCGGTTCAATGACTATCGCGCGAGAGATGCATGACTTTCTCGCGAAACTGGAGGCTCATCATCTTGAAGCTTTCTGGCATTCATGTAAGCGTTGCCCCAGCCTCCCACACGAGAAGCGTGCTTTCCTCGGAAGTATTCGCCAGATGGCTGACCATGGCTAGCTTCCCGTGTCAACTTTGCCATTGCGAGCAACTTTATTGTCTTGCTCTTTGCTCTTTCTCCGACGCTATCAGAAGCTGAAGACGCCCTTGCTCTTTTGATTCAGTGGAGGGGCTTATTGCGGATCAAGTCCAGAAGCTGCGACTTATTGAACTTGAGCCTGCTGAGACTTGATGCCATCTTCGTGGCTGGGCTGGGCAAGCTCATTGAATTGACACCCGCGGCAGCTGAGGCAGCCTCGAACCGGGGTTTGTGAGATGGGCTAACTTACATGCATGACTCACATCCAAGCCCGTGAATCATTCCCGCGAGAACCACAGGGAAGTAGGCCGGGCCTTAAGCTCATAGCATGTGGTTCCAATAACATTAAATGATAACGTCAGGGTATGGTATTATGAGTCTAAGATCACATCATCCCGTCTTCATGTCTTGGTCTTTCCCTTCCAAGCCTTTCTCTGACTCGTTTGAATCCTCCACCGTGGGGTATCCGTCAACGTAAAACAGCTCCCGGCTATCATCCACGGGGAATGGCTTCATCTTCCAACACACCCAATACGTGAAACTAGCCACCAAGGTACTGACAAGCCAACTCAAGCTGTAGAGATAAATGGCCCCCTTGGGAACTCCCTTGGCGCCACAAGCAGCGGCAAGACCGGGCATGTTGGGAATGATGGCAAAGATGAAGGCGATAACCGCTCGGGGGTTGACGCCAAAAGTGTAGTAGTGTATGCCTCGCGGATCAAAGAGGGACGAGACTGCCATTGCACGCTTGCGGCAGATCCAAAAGTCGGTGATGATGATGCCTGCAATGGCGCCCAGAAAGAGAGAGTATCCACCAAGGAAAGAGGAGAAGGATTTAGCACTGCGAGGAAGTCCACAGGTTAGTACAAAAGATCGACCATTGGACAACACACAAACACAACTCACCTGTACTGGATGTACCAGGGCACGGCACATACGCCAAACACGGCACATATATACGCTCCGCGCCTATTGCTGATATACTTTGGAAACCATAGCGCCAAATCATTGCTGAAAGAGACGCTGTTGGCACTGATATTTGTGCCAATCACCGCAAACGCCCAACAGAGACCCGCGAAGAACTGAGCAGCGCGGTTGTCCCACAGCCGTGCGACTTCCAGGGGGTTCCAGGTCACCTTGCCGTAGATGACTTCCGAGGCGCTGCTGACGGTCGCACCTAGCACACCACACATCGTGACTAAGACGCATAGGCCGACGGCTTGCGTCCAGAAGACCTGTCGGGGCTCCTTTGCATACCGCGTGAAGTCGGGCATGTTAAGGGCGAGGGTTGCCTTGGGGCCAATAGCGCTGGTGACACATTGGAAGAATACGACAATAGCGGGCGTGCCATCCTTGATGAGAGTTGGTTTTGAGAATGTCGGGCCGAAGCCCTTGCCTGAGAAGAGGTCAGATAAGTTGCCCTTGGATCTGGCTGGATGTGAAGAGCATACCAGCAACAATGGCCCAGATGAACAACGTCAACCCAAAGATTGGCATAATCACAGTCTTCACCATGAACATGTACCTTAGACTGCTTACATGCAACCAGAGCAGTGGCAGCTGAACGATGATGAACAAGAAAAAGCATAACAGCTCGGAGCTGGTGACGTGCGCGCTTTCGGCGAGGTGATTCGGGAAGTTGTTGAATGACGGCCAGATGGCGGAGATCATGACCTGCAGGCACTGCCCACCCTGAAACGACTGAGTGCCGAACCAGATACAAGCCACGACACCACGGACGAAAACGGCGCCATATGAACCCCGGAGGCCAAAGGAAGCTCTGGTGAAGACGGGAAAGTTGATGCCAAAGATGCAGCCGACGTAGCCATCTAGCATTGCCGGGATGCAGACCAGGACGTGGCCGATGAACACTGCAAGGATTGCAAGGCCCGGGTTCAGGCCTTTTGTGACAGAGGTTGAAGAGACTGTTGTGATTGAGAACGGATGTTAGTAGCCATCTCGAGTCACCAATTTGTTTCCAGACTACCTATGTAAACACTTACCTTGATACATCGAGATGGAAAAGGCTTCGGCGATCCAGAATCCGAGCAAACTTGGCCAACCCCAGGTGCGCTCCGGAGAGCCCATCGGAATAGGATCCATGTCCTTGTTCGAGAGCCGGCCTCCCTCCGTGCCGAGGTCGGCGCTCTCGGAGCGGAGCTCCAAGCGCTTCCGTAGACCCATCGTTGTAGCGACTGCTATGCGTGTAACCGCAGTAAGTTCTCGAGTCTCAACTACCTATACGTGGGCTTCACCTTTAGGAGAAAAGGGAAGGTCAGGGCGATCAATGGCACAATTGGAGTTGCGAATGGTGCGTGCGGGGAGCAGGAACAAACGATGTCTAATTATTCTTACGTTGTTGCGCATCCGGTCTCGTTTCTAAGACGAGGCTTATCAGATTCCCTTTCAGCTATCCTGCTATCGTCGTTGCTGAGCGCCATGGTCGTGCGGTTTCCGCATGCGTACCACACCCATAATGTTTGTGATAGGCAGGCGATAGGCGTGGGTTGTTATCAGACCGATTATCGGGGATATCATTGGCCTATCCTTTTCTGATGTTGCGTTACTCCAACAAGGACTATGATAGGCGTTGCATAATCTAATCAGCTGATCGGCGTCAGCATAGTTCAAGTTGTAGAGAGATTACTTGACTCAATAGGATTGATCTTGAGTGACGATTCATAACAATATTGTCAATCGATTCTCCCGTGGTCCGCGGTAGAAGTGTGATACTTATTGGATATCGATGAAAGGAGCTTGACTGACTGAAAATCAGCTTCAGAGAGTCAAGACAACATTGAAGGCTTCCCTTCGTGTAACCCTTGGCAAGATGGCACCGATTGCGATGTCTGACCTGAAGTCACCCTCATCAATTGCTGCCGTCGACCCGATCGTTTTCCCTGCGCCAGATGCCGACGAGAAGTTGAAGAAATTATGGCAACTCCACGGACATCCTCATAGCTCAAGGTCCCAAATACCCTCGTATCTATCATGATTTGAAGTTCCAATGACTCTAACACTGAATTTTCAGATTCTCTGACCCGAAATTGACGAGTGTCGCGGCATTGGTTGAGCATAATGCCGTGATTCAACCCTCCAAGCCGGCTTTCATACATCCTATCGGTGACTCCTTCGAAGTGCTGGACTGGGCCCGGCTCAATCAGTTTTACCTTAGAGCATCGAGTTTCTACTCTAAGCAGTTTCGAGAGGAAATTGGTGCTGCCAATGAAACGGGTCAGCAACCCACTGTCGCTCTCCTCGGCGTCGGCAACTCGATCTCGTATCTCATCACCCAATTCGCCCTAAATCGTCTGCACCTTCGGGTCCTACTTCTTAGCAACAAGAACTCTCTGGCAACGAGAGATCATCTTCTTCGAGTGTGCAATGTTATTGCAATAATCATCGACGAGGCGAATGAAGCTTCACTCCATGGGGAAAGCCCGGGTCAACTCCCGTTGACGAAACTCATCAGCTTAGATGAGCTGAGAGAAAACAAACCAGAGGCTTTTGAAGAACCCTGCATAGGGTTTGAGACTGATGATGAGTGGACTCTCCAGTCAATGATCATCCACTCATCTGGTTCTACGGGAGTGCCGAAACCAATTATCCACACGAATCGGAGTCTGTGTCAAATTGCACGGATGTACAGATTACTCCCAGAGTTCTTCATTGAGAACTGGTATCTGTGTTTTCCCTTGTGAGACCTAGAATCTCTCTGCTGTTCCTCCTGCGCATGCTCATTCATCTTAGATTCCACGTAGCTGGGTTGTCAATCGCCCTGTCGGGACTCCCAACCGGTCTACCTACCTCCTTACCTCCAACACAATGGCCACCGGCCCCAAGTTCAATACTTTCTGCATGGAAGTCCTTGACTAGCCTCGGCTATCCGCCCGACTGCCTGCACTGCGCACCCTCAGTCATTGAGGACCTCTACGAATACATCACTCTCACCACCAAAGACTACACTCCTCTGACGGACTTGAAGGTCCTACAGCCCGGGGGAGCTCCACTGTCCCCTTCAATGCTGTCCAAACTTCAGAACATCGGCGTCAATATTAAAACAACATATGGTACAACTGAAACCGGTCCGCCACTACGGACAATACCTCACACAAGAGACAATCCAGACGTGTACCGCTTCCGCAACTTGTACCCAGAGTCAGAACATGTAGGCATGGAGTCCATTGCGGATAACCTCTTCGAGTGCGTTGTATACCGAGGGTTTCCTCTAGCCGCAGAGCTCTGGCTTGAGGAGACGGCGCCGAATCCATACCGTACGGGGGACTTGTTCATCGAGGATCCCCCAGGGAGCGGGTATTTCGTCCTCCAAGGCCGCAGAGATGACATTCTCGTGCACAGCAATGGAGAGAAGACACATGCCGCGGCTCTCGCCATGGCGCTTGAAGAAGATAAGACGAGCACTATTGCGAAGACGGCAGTGTTTGGCACAGGAAAGCCTTGCCCTTCCGTCGTTGTTGAGATCGACTGGTCTGAGGTGGAGAAGCGATCCATATCAGAACCTGATCTTGCTGAAGAGGTGTGGAAAGTAGTAGATATTTGCAACAGGAATTCTCCGACGTACTCACGAATCCCTCGTCAAACGGTTCTCATTCTGCAAAATGAGGAGACGTTGCCAGTCACTCCAAAAGGGAACGTGCGACGGACAATTGCCTGGGATCTGTATGGAGATAGGGTGGAAGAACTTTACAACTCCTTCCTAGGCAACCAGCTCGAGTCTGATAAGGCCTCCAAGCCGTTTCCTTCCAGAAACTCCGGTACTTCGGATCTCGAAATCGTTCAAACCGTTGTCGCTGATGTATTCGATCTCTCTGTGGAAGATTTGGTGCCAGACCAAAACTGGTACGAACTCGGTCTCGATTCTATGCGCGCCGTCGAGATACGATCGAGACTTGTGAAGTCGTTCGGGGCGTTCCCTTTGATGTTCATCTTCGGATATCCTACGGCAAGGAAGCTTCTCGAGTTCCTTCAGCTATTCAAAGGTGGTCTGAATAGCAATGCCTCGGTGGCCGGCAACCACTATGAGTGGATCAGGTCGACCATCCGCCGCATGAACATTGAGATCGACAACTGGCAAGCGACTCAAGCTCAACAGGATGAGTTGAAAAACGAGAGGGAAGTCATTTATCTCACGGGAGCCAGCGGTGCTCTGGGCAACGCACTAGTGGAAGTCCTGGTCCAGATGGCAACTGTTCAAAAGATTTACTGCGGCGTACGAGGAGCAGATCCTGGAGCTCGAGTCTTAGGGTCCATGAAAGAGAGAGGGTATCCAGAGAGCATTTATCAAAGCGAGAAAATTGTGCCCGTCAGCTATGACATGAAGGACGGAAAGCTAGGATTGGACGAGCAGATGTATCAACATCTGACGAATGAGGTGACCACCGTGATGCACAACGCTTGGAAGTTGGATTTCAATCAGCCAATTGAACAGTTCGAGGACGACTGCCTGAGAGGTGAAGCCCAGTTTAAATATGCCAACATGAAGTGTCTGAGCTGACGAATATCTGTTTAGGAACCATGCATCTCATGTCTTTCTGCCTCAAGGGGCTCAAGAAGACATTCACCTTCATGAGCAGCGTCGCCGCAGCAATGAGAAGGCCCCCGGGCACCAAAGTGCCAGAGCTTCCACTCTCCCCGGATCCTGCAAATGCACTTCCCACCGGATACGCGCAGTCCAAGTTCATCATCGAGCAAGTCACGCAGCACTATGCCTCTACTCACAATGTCGCTGTTCGCATCCTCCGAGTCGGCCAGCTTTGTGGTCACTCAAGACTGGGGGCATGGAACCATACTGAGATGTGGCCTACCATGATGATGGCGGGGCTAGATCACCTCGATGCGATGCCGACCTTGCAGACCAAGGTCGACTGGCTCCCCGTCGACTTCTGTGCGGAAGCCATCGGTGATGCAGTGGTCCACAATATTGCCGAGACGTCGTATGCTGTGTGTAATCTCATCAACCCGAGCGCTATCTCATGGGAACAGCTTGTTGATATGCTGGAAGACTCTTCAGGGCGAAAGATCCAGCACGTCAGTATGAGGGAATGGGTGTCTAGGTTGGAAGCAACTGCCGAATCGAAGAGCTTGGGTGTGAAGGAGCTGCCAGCTATGAAGCTTCTAGGCTTCTTCCAGTCCATGGTTGATGGCAATGGAAACGGCGAGGGCGTGGAGTTTGTTGCGGGAAGCGTAGAGAAAGGTAGACGAATTGGGGTGGACATGGTCAAGAGGTGGCTAGGAGTATGGCGTCAAACAGGTCACTTGAAGGAATAGAGAGCTGTCCATTTTGGTATCCTGGTGACGAATTCGACGAAAGGGGCTCAATGTCGGCTTCCGTGATGTGACTTGCAGCGTTGCATTGAAACCGAATAAGAGGATTTCGGCACTTCAAGACTTGGCATTCTCCGACACTGTGGCGTGCTCCCGCGATCTTCCCGCGGACTCCACGCGCTCAGTGGTCGGCCGGAACGCTAAGCGGCCTCCGGAACGATGCTTTGAACATCACCAGACGCCATGGTCTTTGACGCGCCGAGATTAATCGCTATATGCTCTGTCATGGCAGCTTGATCCATCAATGGTTCGCGTTGGATTGGAATAAGGTAGCAGGTATATTACCCATAAGGCACTATGCGCGCCACCTGTTTGACAAACATGTCAGCCCAAGCCCCTAATCGGGAAGCAAATCATGCTTAAGCGAACGCGGCACGCTTGCGTATCAGCGTGTGCGAATTATTTAAGACTATCATGTCTCTCATCCAGGTACCTTGACGATTTCAATCCCACTGTTTACGTTGGACAACAGCCTCTGCGATGCTCACCTCACGCACGGCTTCCTTGACTGCCCGCTACCACTCAACTCACCTCAGAGTTGCTACCATATGCCACCACAAGAAGCGCACCTTTCACGCCACCCACTCAGTAAAATCCAGCCAGCAGCATGACATAATCGTCGTCGGTGCCGGAATCGCCGGAGTCTGCACAAGCATCGCAGCCGCAGAAAAAGGCGCCAAGGTCCTTCTCCTGGACGATGCCCACGGCGGCGGAGCGTCCGCGCTATCAGGAGGCGTGGTCTACGTCGGCGGAGGAACCCGACAACAAAAAGAAGCCGGCTACGGCCACGATACCCCGGAGAACATGTTCGCCTATCTCAAAGAGGAAACGGGGGACGCAGTCGATGAGAAGACTCTCCGGCGCTTCTGCGACGAGAGCGTGGCACGGCTCGAGTGGCTCGAGAAGCACGGCGCACGATTCGAGGCCTCGCTGTGTCCCTACAAGACCAGCTATCCGACGAATAAGCATTATCTCTACTTTTCTGGGAACGAGAAGTCGTACCCGTTCAATAAACTGTCGAAGCCGGCGCCCAGGGGACATCGGATGGTGCAGCCGGGGTTCTCTGGGTCTGCGCTATGGCAGGCGCTTTTTGACTCAGCAATACGTCTGGGAGTAGATTTCAAGCCGGCGACTAAGGTTCAGCAGGTTCTTTTCAATGACAAGAGGGACAAAGTTAACGGAGTTGAGATCAAGACGTTGTCGGGTACCAATTCGCTGTTCGAAAAGCACAAGGGCCTCACGCAAAAGACTAAGAAATTCCAGCTCATGGCGACTCCGCTAGCCGACGTCTATCACCGCAAGGCAAGCAAAATCTGGCAAGAGCAATCCACCTCGCAGACCATACATGGTGGAGCGGTGGTCTTGAGTGCCGGCGGTTTTGCATTCAACCCCGAGATGAGGCAGAAACACGTCCCCGAGTTCTCCCAGGTCGCTCCGCTCGGCACCAATGGCGATGACGGATCTGGAATCAAGATCGGGCATGCAGCGGGAGGATCAGTCTCCAACATGAACAACATGTCTGCGTGGCGTTTCTTGTATCCTCCAACGGCCCTGCTCGAAGGCGTTGTCGTATCTCAGGATGGAGAGCGTATGGGTGCGGAGGATGTCTATGGGGCGGCACTCAGCGATACTATGATAAGACAACATGGGGGGAAAGGCTTCTTGAGTCTCGACTCGGATCAATGGGCGAAAGCAAAGAGACAGGTCTTCCAGCAGACTAACATGCCTCTCTTGATTCAGAGACTGCACTGGCTCTATTGGGGTTACAAGAAAGCTGGCTCATTGGCAGCGCTAGCTGGAAAGTTCAATATCTCGGCCGTCGGTCTGGCGTCGACAGTCAAGACCTACAATGATGCGATAGCTAGCGGAGAAGAGGATCCGATGCACAAGGAAGTCGACTACTGCAGCCCAGTATCGAAAACCCCATTCTATGGCGTCGATATCTCCTGTCGCACTGAGGGAATCCAAGCTGTCAACGGACTGACGCTCGGCGGGCTGCGGGTGGATGGCGAGACTGGGCTAGTCCTGACCGGAGATGGTAGCAAGATCGATGGGCTGTATGCTGCTGGGCGAAGTGCTGCTGGAGTCTGCGCCAATGGTTATGTGAGCGGGCTTTCCCTTGCTGATGGTGTCTTTTCGGGGAAGAGAGCGGGTGAACATGCTGCTCGGCGGGGGTAAGGGTTTGGTGTAAATCCGTGTACTCGTTAAAGCGTCTTCAAGTCCTCATCTAGACGGCACAGATTACTTGTGTATCCAGAATCCTACCCCGTCGAAAGCGCCATTCTCCTCCCTATCCTTACGCCGTGACAGCTTGTCTGGGTTCTCTCTTGCGGCGATCATTACAAGTTTTGAGGCTTGGGAAGTCATGTCCAATTTTCGCCGTGAGTACAAACAGCCATTCCAATCATACAGCACACACATATGGTCCCTCCTTTCAGGAAGATCCGATGATTGACCAGACCGTGAAGCTGATCCAACAGCAAATAACATCCCATCCAACACTGCTAACCGCAGGATGCTCGTACAACGTTACAAGCGCAGTCCTGAGGCTCGCACCACTGTCAAAGACCCCAAGTGTGGCTACAACCAGCACCCATATCATCGATGCAACTTTCCAGTGCCACGCTGGCTCGCCCAACATTCGCGCCGGCAAGATCCTATCCAGAAGCAACGGTACGAATGCCAGCAAGTGTGGACCAAGGAGCAAGGATAAGAACTTGGGGTGATTGATGACGGAGGGGATCGACGTTGCCCACAACAGGGTAGCGAAGAGAATGACGGAATGAATAGAGAATGAAGACACAGTCTGGCCATATCGTTTGCCATCATTGGGTTTTCGTTCTGGGATTTCGCTGCAAAGTATTGCGAGGAAAGACAAATTTGCCGCAAAGGAGATAGCAACAACTTGACCAAGCAGTACGAATGTCCAAGCGTGTGAGATACACCTTCTCTGAGCTAATGATGCACTTAGATTAGTATTGCTCTCGGGAGATGCAATAAAAAGCTGACAGCTGGCCCGGATTTTACTAAGGTAGAATAAGCTCACCTTGAGCCGCAAGTATGGCGCTCCAGTTAGCGCAAAACCCAAATATTTGCAACGACCACCAGGCCCTCGGGCCAGTCTCAAGGGTTGACGCCCAAGCTTGCTTGAAGAGAGAGGTGTCGTGCAGCCACTCGCCGAGCCTCAGTTCGGTGGAGTCGAGGCTAGCCAATGCTTGTGTCGTTACCCATTGGCCATATGACCACTCGAAGAAGCGAAACATGTGATACCAGGTTGTTGCGAGGCTCAAGGCCGCGAGCGCGCTGAACACAACAAGAGCGCGACGGTGGGCTGGCGCAGCGACTGTCCCATTTCGCGAAAGCGAGGCGCGCCATTGATTGCGAATAATACCGATAGACTTTGCAGTGAGCCCGGCGGCTAGGACCATGTAGCCGGTGAATATGGCCAGCGGACGGACATTGAAGGCTGTCATTCTTTGCGACTATCTGCTGGTCGGAAACCAGTTCTTTGGAGCTCATCGGCTCAACAGAATAACCAGGCAACCCGAGGGTTGTATATGATGTCAATGAACATGAGTCTTCGCTTGCGAACTCCCCAAAGGAGCCATGACCGAGAATGCCGGGGACCATAAGAACCAGTCAGTCGAGCTAGTTTAGCCAGGGTCATCATAGTGTGTGGGGTCGCCTGGGAAAACTCTAGAAGCCAAGCCAGATTGATCGAGTCGGTGCAACTTTCTGTCCGAACAGATGAGACCGTCTGATGGCACTAAGGAAGCACGTGCAAATTGACTTTTCGCTCTTCGAAGTCGTTGGGCTAGGACGGGTCGTCTACTCAGCAGGTAGCGCCGTCAAAGACAGTCTTTGGACGTTTGTCTCGTCGCAGATGAAAAGAGGGTAGCTCACATAGAACCGACTGCTGGCGCAAGTTGTGTCTCAAGGTTTCTCAAGCTCTGTCGGATCCCGAATAAATGGCTAACTGCTGCCATGTTGTACCACAACGACAGGGATGAAGCCTCGTCGACGCCGGACGGTCGAGCACCAAGTGGAATTGCCCCGACGGCGCTTCGACCTCGGCAGACACCCACCCATTCAAGGGTGCGTGATGTGACTATCCGGCACTTTTCTCAGGGATGGTACCCGCCGGAGGGGAGCTTCATTCCGGGGAGTAGCAGATTTCGAAGGGGCTACGGTGTGCATTGATGAAATTACGTACCCGGCGAGTGGTGTGAGTGTGCGGTGAGCTGAGAAATACCCTATCTCTCCGCAGTGGGTTTCCTGTCGCAAATTCGTGCGTGCCGACTCTGTTAAAGTTTCTTCGTCGAGTTTTGCATTCGCTGTGTCTTGATGCTGGAAACCAGTCGCCACATTGGAGGAGAAGGATACTTACTCAGGGCATGTCAGCGCTGGCTCGAGGTCATAAGGCTCTCAGACTCACTCATCGCCAACATGAGTCGACAGGCCCCTCTCCGGGTAGCTGTCGTCGGAACGGGATTGGCCGGGCTTAGCACCGCATATCTCTTGCAAAATGACGAACAACATCGATATGCAGTGACCTTATTTGAACAGGTGAATTGGATCCTAGATCGGAGTAGTGGGCGAATGCGTAGACTGACTGTTGTAGGCTGAGAGCCTGTCTTTCGACTCAGCATCGGTTGCAATTCGAGAGGAGAGCTCGGGCAGTATTGAGAGGATCGACCTTCCAATGCGCGCACTCGCCGGAGGATATTATCCGAACGTGATGCGCATGTATGACCACTTGGGCATCCCGTATCATCCCATCCGCTTCTTGTTCTCATTCGCCAAATCACTGCCTGCACGCAAGCCTGATACGATAGCATCGGGAAAGAACCAGGCAACTCTGGATGGCGCCAGCGGAGTGCCTGGCGAGTACTTTGTCCACGCATCCAATTTGCACCAAGTCCCACCTTGGCCGGGAAACCGCGGGATTTTGGCGCATTTCGTAGAGATACTGTGCCTGATCATATGCCAGTTCTGGTTCACAGTGGCATGCTTCATGGTGCACCCCTTGACTGAGGGGTCTGATGGGGGAGAGACATTTGGCGACTATCTGAGGAGAATATGGCTACCGCGACGGTATGCCACACACTACCTTCTCCCACTCATCAGCAGCGTTTCGACGTGTACGCATGCTGAGCTTCTGGCGTTCCCTGCCAGCGACGTTGTCGAGTACAAGAAACGCTCGCATGGACAACAGCACTACACTGTCTGCGGCGGTGTCCACCAAGTTGAAGGAAGATTGGCAAAAGAAATGAAAGACGTCCGACTAGGAGCGTGTGTTGCAGAGGTAGCCTCAACGGCTGATGGAAGAGTGAGACTCCGTTGGCAGTCGACGGAGAACGCAGCTGGACAGATTTTGGATGACGTATTCGATCGGGTTATTCTCGCTGTGTCGCCGGATGTGGCTGGCAAGATCTACCAACCCCTACGCGACATTCTCGAGCCATTGCCAACAATCCGCGTGGAGAGCTCAGTTCTCCGTCCGCTCGATGCAAAACCAAGCCAGTCGTTCACTCTCATGGAGGATGAAGGGAGACATCCGAAAGCTTGTTCACATCATCGTGGAAATGTCATGCCGCCCCAAGTTATCTGTCTCAGAACCGACTTTTCCGCAAAAGAAGCTGCGCGGACAGAGGCTTTACACACAATGCCTGGAGGAACGGTCGTGAGCACTTGCCCGCTTAACGTACAGGCCGATGCGAAGAGGGTACTGCGGACAGCAAGGTTTACGAGGACCTTGAGGACGTGTCAGAGTAGGGCAGTTATCCGAAAGATCATGGGTGAGGACAGGAATCTGGACAAGAAGAATGACCAGACCGCCGGCATGGGTGACTGGACCAATGGACAAGATAATGTGTGGTTAACCGGGGCGTGGTGCTGGGATGGAATGGTCCTACTTGAAGGGTGCGTTATCTCTGCGATGAGAATCGCTGACGATTTTGGTGTCGTAGTCCCTTGGCGGCACGGCTAGTCAAGTGACTGAAGGTACGTAATGAGAACAAAAACATGTTTGAATGGAAGAAGTGAAGTTGAAATAAACGCAGTCTCTGTGAAGAAAAACAGCAAGGGGGGCTTTGTTGGTTTGTTGGTTGTTGGTCCGTTGGTTGGAGGTGACATCGGACCTCCGGTGCCGAACCCTGCCGCATCCTTCGCTGTTCCTGCCTACAGCTGGCGCCAAGTCTATCTACACCTGGCAGCTTTCTCTGCAAATGTCTTCCCACGTCTCATTTTCCATTTAAGGTACCTTCTTAGTGAGCACTAGACCACAGAACTAACTTTCCTTCACCCTCATCTCACAAGCGGACATGGGTTCATTCTTATTCATACAATGACACTACCAATTGACGCCGTTCCTGACTTCTGGAAAGGTGTCTTACTAGGCGCGACTGGCTGCACATTTATAATTTTGATAGTCACCTTGGCATTTACTGTTACTTTTCTTCGGCGGAAAGACGTCTACGACAATGATCACTGGAAGCTGAACCTCAAAGTGCCGTTCACCACCATGTGGATGAACATGGGTTATTGGTTTGTCCGCCCTCATTTTACACCCTTCTTCGTAATCACTCCGATACTGGGCCTCCCTTTAGTTTACACTTACACTTGAACTGGATTATATCCATCGCATTTCATGATGTTCCTTGACTTAGTCAGAGCACGACTGACTTACCATCATGTTCCAGGACGAGTGCCGACAACCTACGCATTACAGATTTCGAGACAGCCTGTCGCAATTTGCTTTTAGAGGTCCTCGAAGAAGCCCAGATTTGTAAAGATGTAGTTCGGTCTTCGGCAATATCTATTCTAGACCTAGGTGTTGGCTGTGGTGACCAGTCCCTGGAGCTTGCACTACTAATTAACGAGCGAGGTGTGACCAGCTATCGATATGTAGGGCTCACTCTCAACGAGTCCCAGTATCGATTGGCCTCAAATAGAGCCCAATTGCAGGCTCAAAAGCTCAAATTAGAAGATGGAAGTGTCGAGGTATTTTGCGCTGACGCTGCCAACCCCGACACCTGGGGCGCGCACGTAAAGTCTGCGGTCAGATCTTTGAAGGAGGACAGCGCCGACCAACAACGATGGGTTCTAGCGCTTGACAGCCTGTACCACTTCTATCCCTCCAGAAAGCCAATCTTCAACTATGCCGCGCAGACACTCGATGCCTCGTTCATGGCCTTTGACTTGATACTGAGCGACGGAGCGTCTTTACGACAGAGGTTCCTCGTCAACCTCATTGGCCTGGCGATGGGTTGTCCTGCTGCTGCTTTTGTTACAGTGTCAGACTACAAGAAGCAGCTCCTTGACGCGGGTTATGATGAAGATGATATCCATTTCAAAGATATCACGGAACATGTCTTCTCTGGTCTCGTCAGTTATATCAAAAGTCAGAGTGAAGCGTTACAGCCGTTTGGGATCTCAGCGGGGAAGTTCAAGGTTGCAGCAATGGTGTTTGACTGGTTCGCTGAGTCAAACGCAATGAGGGGAACGATTGTGATTGCGCGCAAGAGATCCAAAACCCAAGGAGAAGCATCGGATATGAAGGGAAGAGCAAAATGAATCTCCATTTGAGAGCATCTTCAATATCAAAAGTATCGGTGTCTATACCATTGCGTACTTGTCTAAGTTCAATCATCAAAGCCCGCCCTACTGCCATAATTACGACATCAATTCATTGACTGAAAGCTGAATTTTGGTTCATTCGCCAGGCTAGGACACCAAAGCTCTGAGAATCATTGAGCAGACAGAGTACTATGTGTTAATCCTGTCTTCATACACCATTCAAACAAAGAAGCAGCCACTAGACGACACGAAATCCTTTCATACCATCTATCTTAGCACCTGAATCGATCGGATTGATCAGGTGGCGAATCGGAAGTCAAGACTATGAAGGATTAGTAAGAGGATGAGTTCACCAGGCGTCCATGTATCTCACCGTTTGTTGCCTTTATCCGTTGTGTTGGCACGGTAGTCGTGTTGCTGCTCTGGTGTCATAGCATCCCACTTCTTGGCTTTGCTGTTGTTCCTCCACCGATAGTAGAAGTAGGTGAAGGGGTATTGTACAACCTGGGAACATGTGAGCTGTGAGATTCAATCTTGAGGCAGGATGATTGTCTACTTACACACATCCAAATACAAATGACCAATAGGCCCTTGTTGGCTTTGAAGTACCGAGGGGCATCACTTGGTTGATAGACTTGGCTAGTCAGCATCCTCTGTTATGTTGAGTCTGAAGGAGAGCTACTTACTATTTGCGCCGATCATACCACTGACTTGAACCCACATATTGTACAGGCTACAAGCATATCGTAAGTTATATTTCACATCACCGATATGAGAGTTATAGAGACTTACGATGCGGACACTGTTCTGTTCTGGACGGATCCGGCATTCCTACTTGTCCAGGCAACTTGAATAGGATGCGTGCTGGCAGAGATTAGCAATTAGAAAAGAAAAAGCGGAGTCCTCCGCACTTACTAAGGGAAGGATAACAAAACTGTCGCAATAGCAAAGTAAGCCCAGGGGCTTGGGTTCGCGATTACAATCAGGGCGATGAAGCATGGCAATAACCATGCATCCTCAGCCATGGCGACGAAACTGCGATTGTTGCAGAGCTCGCTAGCAGCCGTAATGGCCAACATGGTGATACTTGACCCGATGATCCACGGGATTGAGAGCAGGTTGGTCTGGATGACGTTGAACTTGAGGTCTCGGAGCGACAAAGTAAGGTACTGGTTGACAGGGTACTTCGGCAAGCCGAAGAGCAAGCCAAGAGCGTACAATGGCCACATGTCGTAATCCTTGGAGCATTCCCAGATCTGCTTGACGGACAGACCTTGTCGGTTGTACATGCCACCTTTCTGGGGATCGTCGCGGATGACTAGCAGAGTTTATTAGCTTTGGAAAAGGTGTTACATTTCTGGGAGACGTACCGGAGTTGACAATGATCTTCTCCTCCTTCTCGTTAAAGTAACCCTTGGGGTTCCACCAACTCTTCGTCTTGGCAGGGCATTGAGGCATAAGGAAGAACGAGCACAGTCCGACACAGACTAGATCGATATTGTTAGCGATGTAGCCGAAACATTATGGAGCGAAACTTGTTGACTTACAAGTGAAAGCACCTCTGGCAACGTGATGTTAGTAACTTAACAGCGTCGCAAGATCATTATGGGGAGGCTTACTCGATGAGGAACAACCAACGCCAGCCCTCGTATCCCAAAATGCCGCGCATCGAAACCAGACCGACAGCAGCGAATCCAACACCGATGTCAACTAGAAAAGCCTATCAGTCAGAGTTGAAAGGAGCTCGAGAGGAGTGTAGAATGACGTACCTAGTTGCGAAGACATCCAAAACCAGGCCAGTCGAATCGGAAGCTGGGGACAGACATTAGGAGGGTGTTTTAGTGCAGAAGTCCGGGACGGGATTGCTGACTGAAGTGCCTGTGTACCAATAACTCAAGTAGAGGATAGTGTCCCTGCCAAGGAGTTAGTCAAAAGCTTGAATAGACCTGCCTGTCAAGGGCCAAGACTTACGGGATGAAACCTCCTTGAAAGGTTGCGCTAGAAACCGGGTCGTAAGTACACGTAATTTAGTCTTTCAGGAGCAACAACCACACTTACATGAGGTATCTTGTCGCAAGAAAGGACGCTCGACCCTTTAGGAAGAATTGCGCTCCAGAGATAATAGAGAAGAGGCAAATCTGGATGGGAATCCACAGATCGGGTCCAATACTGCAAGGCTCAATTAGTACGAATTCACAAGTTGGCAGGCAAGGACTACTGACCGCTTGGAAATCAACTGCGATGGAAGCTCGGCAACAAGAAAGCCAACCCGGGATATTGTTTGACCAAGGTTCTAAGTCGGGTTAGCGGGTATCAGAGGAGCCAGTCTCCTCATAACTCACGTAGTCGCCTCGCGTCAACCCGAGATCGTCAAGCATATTATCGGAAACGGCGTTGGAGATATTGTTCCGGTCGATGTTGAGGGCTGCGAACATGACACATGCCCAAACCTGTGAGTGATCAGCTTGCGTCCTTCTTCGAGTTGTCGGGGTCATTGTACCATGATTTTCCAGTCGACTTTACGCCTAACAGCACGTTCCTCTCTCCATGTCCATCGGAAACTGGGATCAAAAGCAGCCCAGTTCTCCCATTGCGGGTGGATGTAGAGGCTCTTGTACTCCTCGACATTCTCGGAATCCCATATACTCGGTTGCGTGGCAATCTGTTGAGCATGTTAGACGCCACCGGGGTCTTTCGCAAGTTGATATGAGTCGATATACGCACCGCGTCGAGGTCGTACTCTTCTGCCTTCGGTCCTTTCCGAATCATGAAAAAGCGGAGGATGGCATCGCCCATTGCCGCTTCCATGCGTTGAGTCTGCTGCGTTGCAAGCGCGGGCGCTGTCGGAGGCGCGGCATCGACAGTAACCTTATCGTCGACAGCGGATTTGGAACCCAGGCCGCCATGGTCAGACGACGTATCGGACCCGGCTGGTGACGGCTTCCCAACTGGATGTTGCGAGGACATCTTGTTCATCGTCAAAAGATAGAACAATGACGTACCGTGTCTGCACAAAGCGAAAGTTCAAACCAAAACCCAGCCCGCATGCAGGACAGACGAACCGTTCTATATAAGTGTCTCTTGATAAATCTCTTCCAGCAGGGGTTTCAACATGGACTGCATGCCGAGCGAACGGCTTATTCTCCAGCTAAGCTGTCATCAAATGTCGCCACAAGGCGTGACGAGCATTTGAGGGTGCTAATGGGTAGGAAAGGGGCATGCTTTCTCCAAATCTCGGTCTGATACCGAAGGGCGATCCACAGGCAGATGACGACAGGCTACCTATTCAGTGATGCTGACCCTCCAGCAGCAGCTTAAACGGTTGTATTCCGAGGAGATGCAGAAGTTGTATGGGAAGTCCATATATACCATGCCGTTAGTTGCGGCACTTGTCGTAGCTTGGCCAAGGGTAGCCACAGTTCCTTTAGTTTTCCTGGAACTCCGCGTTAAAGCTAAGCCCTATGCCACCAGTTTGTAACCTCGTCACAACCTTCGATTGACTCCTGATGGGCATTCTTTTTTTCTGCCCACGAAAAGTTGTCATCGAGATTGAACTCCTACAGTCGACGTATCGCTACTGTGGGAGAAGACGAGGAACATTTGATAACTGGGGCTGATGCAACTGTGTGGGTGTCTAGTGTGTCGCGTCAGCTTGCCTGCAGCTCGCGCAATTGATTCACCATCGTCGGAGTGGATGGCGTGCTACACGTGACCACCTCCCGTTGAAGAAACCTCAAACCTGTCCAATCATTTTGCAATTGACTGTCATTCGGAGAATCTGAGCTCCTACACTGAAAGTTTCATTGTAAGAAACGCGTTGATCTCTTTGCCAAATCTTCACGTGGTGCAAGCTGCGCTTCTCCATTCTGCACACATCGCATTCTCCTGCCCCTAATGAGATACTGACATTCCTTGTCTCCCAAGAAACAGCCGTCGGCCTTGAATAGTCAAGTCTCTACAGACTAAGGTACCACGGTAGGGGCTCTAGGTTGCGACCGCACTCACGGCCAGATCTGATGTGTGCCTGGGCACTAGAGTTCCGGGTGTGATTCTTCCTGAAATCTTGTCATCACCTGGCTGGGGGACAACGGTTCTGGCTCTGAAAGCTGCAACTCTGTATTTCATCAGGGATCCATGCTTTCTGGCACTTGGAGTTTGTTTTCCAAGCATATTTTGAGGGGTCATGAGCACGGATTGCCTCCTAAGCAGTTTTCAAATTAGGTGATAACACCATAATGGTCCCCGCTCAACACGTCGACTCTATTTCTGGCTTCCCTAATACTGCTATTGCTGCTACTACTGATGCTACCATTCTTTCTACTGTTTGCATATTCCACACGTATTACTCTATAGGAACCATGATGCGATGAGGAAACCAATGATAATGGCTATGAGAAGGCAACTACTTAGTTGTGTGCGTCCTGATTTCTGACCCCGTCACCCATTTTGCTGTGGAGCATGAGAAGGAATACGTCCCACCAGGGCGTATCGAATCTCGGAGAAATTTAACCCCCCTTTCTTCCTACTACGCGGATTCTTAGGAATTAAAGCTCAATGGATGACAGTTCAATCTGATGCTTGGGTCCCTCGCAATTCTCGTTCTACGTCAAGGTCCGCCGCAACTTCAAATCAGTTTGCAGCGCCAGAACGTAACAATATCGCGCCTTTCCAGCTTCAAATCCCACAATGCCTTGGTTTGCTTCCGCCATGGGTCTCTCCTGAACCCAAAGCTCAATTCCTTGATCAGCAGCCAAGTTCAACATCTCGAATAACTTCCACAACCTGGAGACTTTGATCTCATCCTGTTCTGCTCTCAATATCTAGAGTTTGTAATTCCCTGATGTGAATTCTACCGACATCAAACAATTACAATTGTGCTATGAATTTCCGCAGAGAGTATTCGCAGTATAGGTGGAGCGCTCGGTAAAGGAAAGGAAATCGCGAGGAAGAGAGGAAAAGCCAAGCCGTGTAGAAGGAATAAACAAGAGAATACAAGAGAACATGGTGTAGAGAAACCTATGTTCACTGAAGTAGTATACAGAAACAGTAAATGAGTTATGATCTTTCATATGCCTAGCCATCATATATACATTTTCGTGCTGGAAGAAAACCCTGATGTGGTTTGTTCTGATATCAAGGCAGCCTCAGGGGCCACTAACGAATCATCGCACTCCGCGATGCCACACCATGGTCTAAACTAACTACTTACCTTACACCACGGAATGCCATGTGTCTCCACAATCTAATTTACCCACAATTCTGCTGAGAAACATTCATGGCGATTCTGAGAGTTTGAACAAGCCTTATTGATGCAACCTTTATGCTGTTGCATATGTGTGTTGCCATGGTACGATGTCGGATCGAGGTAGCGAACCAACCTCGACATTTCCATTCTCCCTGTGAGGCTGAGTTGTCTTGCGTCAGTACTTTGATGATGCAAACTAATCCCTGAAAAGTACTGACCTCTTGTAAGCGTGATGCGATTGGAATCAACTCCCCACTGATACGTTGCATAGCAGAGTCTCCAATCGACCTGATGCAAAGAGTAGCCTTTTTGCCAGAGACACTGGACATCATGAGGATTCCTGTTGCATCGATGTGTTCCGAGCTGTTACTAAGATGTGGAGAAAGGTATTCGTTGCCATATCGCTCCTCTACGGCATCTAGACCCTACCGAATGAGGTCTTTTCTAACGAGCTGTCCGCTTGGTACATCTCATACCACCATAGTCCAGTGTAAACGCAAGAAGTGGTTGCTGGAGATAGATAGCGTTGGAGAGTGTTCCCGTCCTTTTCACTGGAAGGGCATTTGACAAACCTGACATGACAATCTTAGGCTCTTCGAGCCCTTCTGAGCGGGTGCTCTCTCTATCCATCTGAATATGCCAAGCAGGGACATGTATTGATGGGAGCATATCTGAATCTTTCTCTCCTAGCCCATACATATCGGGCGATCTTTGACAAGCTGATTCTCAGAGAATAGAGCCTTGTGGTGAATTCTTTTGTAATTGGTGCAAAACACGTGCCCCTTTTCCTGTCAATCGTCAACTTTGGGACAAACCAGGGTGGTAGGTGTAGATTGACTCCTCAAGCAAACTTCGCAAACGGCGTTCAGTTTTAACCTGTGTGCGATCTCTCATTTGTCTTTAGCAGGGGGATCATTCAAATACATTTCGATAATTGGCCTGAGTCCGCTTTGCAAATCGCCACAGCCCTTGAGTTTCTTTTGTCCATGCCGCAAATGATTGACTGAGTACTGATGGTCGGAAGCGATGTGAAATGGTCGACTTAATTCGTTTTCGAATGTTGAATGATTTTTAGGTAGCTCTACTGGCTTTTGAAGGCTAGAGAAACAAGCATGTTCGAATGCCGAGAAGAGCATGGAGCAACTTTGTCGTAGACAGAATATGTCGACGGGATCCAGACGTTCCATGACTAGCAGCTGTATCTTGAGTGGAATCTGATATATCAGGAGTTCTTTCGCATTGATTCCGGCGTGCTTTTTTGTTGACTTTTGATCATAACTGGTGTAAATTTTGCCTGATCTGCAGGCTTTGCATGCTTTCTGATAGGGTGTAATCGAATCGCCACTCTGTGTTGGCGATTGGCGGTATGGAGGCAATAGATTGAAAATGCTGACACACAAGGAAGGTAGTCCTGTGATCAGAAACTCCCAAAATCGACCCATTACGAATGGGGGAGAAAGCGATATGCCCGGATGTAGAGAGATAAATGTGACAAGGCAATGAGGTGGTAAGCGAGCCGTGCTCCGGACGAAGATACAAACGCAGTTTTGAGAACCTGCGTGTGTACCAATTGATTAGGATATGGAGCTGAACGTACGACCCGAGTAGTAGTTCGGGCGAGGATTGAGCGAAAGAGACAAGATGTTGCAGAGAAACAGATGGTGAACATGGGGTGCATTATGCTAATCCTGGGGGCTTCAGTCTTTTCAAAGCGGAATGTCACGATAAGGTTTACTACCGGTAGAACCATGATGAAGGGGCGTAACATCACACAATTAGCTGCTTAGTGACTTTGATGGTAGATGGATTTAGGTCGGTTGGCGGCTCCCGTGTCTCTGGCACCAACCCTTATGGTCGAAGCTCATCACGTTCATAGGTACCTTAGGTACTAGGTAGGCACCCCCAGTGAACCGGCGAGTTGCCCTCGCTCCAAGTAGCTCTTCTTTATTACATACATACACAGAAAGTAGATCCTCTGCCATAACTACATGAACTTTCAAAACGTGTGACGACTCTTCCCTACTGCATGAATACTTACATGTATCCTTCTAATCCAATCAACGCCTTACAAGGATGCTGCGGGCAATCCACTACTAGCCTCTCACTGGAGGGTCGGATGCCTCAGAGATGAACCGTATTGTCGCTTTGGCGACCTCGTAAGTAGCCTTGGAGACGTTGATGGGCGCACGCAGAGACCCCTGCACAGCGGTGCTTGCCAGTTTCAATAGACTCTAAAGTCGCATGCGGAATGATTGTTGAGCTCATGGTAAGGTCACCGTAATGAAGTGAAAATGATTCAACATAAATCAGGTACGCATTGACCGCGAAACCGCCTCTTGATACCGTTTACAGGACATTATTGCCGCAATATCACATGTAAGTTGGAAGGGAGGACTTGGCGTAGTGAGAGTAGCCCCAAACGCCCATATGTATATACTCCATCTGTTGCACCATCAATCACGAAGCCGATAGAGAAGATGCCAGGCCATCAGTCAGACTTTAGTCAAGCTACAGTCATGCTGTACCTTATGGCTGTAAATATCTGTAAAGGAGTTAAGCAGAGTGTATGTAACCCGAGCACTGACGAAAATGGCCCCTAGGAAGGATGATGTGCCCCGCGCTCTCAGTGCCCCGCAACGCGTTGGTAGCTTGATCGCGTCTCGCTGTGTGGCGTGGACGCGATTATCTCACCCCTCCTACTTAAGCCCCAATACGCTGAACCTTTCACATTGACAAGTCACCTGGCCTGTTGTACGCGCTGCGAACTACGTTGCCGTACCTTGGATAAAATACATCGATATTCTTCAATTTATTCAACGACATCTTGCAAGGCAATTTCCGAATGAATCCGCAATGAGTGGTCTAATAGAGAGCATTAAGGCCCACTGGAGTCGAGTACCCTGCGGCGGTTGTGGCAGCGTCTACCCCAAACTGTGTTTCTCCGTCAGAGATCAACGATGCGCCAATCGCAAAGAGGTGCTTACCATCGCTGCGGACTGCGAAGTGGCAATAGCTGAAAGAGAAAACATCAACGATCGGGTGGAAGCTTTCAAGCAGGACGAGGATCGTCTGCACGAGACGCTGGCCCGCGAGGACGTCTACATCAAGTCTCTTGAAGTCGCACTTGAGGAAGCGCGGAATCGCCGTAGGAAAACGTGTGAAGAACATAATACCCGCTGGGCCGACTTTACAAAAAACTTCGACGGCCACCGAGACATGATCAACAAGTCTGGTCATTTGGTTAATCGGTTGCATGAAGCCATGGGGAGGATGTATGCCCTTAACCCTAGACGCTTTACGGACCACAGCCTGGAGGATCACGACCGGTCTGAAGAGAATAAGGAAAATATCGGGCCTCGATGGGAGATTTGCAGTATTACTCCGTCCACCTACCTCGCAAGTGACGACATGCGGCCGAGTGGGGGTGAATCGGCTTGCATGGTAAGAGAAGGGACGACAAAGTATCAGGCTGTCGCGAACTGGGTTTTTGCCACCCTAGACGCGCAATCTGAAATTGATCGAGGAGTTGGTGTCAGCGGTAGTGACCACACATTTTCATCGGCGAGAAGACCACGGAGACAAGAGTGTTGCGGTCAACGGCATCGGTACCGACCGTACGATCGTCGAGGTTGACAATTGCTCCGGAGTAGCTGAGCCTCCTTCCCGTGGATCATGGCACATACACATCTAATACTAGCCTGACAGTTGCATCATGTTTTTTGAGCCTCCTTTGATATTACCTCGCCAAATGCAAGGCTGTTCATTCATGCGCCAGAGTCCGCTACCACTGGCGCTTTTCCGCTATTTGATGAACACTGGCCCTCGACAACAGACGAGAACATTGAGATGGAGGCAGTGTATGAAGAAAGGTAATTCCTCGCTGATACGGTGCGCGCTAGGTAGGTAACGGTGCCCGGTCCTCTGGGTTAGCACCCCAGCAAACTTGCGGGCATCATGGAGGAGTTGAGTCCCCCGATGGAAAGACAGTAGGATACACGCGCCATCTTACCTATGATGACGTGTGGAACCTGCGAATTGTCTGACACTCTTTACACTTAAGACCTGCCTACCTTCTACAGGAATGTGGCTTGAAATCTCTGAGTTTAAGCCAGTGCCAGCGATCAAGTGTGCTCCCTGTGAAACTCTGGTCCGGAGATCCGTGCAATAACGCAGTAAAACGCGTCGTTGCTTGACGCGTCCGCGTCTCCGAGCACCAGGCCCTTAAAACCCCTGCATCAACACGCTTCCACTTAGGTACACTGCTTTTTCTTGTCCAACATACTTTCGTAACAAATACTCAGCCAGGTATTTGAAGTGTATACTAAGGAGAGCAAACAAAACTCACTTGGACTCGGGTTACTCCATTCGTTAATACTACACAAAGATCAATAAAGTAAGGGCTACTGTGAGAAGGCCACTCAAGGTGAGAGGATCCGCTCCTGTGGAAAACCAACAGTGTGCTCACGCTTGCCAGATGCAACCCCTGTGGAAGTCAGAATACATCGGTGGATTTGCAGAATGGGACCCGACGCCATGCAGAGGCTGCGGAAGAAGTGGCAATCACACCATCATCAAGCACAGAAACTGCGCAATGATGGAACTTGAATCCTCCGTCGCCGCGCGAGTTATGACCGATCGTGCTTGGGAACGACTGGAGCGTATTATCAAAAATGCAGAATATGTGATCGATGAGTTCGACGGGGAGTGCCAACGAGCAGATGCTGCCGTGCGTGAGATGGAAGATGCTATCAAGATGGCGGAGGAGATGGTAATTTCGCAAGCCGTCCTCGGCCCTCTGCGAAGGGCGTTGCGCAAGGCGGAGGAAACTCGCGACAGCGTTGTGCTCACGCGCATCAACCGAAAAAAGATGCTGGTGTCACTGTATAGACAGAGGATGGCAATGTGCGACTTGTTGAACGTGGCGGAGGTTCGCGAGGAACTGGCGATTGAGACGTACCTGGCGACCCGACCGACCAGCCGAGACACGAGACTGGAAGCGCCACGAAGCGCTGCAGCACAAGCATCAGAACGGGCTAGGTGGTGGCAGCAGGAAGAGTTTGCCGATCCCGAAGAGCTCGAAGAGGATGAAGAGCAGCGATACCAGTACTTTCTAGATGACTGGAAATATCGTCGGGGGCAAAAAATCCGCGACCCTAAACTCGACTTCCTCCGCGATTGTATAAATTCACCATCCGTCGGCCTTCCTCCAGGTTGTACACGTCGTGTCACAGTACAGGACGAAGAAGACAGTTGGGCTCAGACTCCCACTCAAGTGGCCTCTTCCACACCTGTTCACTCGATCAAGATAGAGGATGATGAAGAGCAGGAAATTGTCAGGCGTCCAACGCCATCATCTTCACCGCCCATGTCTTCATCACCCGAGACGATGTCGAGTCCCCGCAGACTGCTGTGGGGGCATACCAATGAAAGGGCGACACGACACAGCATGAAGCGCAAGGACAGCTCTCATCCGGCGTCTGATGATTCGATAGAAGAGGCGCTGGGCCGCGCATTCAGAAACATCGAGAAGTCCGAAAGTGCTGGTGCTACTGCGGCAACGGGCCGGGCCCGACGAACTACGGGTGCTACTCGGCAGAAGCAGCGGGTCAGGCCGTACTAGAGTGAGACGCGGGTTGAGACCGTGAGACCCCCAAAACCCCGGGATGCCTGCGTGGAAGGGTTCTAGAATGGAAAGTTTGTACACTTGTGACACTTGTATTATAGCTATGAACAACTTTATGAAACAAAGACCAAGCTGACTCCGGGATATTGGATTGACAGAAACGGTTGGGAACTTGGAGATCGGCTCATCTCCTCCTTCTCCAACCCCTGACGCTCACAAGACCCTCAGAGGGGCGGTCCCATTCAGAAACTGGAGCTCCTTACCAGGGGGTCACAATGTAACCGAAAGTGAGAGTCATGAAAATCCCGCCGTATCCGTGTGCCACCTGAGCCGCTTTCCCCTATTTGGTAGCAATTTCGGTGGAGAACTGCAAAGAGAAAACCCAACGTTCAAAGTCAGTTTTTTCTTCAACCCATGTCTTTTTGCTTGTTTTTTATGAAGAACATATCCGTCCATGGCTCCATGCCCCCATTCTCCTTTTCTTTGGCTGAGCAACGGCTGGAAACGAACCACTCCCCCGAAACTTGGATTTCTCATTGATGAGACCAGAGAAAGGATGAGCGAATCGGTATCAAAGCCATGCAATGGTGTGGAAACTTGCAGGAAGCTGCTGCAGCCAGGGTTTTCTTGCTCTTCCTGCCGGCAGGCATGGGTACCAGCACCAGGCTGTTGGAAACGAATAGTTTCCTGGGGTTTGAGAGTTCGCTCGAGAGTTTCTCAGCACTGAGCACAACCATGATGCCATCGCGTGACATGTTTGTGAACGATCTTCAGCATAAACCAAGGTTTAGGGAGCTGCCAGACCTGCATCTGACGGCATAACTGACTCTTGACTCTTTATCCAACACCCAATGACGCATTACGTGTCTGCATACGAGAGTCCATACGTATCCTCATACGAACCTTGGGCCGTTCACCTGGGCACAAATGGAGTCGACTCAATATCGCTAACTCTTCCAAAAGATCCACATACATCCCCCTGGACCTGGAGCAAAATGGGGTCCTCTGCAATGATGAAGAGGATCGTGACCCCCCGCTGCCCAGGTGCTTCCAATTAAGCTGTGTGAGAGAGGTGGTTTCTTTTCCTTCATTCCCGTTCACCTTAGGACCCTTTCCTGTCCGAATGTCCACCTTTAGACCCCTACCTACATCATCTACAGCCTCCTTTTGATATCCCCACCGGCGGGAAACAAGATCTTCGAACCACCAAAAGGTGAGACAAACCCCGTGCTTGATCGCAGCGGGAATCTGCTCATGGGGCACATTACTTAAAAAATGCCTTCATTTGCGATCTCGATGAGTAAGGCTGAGTGAGCTGACATGGGGTTGAGTAAAGCGCGAACGTGTCCGTGACCTCGGAAAAGAGTGTACATTTCTGCTCTACTGGAGCAGTGACAGTCCAGCTAGATGGACCCGGACGTCTGCCGGAATTGCGGCCACAGTGGCAAGCACATTGACTTTGCGGACGCCCGATGCGCCATCACGGAGCGGGATGACGCCGAGCGCGACAAGCTCCAGGCCGACGCGGCCCTGGCCCGGGCCCGCAACATCTGCGAGACGTCGCTCTCACTCATGAAGCGGCAGATGCAGGAGCTCGAGGACGCCAACGAGGCCATTGACGTACTGCGCGCCGCGCTGGCGGCCGCCGAGGACCGAAGGGAGCGCGTGCGGCGTGATCTCGGCACCCATGGCGACGTGTGCCTACTCGCGCGGTCGAACGTCGAGGCGGCGGAGGAGATGGCCATCTCGGCTGCCGGGCGGTACTTTGAGGCCGGAAGGGCTGTGACTGCGTTGGAGGATCGGGAGCAGTTGAGGAAGCAGTCGCCGAGTATTCACGTGGAAGAGGCGCCGCCTTTGCCGGTGACTGTGCCAATGGAAGAGGATGACGATGCGGAGGATGAAGCGAGGGAGAAGGAAGACCGGAGGTGGAAGAGGTCGAATGAGCGCTTTTGCAAGTGGTTGCGACAGTCTGAGGCGCAGCGGCAGATTATGAAGTCTTCGTGGACCAAGCTGAGGGTCGCGGAGAGGTTAGCTGGGGAGAGCGTCAATGTCGACGTTGATGTCGATGTCGACGCAGTTGACGAAGAGGAAGATGAAGAGACGGCACGCCGGAAAAGGGTCCAGGCGTGGACTGCCGCACGGAGGCTGACAGACCAGCTTCCGCCAGAGGAGGACCCTACCATGGAGACGGAGTACCTGGAATCGGAGCCGACTGATTCCGCAGAGACGACGGAGGGATCTTCTGAGCCATTGGTGTTGGCGCCGGCACCGACGTCTGCTCCTACTTCCTCCGCTCACAAGACTGGCGTATCCAAGAGAGCGCCGGCGCTGAGGACAAGGGCAAAGACTGGCAGAGCTGCGACGACGGCGACTGCACCTGCGACGCAAGCGCCCCAGACTGTGCCGTCAAGTCCGATAAAAGGACGCAACCTACGGACTGCTCGAAGGGTGGAAAGCCAGACTCGCTCGGAACCGACGCGGCCGACAACAGCGACGACAACGGCGACGAAGAGGGTGAAGAGGGAGCCGAAGACAACATCTGCGGTCGTGATGGGGAAGACGGGGACTACCACTGCTCCTAGCTCAGATGGTGCCGCCGCTGGCCGGCCGGCTGCGCGGACACGGGCTCGGACTGGGAAGACCCCGGCAGCGCCTACGGTAGTGGCAGCGGAAACACCGGCGGCGACACGGCCTCAGAGGGCTACGAGAAGGAGGTCGGTGAGAGTTCAGCCATATCCTCAACCGGGTGCTCAGCCGAGATGGAAGTGAGGTGTTTTTATTGACGTGGCCATGATTGGATGGTCTAGTAGTTGCGTTGAAACTGTGAAGGCCTTGAGGAGGGGGCCGATGCCCTCCTCGTCCATACCCCTCAGATTGAATAGTCTCAATTCATAGCGTTTCTTTTGTCAATTGCCCACCCATTGAGTCGACTGTACTCGATGTTTTCTAGTCACATGTGTTCGCCAGGAGCCCAGTCATGAAAAGATGTGGTGTTATTTGTTCAGAAAATGAGTGAGAGTCATCTGATTAGATGACCATAAAATGTCGCCATCGGAGCTACCCATCACGACATGGCGGACCGTCAACTCTAAAAGAACCTCCACACCGAATCCGCACTTCTCGTCTTCTTGAAAGCGCTGTACCATCTACACAGCGGATACATAATCGCCATAACAACCAGCCAATTTGCCCACCAAACCCAAATGTTACTGACTCCGACCGCAGGCCTACCGTCCATTGGAGGAGGCAGGCCGTTCTCGCGCCCAAAGAGCCCAACGAGCAGCATGCACAAGCTAAAGAGGATGACGAGGTGCGTGAGGTAGAAAAAGAGTGCCGACGTGCCAAACACGAGAAGAACGCCGAGCCACTTTGTTGCAACCCGCGGAGGCACCGAACCGAAGATGGCGAGCAGGAAGAACGTCGCCGCAAGAGTGTATGCGAAGAAGGCAAAGTCTGGCGGGTACTTCACGACGTAAAAGAAGGACGCCACGGAAACGAGGTACGGGTTCGCATCTGGGCTCGCCGCCTGATCCGGGGTCCGCAGACATCCTTCAGATAGATTCCCAATGCGGAGTACGCGTGTGAGAACGAAGAGAACGCTGAAGATGAGGCCCGCGGCGACGTTGCCGCATGCCAGCTTCGTGGACGACAAGGGACGAGCAAGGATGATGCGCGCGTAGAGGAGGCCCAGGATGGCAAATGAGAGCCACGCCAGAGGTGGAAAGCCGGACATGACGTGCGGGCGGTTGACTTCAAAGAACCAGAAGCGCCAAAAGTCGTTGGCTACCGTGCCGGTGACAGGAGAAGACGAGGCGGCGGCGCAGGCTCCATGGGTCGGCGACACCCAGTGATTCCAGCAAATCGTGACGAAGCCGAGTACAAGAAGCACGGCGTTGTGGATGTGCCATGAGATTTGTTGGGCGCGAGCGGAAGCCTTGGACTTGGGCGGATTATCGTGGCCCGTATGAACGAGGAGAGGCGTCCTCTCACTTCCGTCGCCGCGACGACGACCACCTCCACAACCGGTACCTACAAAAAAACGATCGAGCAGGTTAGCCAACAACGGCTCCGTCTCGTTGATAGCGAGCCACAAGAGGCCGACGAGGAGGTAATCCACCGCCAGCGCCACGAGGACCATGTTAAGAAACCACAGCTGGCCCTGCGTCAGCACGAACCCCATGACCGTCGAGACGGCCGTCAGAATGACGGCGCGCATTGCAAAGTGCTTCGCCATTCGGGCGGAGGACCAGCCCATCTTGAGGCGGGAGCGGCCGAAATACGCGACACCCATGCCGAGGAGAAAAGTGAAGCCGGGGGCGCAGAGGTGCGAGAGCATGCGGACGGCGTAGCCAAAGTGACCGTTCCAGCGCTCGACGACGGCGGAGTCGGATTCTTGGTGGTTTGCGCCGGTGGAGTGTGGCCAGGCGTTGAGGCCAACTACGTTGTGGTCCATTGCCATGAACATCATCAGCAGTCCACGGAGGAGGTCCGGCGCCAGAGCGCGGGTTGGCGGCGGCGGAGGTGAGGCATCGTCAGCTTGTGCTGGCTGCTCTGGTAAAATGGTCGGCCGGCGTCCGTTTGCTAGTGCCCGAAGGGAATCCGTGGCTTTTGCAGTTGTCGTTGAAGGCGGCTGAGAGGTGCCGTAGGTGTAGCCGTTGGACGACGTGCTCGGCTCTGCCGTGTTGACGTTGTCGTCGTCAGATTCGGCTGCCGTCACGGACTCCTCATCGTTGGGGAGGGTGTGCAAGGACGTATCCTCCTCATCCCGATGGAAACCTCGTACGTTGGGGTCTTTGAGAGACTCTCGTAATATGGAAGCGAGGTTGGCGTCTGTCGAAGCCATCTTGCTCGCCGGGTTATGTTGGTTTACGTTGAGAGCATTCAACAGTTTTCATGAGTCTCACAAGAGGAGGACTTGAAGCACAAGAAGGCAAAGGGAACGGTTTATGAACTGTGTCAAGGCTGTTCAACGCCTACTAGGTATGGGAGGATTAGTCAACCGAACGCAGGCTTCCGCCTGACCCGCGTCGCCGCGTCGCGAGAGGGAGGAACACACGGGCAGAGTGTCCAAGAGGGGGATCTTAGCGTGGGCAAAAAAAGGGCGAATTCTATTCTGGTGGAACGTCCTGTCGCAGTTGATGACGTGCACCAATTGCAGTTGGGGGAAATCTGGAACTGGCGGAGCGGAGGACGCGGGCGGCGGCTCAGGCACGAGACAAAGACCGAGTGGACATTAGGCTTTGTTTTGAGTACTTTTATTCATCTCGAAGGTCTCTTTCAGGTTCCCCTGCGTCAGGCACTGCATCAAGCAGCATACTAGTTCTTGGTTATAGTCAAGTGATACCATCTTGTCGGACTCAAGTCGCTTCAAGCTGGAGAACACCTCGAAGAGGTAAGCGAACAGAACAAAAGAGCCTCAACTCGCCCCTCGGTGACTTTTGCAGCTGAGCAATGTGAGGCGGGCCAACTTCAGCCCCGAGCGGCTCAGCCGTCTGAACTTTCCGAGCGACATGTCCGCCGCTAGACACCCACCTGGATCTTCAAACTCCGCATACTTCATCAGCATTGTCTTAGTTGCTGATTTCGATGTTGTTTTCATCCATTCATCTCAATCAACATGAGCACAAAAAGGGACACTCCCAAACCTTCGTCGCTAGGTTCAGGGGCTCTTCTAAGGCGGTGTCGCAACAGGCCGTTTGTCCCGGTTCACTGGTTAGACTTCCCGCTGACCGCCTCAACCGTGTGGATCTGTACCTGACATGGGCCTGAGAACATGTGGCACCGCATAACGGGCTCTCTGGGCGTGACCTGCCAGCGAAACGCTGCATCTGGGGACCTGCCGCAGCCCGATAGCAAGGGATCTACCCGTAGGATCTTTTGATTATCAGGAACCCGCAAGCTTGCCACAGGTGGCCGGACTTGACGCGCAGACTTGTCGATTGATCTGATTCTGCGTTGCTGTAAACGACCTTCTCTTTCTCACGTCAGCTTGGGAGCCGCTAGCAGGATGAAGCTTTGGTGGCTCATTCCAACAAATTCCGCGCAGCCACAGCAACTTGAGTGGCTGAACACACTTGAGGGCTTAGGTCGGCGCGGGGTCAATCAATGGGCCCTGAACTCAACCGAATGAGTCAGCATGACTCTCCCGATCTGCCAGTGCAGTTCAAGAGTCCTTCGGTCAGTACACGCAAAGCCAGCCCAGATCCATGCCCATTTTAACTCTTTTGACTTCGGGACCAGGACATCTCGACGGTGTCTCGGTCTCGTGTCAACATTACATGTGGTATCTAGAAGACGGCCGAAGCCGCGGAGGTCACCGCACCTTACCGGAGACATGTTCCGGTTCAGTTTCCCGGCCGTCTTCCGAACTTGATCCATTTCAGCCGATCGCGGGTGAATCGACTCGTCCTGATTGAGCATTAAGAAACGCTTCTATTGGCGAAAACTTGTGTAGCTGATTCTTAGTCTGCAAGTCGTCATTGCTCGTTGCTATCCGCCATCCCCTCACACGGCAGCTCACAAAATGTGGAGGGATTCTGGAGACCCCATCAGTATGCCTCTGCCGTTCCGAGTTCCGACCTCCGTTGGGACCCCACTTCAACTTATCCGCGGGGCATTATCGCGGGGCAATAAATGAACCCCCAGGCCGTGATGAGTTGATGTCAATGAGAAAGCCGGGACGAGAATTATTGGTCGAAGGCGAGAATATCACTCAAAATGGCAGACAAGACAGATATTGAGGCTATTCTCAAGACATTAACTCTTGAAGAAAAGGTAACGTTCCTTGTAACCTTTGTACCGTCATATCACTGACCCCTCACTCTTAGATCCGCCTTCTCGCAGGCCGCAACTTTGTCGAAACTGGCGATGTCCCCGATAAAGGGGTGCCTGCAATCAAGGTATTCATACCCCCAACAGCTCCATATACCAAAGGCTCAGAACTGACCATTTTTTCACAGACAACAGATGGCCCCAACGGCACCCGCGGCGCCGCGATAGACGGCAGCACAAAAGCAGCATGTTTCCCGGCTGCCTGTAGCATAGCGGCGACCTTTGATCGACGCATAGCCCGCTCCGTCGGCGCGGCTCTCGCCCAGGAATCCAAAGCAAAGGGAGCCCGCTGTCTCCTCGCGCCCACAGTATGCATCCACCGCCACCCGCTTGGAGGGCGCAACTTCGAGAGCTACAGCGAGGACCCCTTCCTTGCAGGCAAGCTCGCCTCGGAGATGATCCAGGGGTGCCAAAGTCTGGGCGTCAGCGCGACGATTAAGCATTTCGTCGCCAATGAGCAAGAGACTGCGAGGACAACGGTGGACGAGACAATTAGTGAGCGGGCGTTGAGAGAGATCTACCTCAAGCCGTTTGAGATTGCGGTCAAAGAGGCAAAGCCTTTGGCCATCATGTCTGCTTACAACCTCATCAATGGAAAGCACTGCGATTCGAATGAGTGGTTGCTGAAGGAGGTCCTAAGAGGGGAGTGGGGATGGAAGGGTCTGGTTATGAGCGATTGGGGCGGAACCAACTCCGTGGCGGAAGGAATCAAGGCCGGCATGGATATTGAGATGCCCGGACCTCCGAGAATACGCAAGCCCGCAGCCGTTCTCAATGCCGTGAACAGCGGCGAGGTAACCGAGGCTGATATCGACGAGCGCGTACGTACGATACTCGAGTGGACGGAACAGCTCAACGGCTTCAAAGACCCGACCATCACCGTGGAAACGGCAATCGATCGCCCCGAACACCGTGCCTTGATTCGGGATGCGGGCGCGCGAGGCATCGTCCTCCTCAAGAACGACAACAACATCCTCCCACTCACGAAGGAAAAGGTCAAGGGCAAGAAGATTGCCCTCATCGGCTACGCCAAAGACGGCCTCGCCCACGGCGGCGGCAGCGCAAGCGTGAACGCACACTACAGACTCCCGCCCTGGGACGCCCTCCATGAGGCCCTGGGCTCCGACGTGGAGTTCACCTACGCAAAAGGTGCTCACAAAGAGCGTCTTCTCCCGCCCATCACCCACGACGGAAGGGTCGGCACCATCGTCGGTCTGGACGGGAAACCTGGCTTCAGCCGGGTGTTCTACGACTTTGGCAAGGAGGATGCCCAGCCTGTTTCGGTCCTCAATAGCTATCCAAACTCGGCTTACTCCCCGCTAGGCTCCCAGGAGTCAATGTGGAAGACACTCGACATCGTTGGCGACTTCACGCCTTCCGAAACGGGTTCGCACTACATCGCCTGCTCAGGCATAGGCCCGACTCAGGTGTTTGTAGATGACGAGGTCGTCTTTGAGCAAAAAGGAAATTGCGCAGATCCTATGGGCGCTTTATTCCAAGCCGCCAACGAGCCGCAAACAAAACATGCTTTCACAGCAGGCAAAACCTACCGCCTCCGCATCCACAGCAAACCGCCTACCAAGATCGGTCTTGAGATCCTGGAAGGCCGCACAGGTGTGCGAATGGGCTTCGGGCTGGAATCAGTCCGAGACGCGGACCTTCAGGGCGAAGCTGCGCGGGTGGCTGCCGAAGCGGACTTTGCTATCGTATTCACCGGACATGATCCGCAGTGGGAGACGGAAGGCCGCGATCAGGAATCGTTCCACCTGCCCTACGACCAGGATGGGCTTATTGATGTCGTCGCGAAGGCTAGCGGCGGCAAGACGATCGTAGTCAACTCTACCGGCGTGGCGGTCGCGATGCCCTGGCTTGGCAAGGTGTCTGCTCTGGCGCAGTCGTGGTTCCCCGGCCAGGAGTGCGGCAATGCCATTGCTGATGTGCTCACCGGTGCCGTAAACCCTGAGGGTAAACTGCCTGTCAGTTTTCCCGCTCTCGTTGAGGATGCTCCCGCACATGGGAACTTCCCTGGGAAGAGAGGTGATGATGGAGTGCTCAGGGTCGAGTATGCCGAGGGCGTATTTGTTGGATACAGGCACTACGACCGTGTGGCAAAGGAGGTATTGAACTTCCCCTTTGGATACGGTCTTTCGTACACAACCTTCGAGTACACAGGCTTTCAAGTGACGAAGAATAACTCTGCTGGAAACGAGTTTGACGTCTCGGTGGAGGTATCCAACACGGGTCCCGTCGCCGGCGGCACTGTAGTCCAGGTGTACGCCGGGAAGACGGAGAGGTCGGCGGACACGCCGGTAAAAGTACTCACTGCGTTTGACAAGGTTCGGCTACAGCCGGGAGAGAAGGCTATGGTCAGGTTGGCGATCTCGGCAAAGAATTTTGCTTCATTTGATGAGTCGACGAGAGAGTGGGTCCTCGAGGCTGGAGAGTACAGCTTCTACCTTGGCGAGTCTGCGGCAGAGACTTTGCAGACTGTATCACTGAATCTGGAGAGAATCATCTACCACAGATAGTGCAGAAGGGGGGTCTAGTGAGTCATTCAATGTAGATGTAAACTTGGAAGTTGTAAATCCAGAACGATCAACATAACGCTGTATTTCAGGGGGTGAATCAAACTGAGCAGACATGACTATGGGCTTGCACATACTAATTGTGGAATGAATTTTCGGACTTCATCAAATGGCATCTCGGCTTGTTCTCTCCGCCTTACGAATGTGCAAGGATCTCGTGATTTGATCCCTCCAACCTTTCCTGTTTCTGAGCATCTTTTTAGCATAACCTCTTGACAGGCACTTCATACTTTACCTGCTACGATTCGCCCAACTCTTGCGACCATTGAAAGATCCGTCACCGGTACGAGTTATCCGCTTCACATATTGATCCATGCGGTGCGCCGCAACATTCGCCCAAGCCTGGTGTTCGAGATCGTCATGGCTAAGCTGGCATGCCATGATTCTCTCTTCTTCTTCTTCATCCTCTTCCTCGTCCTCGTCTCCGTCCCCGTCCCCGTCCCCGTCCTCATCAACCTCCTGTTCGTTTTCGAATAGAACACCATTTGACCAAGGCCATTCAAACGTAGCTTGGGTGGCTTGAAGTCTTGGAATTCGCTCGCCGGCGGGCACTTGCCTCCTCCGACACGATACCATATACGCGTAAGCTCTGTCGCGTACGCTGCATCCATGCGTGGAATCGGGTCGCCATCATTGACGAAGGCGAGTATATTCCCTCGAAGGAAGTTGCTATCGGTATAGATTTTGGTGAGGCGGGCGTCAATGTCGGTGTTGAACAACAGAGGACAACCAAAGTGGACGCAAGACAGCGTCGGCTTCTTCGAGGGCAGATCTGTGTCGTGTTGTCAGCCTGATGCTCTGTTCTGACACTTTAGGTGTAACCAAAACACGATCTGTTCATGTTGGAGTCCTTACCAAGAACTTGGCTTGTAAGAAGATGGCAAAACAGAAGGCATGCAACGGCTCCGTCAGCAGAATGACCTATGAAAACAATTTCTATCTCCTGATCTTCCGTTTGACTCTCGTTTAGGGCAGCTTTTATCTGATATACCAGTCCTGGAGCAACAGTTCTGGCAGATTGGGCGAACCCGCGATGCACTTTCAGCGTTGGTTTCAAACGTGACTCGGGGAGTTTCTAAATAACTTAAGTTAGTCCCACGACTCGATCCCGGACCATAAACCAGAAGTTGAATCTTTCGGTTGTTTGCTTGAGGTCATGATTACCTGTACCGACCACCAAGTCAGAATATTCAGCTAGGTCGCTATTCAGGTTGACCAGCCAGTCGATAGAACTTGCACTCCCTCTAACAGCAACGACTAGTACCTTTCGCTGAGCTGACGGGTCAGTCGGCAAGATCTCAAAAATAGCGGCGGCCTTCCCCGAGCCGTCTCTGGTGGGCTCTATCCAGTGTCTGTCTTTATTGGCATAGTCCAGGAGTTGGGGGACAACATGGCCCGGGTCCTTCTTGTAGACCGCTTTGGAGCAGAGAGCAGCAATTTGAATAATACGGGCGGCGTCACCAGTGCTGGTGTGGTGTAGATCGTCGTTAGAACATAGAAACACCAATATTACCTCTCAAGAAATGAGGCGACGCTTCTGGGTATATGCAAACCTTGTCCACTCTACCGTAGGTAGTTTCATGGATTCTTGGCCCCTAGAGACTACGTCGCGCAAGTCCAGTGCACGTTGCGCCCTTACTTTTTTATTCTGCGATTCTCTCACAAGCCCTAGCCAAAGCAGACACAATTAGCATCACATCAGCCACTGAAGATGGGCCCTTTGTAAGTCTTACCAAAAAGATCTGATTTACTAAAGTCTTCGATCTCATTGAGCATCGTACCTACTGCTGCCGAAGCACCAGCCAGAGTCGTAGAGCCCATAGACCCAGCCCCGGACGCGGAGGCACCCAGAGAATGGCGTGCCACAGACATGCTCAAGTTGAAAGAGTTACTCGTGGGTTAAAGCAGTAGTCAAGACAAATTTAGTTAGAAAATTGAATCAACAGGAAGACATTGCTCTTCCGTGTCGAGGGACGAAGATATTGTGGGCTTGCAGTTCCCCTCTTTCTTACTGTGACAAAATATAGCGAGGGAAAGTGCACTTTTGACCAGGCTGCCATGACGCGTCGGGCATCGCCAGAGAACGCCCCATTCATGGCCGCCTTCTACCTCATGAAATGTAAACAAATGGCTCGGCCAATTGGATTGGTTTTCGGCCTTTGATGTAGGTTCGCCTCCTTAAGGCACCTAGGCAGACCTCGGATCTGGGCGAATCAACACGGCAAGTAGATCCAGAATGCACGCGTGTCAGATATTGCATCATCTCAGCATTTGCCCGATACACGTAATTCCGAGGTGGTGTCAACCAGCAATGCCATTGTGCTCTCTTACCCGCCCCCTTATTGATTCAAGCTGCCTTCCATAGTACTCCCCCTTCTCCGTTTTCAAACTGAACACATTGAACTTTCTCACTGCGTTTGACGTCTACCTTGCTCACCTTTCATCCCACCGCAATCACCATGTGGAAATTACGGACCTCTTCTGTTCAATTACCCCCGAGTCCAAGGGTTCAGTGGGCGAAGCTTGATTCTCATCATCCAAAAACGCTCAATAAAGAACTCAGTGATCTGTATTGGAGCGGTATCGTATCGATCGAGACCTGGACGAAATACTGCGGTTCCTCGACATGTGTGAAAATGTTCCCGAACCGCCGACAGCTGATTCACAGCCGAAACATGAAGATTGGCTTGGCTTCGAAGCCTTTGCCAAGAGAGCCACTCGCTTGGCATTGAACGACGCTTGGTGAGTTTCCTTCATCATCATCACCATGGCCGTAGCGCTAGTTGCTAGATTGTTCGCTAACATCGCAATACGCTGATTTTCTCTAGAGTGTACGATGTTTTAGCCAATCTCAATGATGGCAACTCCGAGAATCTCACGAGAAGAGAATACTTGTCTCGGATGCTTCTACGAGCAGCAGGCACGTACCCCACTCAAGGGATCAATAACAACACTGGAGCCGTATCTGGCTAATACCGTGTGTTCGAATGCAGGCATGCTCGACATTGACAAGAGTGAGTCCTCTCTACGCTGACCTTGGATCTGTTGTGTCCATCTTCCGAAGACGAAATAATCTGATCAAAGCTCAAAGTGGTTGAACATCGAGAACCTGAATACAAGCTGGGTACATGGCCTCGGCCACGAGCACCACGGTGTAAGCACTGCCTTAGTACTTGGCGCTATCATAGGGAAGAATCATTATTGACTAAGCTCTCTTTCAATTCTCCATAGTGATACTCAGATCTGATGAACACAGCCAGAACCCAGTGAGACTTGCGCTCGACACCCCGATTGCAAGCACGACTCTACGCAAGCACGCAAGTTCCACAAGAGCTGTGTCTTGTCATCCTTTCTATCCGAAGAACAGGTGAGGGAGTTGTGTCAATGTGCCGGTGGCGATGCCGAGTCTGACCAATCAAAAGAACTGTATCCTTTCGACCAGAATGACCGCGCCCGTCATTACCCGCTGTGTCCTTTGATCAGGCTCAAGTCACAATATTCTTCCTCGAAGCTGGCTGAAGTCTGCCGTCTTGGCATGTTAGAGGACAGCACAAAGGGTGACGTTCGCAGTCATCTAATCACCGCTGCCACCAAGACTACAGCCAAGATTACAAGGATTCACGAGGATCTCCCGTACGGGAACGCCCATATGAGTCTGATGATGGGCCCGCTGCTAATCGAAAACGGAGTTCCTCAGTTTGTACCCTTCTTTCTCTGGCCCCTCTTTTTGTGATGATTGAGGATTCGTTCTTACATTTGTTCTTTCAGATTCATGGGTGGCGTGCTGTTCACGGTTCGAGATCGTCTTCAGTTGCATCCCGTAGATACTCCTACAAGCTCAGTGATTAGGTGCTTCGCTCTCAGCAAAGATAGACAGTTGTTCAAGACAGAGAGGCATATACCCAGAAACCGCCGAGTAAAGACCTTTATGAAACAGATGGTAGGCAGTCCATTCTGGAGTCTGAGAGAAGAGGATCGTGATGCCGAGGCCGAAATTATCAAGGATGTGGCCAAGGGCAATCTAGATTAAATAGGCGTCCTACGTGTAGGGAAAGGGTCGAATCACGAACGGAAAAATTCCAGGGCAAGAAAGAAAATTCTCGAGAAGCTCCGTACACTTCTACATGACCGTGTCGAGTTCTACATTATTCCATCGTCAACAAACCTTTCGACAAAAGTTTGCCCCTTGGTTGCTTCTATTCTCTTTCTCCCCTTATGCCCAAAATCTACTTTTCGCGCACCTATGCATGTTGATTGTCCATAACGAATACAGTCTGAAGTTGGACAAAAGAATTGACCTTCATCTCAAAGTGGAATATAGGGAGCAACTGCCAAAATTTCTGTGATGCCCTAATAGACCGCAACGTATTCGGCAGCTTCATGGTCTATCCCCGACACTGCAAGGAGAAGAAACATGACGGTCAGGCATCTCAAGTTCAATACTTGATGAGCTTGGTAAGCCGGATCGGTTGTCACGATGGATTCTCTACGCGGGTAGTTCCCCCTTCAAAAGCAACATCCGCGAACGGCCACAATGAGGAATTTCTCCTTCGATTCCGCAGATTCGCCCACCACAACAATACGGACATCGTTGACAGCTTGGTAGAGTACTGGACCGATTGGGGAGGCTTTCGGGCACCGATATTTCGACACCAAGGCCTCTTTCCATGGGACTGTACCGAAGCGCGCACTCTCAAGGAGGAGGCCGATCACCCGCAAGCGAAGTGTGGGGATTGTTCCTTGGCTAAGCATCTTTGGGCCGTTCCGGTTGATGCATGGTTAGTAGAACAGCTTCACCTTCTCAGGGGACGTCGTTTCTATGCTCCATCGCCAGTCACTGGGGAAGGCAATCAAAATCAGATGATCGACCATGACTGGGAGGAGAATAGACACCGCGTGCTTGAAGCGTTTCGGGTTCTTGGCAGCATGGCGGTTGCGATGCATCGATCACAGGTTTTCCGTGACAGGTGTCGATGGAATTTCAAAGCTCGCGGGCTGCCTTTCGAAAACACCTCTACAGACCGAACCATATTCCACAAGGGTCGCGTGACTACTTTACGACAGCAAATTGAAAAGAGAGCAGGCAGGCTTGTCGTCCAGCCGCATGGCCCTCTCATCATCCACGATCGCATAAAGCTTGCAGGCATCCACCGGGCCCAGCCCATGAGTTACCTCTACGAGCATGACATGTACCACGACTGCACTCTGGCTGACTGGGCTGACCTGAATCACGATGGGCAAGTGGCGGCTTACACGGCGCTACGTGACTTTCGATCAGAGCACGTAGACGAGATCATCGAGGACGCAAAGCGAAGGGCGGAATCTAAAACGCCGCATCCTCATGGTCCATATCGAGGCCCCGGCATCGATATGAACGCCACCTCTAGCATGGGAACCGGGGACTGGCTACCTGAAGACTTGGTTCCGGAACAATGTGACGGATCCTACGCAGAAGTCGACTTTGAAGCGAATGAAGATACAGGTGACTGCGACTGTTTATGCGATGCTACGGGTCTATCGGGTTTTGAACAGTCTATGATAGATGGAGGGTGGAGTCTCAGTGACGGTGGGAGCGGATTTCCTGTAGACACAGGCTCCGCAGGGCTTGATATCTCCGGAGGTAATGGAGGTAGCGGTGACGGCAGTAACAACAATGGAGGTGGCAGTGGTGATGGTAGTCACGGAGGGGACAACTCCCATGCAGGGAGTAGCAGTAACGACCAATCGTGGCAGAGTATGATGGGAATGCTTTAGGACGAGAGGCTGTCTGCATCAAGTTGGTGGGGAAGCTATCGGCATTGTCAATCGTTTTCGCTCGGAGGCATCTATTTGACAGTTCAAAGCCGGAGCACCAGGCCTTTCGCTCCCCTCGCCGGTGAGCTCGCCGCAGATGCAGTGGTATCTCTGGAGTCTAGACCACCCCCCCCCCAAGTGTGCATGAATAACTAGCCTTGAGTAATCTTGCCGCGTATACGAATCTCAATAGCAAAGTAATCTTGCATTGTGAACCTTATGGTCTAGCCAAGAACTTCTCTCTATAATTGGAATTGAGACAATGATTAACCAGACTCGGTAGGTCATGCTCAAAATACCAAGCGACCCTTTGAATCATCAACAACCTTGGACAGAGCCGAGGAAGAGGAGGTTATCGTCAAAGCATGGATAGAAACCGTGCGGCGCGGCTCTAGCCCATAGTCACATTAAAGCCAGGGGATCGTTGTGTACTACAAGCAGTAGCTTTATCCTCGCCGGAGCGTCAGCTGAGCGGTAAGCATTGCCTCAACAAGCACCCTTTTCCCGCAATAGAAGCCCCAGCGAAGCTGAGATCCGTTGACAGCCGCGGACAACGGCTGTGCGGGCCGTCTGAGTCCCTGATTCATGACGGCCGCACTCGGTGCGACGGCGTTTGTGGAGCGCTGTGGCCTCCTTGCCAAGCTTGCCAAACAATGAGGCGTGAGCGAAAGCTTAAATCGACGTTAACCCGCAACAGGATGTGACCCCAGCAACTTGAGATACGGCGATCCTAGCAAGTGAGAAGCACTGACAGCCGTAAAGATCGGCTCCACCAATCGATTGACTTTCGATTTACGGCTTGCCGCACCCCCCTAATCTGTGAAGAACAGCGTAACAGCATTTGTCTGGCAATGGATGTCCTTGCTCAAGATAAAGGCTGACAATAAACCTTATCCCCGTCGATTGCCATTAGCAGAAACCACCCCAGCTGATATCTGTAGATCACTTCCCTCATTCGTCCTTCAGAATATCAAATATGGCTAGATATCTCGGTTATGTGATTGAGAACTGATTCATGGCGGCCGCACGGTCACACCGTTGTCTGGCGGCGGGGTCCATAGCAAACGTTGGCCCGGATGCGAAACCTTACGCCGGAATGTGGGGCAGACACGACCGGGTTCCGGCTTTGAACCAACTACATTCCTTCGAACTAGTACTTACTGACACAAGGCTCCATGCGCGGATAGAGCACATGTGGGCGCGGCTAAAGAGGACCCTGCAAAGACCTCTCGGAAAGGCTCCCCAGCCTCACCAGTCCAATCTCGGCCGAGACAGGGTCCCGGCCTTGTACCAATACTCCGTGAATCCGTAGACCTCAAGTGTTCCACAGATTCACCACGGTCAATTGGGACTTCCTGGCCAGCCTCGGTTTGGCCTGATAACAACGCGGGGCGGCGGGGGCCAGCGTCCCGCATCTCGCTCCAGGGTTTCTTGTTGTCCGGGGAGTTAGAACGTAGAATAGTCCGTCGACTCCCGAGGAAGTCTTGTGGCCTGAAATGGCGGGATCCTTGCTGGGGTTGATTTCATTTCATCCGCACCAAATGACTAGCACCCATGGGGCTGGGTCCTTTCTGGGGGCTGATCTGCTGCTCTCTCTAATTCGTAAATCCCAGTTCAATTTTAGAACAAGGAGTCTTGCAAGGATGCCGTTAATAAAATTGGTTCTTATCTCTTTCAGACGAGACGACAACGCCATGAAGAGGTAAAGCTAGGCCAATACCAGTTGTCTGGCTCGCTGAGATCAGCCCAAACTACATGTGAGATTTGACCGGCCGCCTGGATTGCGTACTTACTTCGGGTTATTCTCTAAACTACCCGTGAGTCAGGTCATTGCTACCTGGAGAACTTGTAAAGACTATTGATAATTGGCCCAGTACGGAACTCAAAACCCACTTGAAGCATGGCGCGCGTCTCCATGGGCCATTGACGAAGCGTGGCACGCTCAGCTCAAGTAACTACAAGCGGTGATTCGACTGGAAACCGCCACGGCATGTATCATGATCACTGCTCAGCATTGCGATATGCAAAGTACACAGGGACCAAAGTAAAATGAACGAACCCACACTAACTTCCGTCAGATATAGTCACTATTGCGACATACTACACTACCCATGTGCAATGAATGGATCCAGTATAGGTAGTCTGTAGATAGCGATGAGAACTCCTCGGGTCTAGATCGCTAAGAAGTGGACGTTGGACTTGGTATAATCTATTTTCTAGCCGTAGCTCGGTCTCGTTTTTCACATAGGAGCGCATGAAGCACGTGTTTGAGGAAGCGCTAGACATATTACTGTAGATTTAGCTTCCCTTTATTTACCGCAGCCTTTCGGGTGATTGACTCGAGCAACCCTAAACTACATGTAACACGGACTCCTCTATTCTTTTCGGGTACTATTCTAAGGTTCACATGATCAGACGAAAAGAGAGGGAGAAAAAGCTCAGACGAAGCTCGCGACCCAAACATCCATGGCAGCAACTCCCTTCTTACCCCCCGGCACACCGTCCAAACTCGCCTCGCAAGCATCACGTAACGCAAAGACCACGGCGCGCTCCCGCTCATCCTTGACACGCTCCTCTACCTCACGCGCAAAACCGGATCCAAGACAGGCAGAAACCTCCCACTGTCCGTCCTGAAGACCTTCGCCGCACTGCACGCGGCTCTCCTTCTTCAGTTTCCAGCCGGCCGCGACAGCGAGTTCTGTGAGGCGCTTTGGGCCCAGAACAGTGCGGACGTTGGAGATACTCTCTTCGCCTTTACGGCACTCTAGCGCTGCTTGAGTGAGGGCGGCTAGAACGTGAGGCCGGGCAGCAGCATTCGTTGCTTCCAGGGACCATTCGGAAAGGAGAAGACGTTTGCTGTGCTGTCTGATGGCACGGAAGGTTTCTAGAATGAGAGAGGGGGAGGAAAAGTACCACAGGCAATGAGCAAGGACTGTTGCGTCAAAGACTTTGGCGTCGCTGGATGAAGTGAGGGAAGAGAGATAGTCCTGAGGGCTTTGTTGAACCCAGTTGATACGATTGCCAAGCGGACCTTGTGAGATGTGATCCTGTGCTTGCTTGAGAGTGTACGGGGCACCTACGCGAGTGATTAGATGGCCTATCTGCCGAGGCTACTAAGAAAAGTTACACAAGGCAACAAGAACTCACCATAGTCCAGCGACGCCGGGTCAACAGCCACCACGGTGCCTTGCTCACCCACAACAGTGGCGAGAGCGGTTGTGCAATCTCCCTGACCGCATCCTAGTTCCAAGATTTTGGAGCTTGCTGGAATATCCCAATGCTGTAGGAGAGCCAGGCGGTGAGCGGTCTGGATGAGTTGGACATCGAAGTGCTTGGGGTCGTGCAAGGAAACACGAGCAATGGAAGCAGCGTCAAGTTGAGTGGACATGTTGTTCAGCGTGTAAGTTGAGTGATTTCTAGATGGGTGATCGAGAATTACAACAAGGATTAGTGTCCTGTGATCGGCCAAGGAGGGTAAGGTAATGAAATATTTGGTGAATTCTTGATTCTAGAAGCCATCGTTGGGGGTAGTGGACTCTTGTACTAAGTATGTAGGGTGAGACCTGGCCTTTAGTGTTTGTGTTAGGTCTACCCCTCTAAGGATTCAGGAACAAAACATGCTGCCCACCACCAGCCCCGGCCAATCCTATTGTCAAATGTCTGTGCATATTCTGCCCCTAGCCCGTTAGTCAGTCCCTCCTCCACCTCACTCCCTCTTCCTCACCAACTCAAACCCAAATCGCGGCAGCATGGTGTCCAGATGCATGAAGCTGACATGACACGCCACGCGCTGGCACTTCAACTCTACCACGAGATTTTCTGCCCCGCTAGGGCAGGCAAACTCCACCGTCGTGCTATTCGGTTTCACGGTGAGATCCAGCACGCCGAGCAGCTCGCCGCGCACAGGGAGAGCCGAGTACGACACGGTGTCGTAGTCGAGCTCGTCCATGTTTGTGGAAGAGCCTGGCTTCGAAGTGGCTGAGGGCGCAATAAGCTGCCAGACTTCAATTTCGGAAACGTCTCCCTTAGTAGTCAGGTCCTTGATGCGCGTGGAATTTTCTGGAGGCGCGAGCCAGTTGATTGCGCAAGCGTTGATACCAGCGGTAGGAACCGGGAAGCGCATGATAGTTGAGTCCTTTTTTTTCACATCAGTATTCTTGTTTGAACCGGAAATAGTGAGAATGAGATGGTAGGACATCGCGCGTACCTCGACAGTCACATAGACCTGCGGCCCGTTTCCCCACACTGAATTCTTCAATTTGCGGCTCACTCGCACCACTCTGTCCGGCCAGGCGCGGAGATACTCTCTGGGAGGGCGAAGAATCTTGGCTGCTCTGTCAAGTCCTAGTCTGGCGTTACCGTAGGGAAGGGCATTGAGTTCAGAGTCTGTATAAGGGTAAGCTGCGTAGTTCGACAGCGTCGCAGGAAGCAGAGCGATGTTGGCGCATGATAGCAAGGCTAAAGCCAAGGAAAAGTAGAGGATGAGCTTGGGAAGCTGCCAGTGTTTGGCTGCCTGGAGACCTGGAAGATTCTCAGAGGCTTCCAACAGGGGGTGGTCGTCATCATCCTCGGAAGATGAGCGCTTCTCAAGAGATGTGCTAGAGCTAGAACCCTCGCCACCGCCTGGTCGAGAGAGCGACGTGTACTGAGAAGTGTCCGACTTTGATTTAGAAAACATCGTGGGAGGTCGTTCAAGGGGGCAAATGATAGTAAGACGACGAACGATGAGGAAAAGGACGAGAGAACTGGAAGTTGTGGGTGAAAAAGAAGATCAGGAGTGATTCACAGTAGGCCAGAGATAGCCAGACAAAGACAGGTGATGAGTTCGAATAAAGCTTCAACACGCGGAACTACCGTGTGGCGCAGTCTAAGGTAGCCATTGAGGAGCACGTAAAGATGATGATGCAGTGGGACTGCAACGCGTCTGTAGTTTCAAACCTTCACCAGAACTTGACTCGATCAGTACGGCGAGAGTAATTTATCTGACATTCCGGAGTGACCGTGTCGGTGACTTTCGACAGTCTCAAGTCAGTTGAGAGGTAGACTGTCAGGTGTCTTGGCACGAGCTATATCATCTTGCTGTCTCTCTCTGCCGCAGATGGCCGCGTACAACGTGGAACCTATGCCGATCTAGCACTCGAAATCTCATCCACAATGCCTAACGTTCCTACCGTCCTTACTTTTCTGCTTGCTCTCGGCACTGGTATTAACCTCGCATCCGCCGCCGCCCCCGCCCATGCGGGTTTCCACGTCCAGTACCCATGGTCGTCTCGTGGTGCCAACCTCCCGTCTCGGCCAGAATTAGATGAGTTCCATCCGTTTTGCCGTAAGTTTCTCCTTCCAGTCTCCAATTCATCAGACTCCCCAGTATTGGCATGATCTAACACACAGCCAAAGGGGAGATCGTGCACAACCCCCAAGCCTACGCCCGCAGCTCTCGCACGTTCCTTTCTTTCTCAGGTCATCCTGGAGACCTTGTCACAGCTCTCTACACTCGGAACAGAGTGCCGAAGAAGAGGGACGACTTCCCTCATATCATTCTGCAAGACTTACCCATCCAGCCCTCTGGGCAGGTGTGCGTCAATGTTACGATACCTTTCGAGACCAAGCTTAACGAGATGGGGGTCATGTACTTTGAGGCCAAGGACCCGGCGACGGGCAAGGTGCAATACTTTGTGAGTTACCCCAGCTGAGAGCTTAATAAAGTGAGATTGACTAATGTAACATGAAATGATAGTGCACTGATGTGAAAATGGCCGATACAGAGGCTCTCCCTGAAGAGCACCCGGCCATGTGTGCGGCTGGGAACGAGACGCTCATCCCGATGCCGGACGAATACCTGTAGATAGAGCTTGAGAAGCATTCATTCCTCAAAATTCTTTAGTCAAAATTGCAATTTCACATCCCTATCTTAGCTCAGAATACATCATATCAATGCTAAGGCACGCCACAACATCGGAAGGAACATGACTCGGTGTCAAGCTGGATGTTTTTGCACCACTTCTCTATTAGAAATCTGTCATTTAATCCTTGTTTACAACTCCAACGTATAGTGTGGAGTTAAGTTCACCGTCTGATTCTTTTGCATAAACCGAACAGATCTACCTACCACGAGGAATTAAGAAGAAAAGAAAGAAAAGACAAAAGAGGCCACATTCGAGATGCGTCATGAGAAACATAGTTCTCCCAGGATGACAACAGCGTTCATTGTCTTGGCAAGGCTATTAAAGCAGCATCAGAGCAAGGGCACCGATAAAGCAAGCAGTTTCCTCGTACTCGTAAATAGCGTCGGTAGGAGAGCGACCGATCGAGCCTTGGTCGCGAAGACTCCATGGCGCTATGCAAGCTCTCCACAGACGAAGATAGTAAACCTTAAAATACTGTACGACTATCAAGTCTTCAAGGGGCAGGGATAAGGCTATCTGGCGGAGACCCGACTGGCGGACAAAACAAACGTGCGTGCGGAAACGATCACTCACCCCCATGCGCTCAGACATCTTGATTTACTCTTTTTGAGTTTTGGTATACTTGCTTGTGTGACCAGCGCTAAGAGGGTAGACTTAACATGATAAGCAACGAAGTTTATTGCATGGCTTGCAGAGCTCATATGGGGATACGCTTGATTTAGGGACGCTTGCCAAGACAGAACACTGATGTTGAAAAGGAAATTCTATTGTGATTCTAAGAAGGACACCTTTAACTAAACAAACCTAGCTACGCATTTGATCACTGGAAGTTCGCAAAAGTGCTGAGACACCCCACTACATCTCCCCTTCTCGCTAGCAAGCCATAGAATCTATACCGCCCAAAACGATTTTGCCGCAAACCCGCTCCTGCAGTGACTTTTTCTGACTCGCTCCTCCCGCTTTTGGACTTAGGCGGAAGTCTCATCCTTGTCGACGGAGTAGACGTGACGCTTTTCAACCTCGTCCTTGTCGACGGAGTAGACGTGGCGCTTAGCGACGGGGGTCTCATCGACATCAGGAGAGTAGACGTGACGCTTCTCAACCTCGTCCTTGTCGACGGAGTAGACGTGGCGCTTAGCGACGGGGGTCTCATCGACATCAGGAGAGTAGACGTGACGCTTCTCGACCTCATCCTTGTCAACAGAGTACACATGACGCTTGTTCAGAGTCTCGTCAACATCAGGGGAGTAGACGTGGCGCTTCTCAACCTCGTCCTTGTCGACGGAGTAGACATGGCGCTTGTTGAGGGTCTCGTCGACATCAGGGGAGTAGACGTGACGCTTCTCGACCTCATCCTTGTCAACAGAGTACACATGACGCTTGTTCAGAGTCTCGTCAACATCAGGGGAGTAGACGTGGCGCTTCTCGACCTCGTCCTTGTCGACGGAGTAGACATGGCGCTTGTTGAGGGTCTCGTCGACATCAGGGGAGTAGACGTGACGCTTTTCAACCTCATCCTTATCGACGGAGTAGACGTGGCGCTTAGCGACGGGGGTCTCGTCCTTGTCAACAGAGTAGACGTGACGCTTCTCAACCTCGTCCTTATCGACGGAGTAGACATGGCGCTTGTTGAGGGTCTCGTCGACATCAGGGGAGTAGACGTGACGCTTTTCAACCTCATCCTTATCGACGGAGTAGACGTGGCGCTTGGCAACGGGGGTCTCGTCCTTATCGACAGAGTAGACGTGACGCTTGTTGAGGGTCTCGTCAACGTCCGGGGAGTAGACGTGACGCTTTTCAACCTCATCCTTATCGACGGAGTAGACGTGGCGCTTGGCAACGGTGGCTTCGTCTACATCGGGAGAGTAGACGTGGCGCTTCTCGACAGTCTCGTCTTTGTCGACACCATAGACGTGGCGCTTCTCAACGGGAGCTTCGTCAACGTCGGGAGAGTAGACGTGGCGCGCCGCCAGAGCAGCTTCAGCGCCAGGAATAGGCCCGGCCTGAACAGGAAGAACGTTCAGGCCGAGACTGGCAAGGCTGAGCATAACACTGGTGATCTGCATTTTGGATGATTGGTTGAAAACTTAGTGGTTTACAAGAAAAAGTGAGTTGAAGAAGATGTTGAATTGATTTTAAGATGATTGTTGTGGAGTAAGATGTTATTGTGGATGTTTTTTCTTTCCATGGTCGATATTTCCGTGGGTATTTATGGATTTCGAGCTCCAAGTGATGAAGCTCATGGGAGGGATATCCGTTCGACAATCTCTCCGTACGACTACGAATCCCCACGATCAGAAGCGTGCATGTGCGTTATTGCGCCGGCGTTGCCTTCGCGATAACTCGTAAGTCGTGGGTCTTCAGACATTCGTGCCGAGTCTCTAACACGCCTCGTAAAGTTTCCCAGGTGGATTCCACGGTGAGGTTCCAGACAAAGATCGTGACTAGCTATCGAGTTCGGTATACGAGGCTGGTGGAGATCTCCAACAGCAGGGCCGGGGGCGTGTAGATGGCACGCCGGCATGATACGCCATCGGAAGGAGTCATGATGTCCTGATGTCCGTTCCGCCGGGCAAGCCTCATCCAAGCCTCCGTCAGCTCAATCGGTCAAGCCCCAAGGCCTATGGCAGGCGAATAGATTGACCTGCGGGCGCCCATGATTCATCTGGCTATCGAAACTTTACTTTCGTCGCATATCGAGCAGTCACATCATTTCGTGTGGAGCACGCAACCTGTTCCATACCTGCGGTCCCTTCCTTCCGCTACTGGGATCCGGATTCCCGAGGTTCATCTAGATGCAAAAACTTTCTTTCATCGCAAGTCCAGCGAGCAGATCTTGTGGAACCTCAAACAGTCCTGCGGTGCTTTTCGTCGTCAACATAGCAACGGAGATTCCGAAGTTCATTTAGACGTTCATCTAGACGATGAAACTTACTGTCGTCGTATGTCGAACAGCTTTTGCGGGACCGGAGGGTGTCATGCGGTCCCTGTCAGCAAACTTGGGGCTCTCCACACGGTCGTTGCAACCCCTGGACAACTGACTCTCATCAGTAGATCTTTTTGATACTTGCAAAGTTGCGAATCCTCTTGCACCGCCCCATGTTATCATCACGACTTATCTACTCAAGCGAGGGCGAGGGCGGATACGGCCACAGATCTGTTAAACACTGCTCGCCCACTCCCGGCGCTGCTGACCCAAACGATTGTGTTCTTTCTTTGACAACCTCAACCTACTACCCTGTCAGCACGCCATTATGTCTTTGAAGTCTTTGAAGTCTCAATTACGAGGCCCCTCACTCGGCCTTTTCGCAGCCCTCTGCGTATGCCTCGTCTTGAACTTGGGCGCTCTCTTCTTCTCCTTCCGCGTCTTGACCCGTGGTTCACAGTCATACAGTACGTCGAATTCTCGTCTTTTGTTATTTTTTTTCTTATCTATGTGACTAACACATTATAGCCTACCTCGAAGGTGACCGACCACATGAGCTTCCTATCAAGGTCCGCACCATTCAGGCCGAATTCGTAGATGATCCTGAGCACTACGGGATGGAAGGCTTTGCTTCTACGGTTGAATGGAACGCAATCCGTCCCCCTGGAAAGGGTTTTGTCTTTTTAGGCCAAGAGCACTTTGCGTTTGGCGTGTCTATGTGGCATCAGATGCATTGCTTGAGCCACATTCGTGCCGTGCTCGTTAACGGAGACGACGGGTCTGACCACACGGAGCATTGCTTCCACTACTTGCGGCAGGGCATTCTCTGCGCTGCTGACACGACGATCGAACCTGGTGGCACAAACAAGAAATTGCCCAATGGTGACAAAGTTGCTGCAGGCGATGGAGCTAAACACACTTGCCGGGACTGGAGACAGGTGCACGATTGGATGGCGGAGCAACATTCGAAATGGACGCCTGAGATGTTTGAGAGGATCAATGAGTCTAGCCTATAGATATTTTGTTTGAAATGAGAAATCCAAGCATAGCAACAGAAATTCTTAACCTTTTACATCTTCGCTTCAGTAACTCGTCTGGTCTGCATCTTCTGCTTTATTCCCTGCATGCGCTTCGTGTGATCGCTTCGTGTAAATGGGCGCGCACAGACTTAAGCAGAGCTGAACTCTATGGGGAGGCATAGGAAATGGGACCAGGGTGTCACTGATGCGGACTAAGATCCCCAGGATGCCAAGATGCGTTGTTTATCATTCTAGCCCGAAGACTGTCACTCATCATCTACATACTGATAGCATAGTGGCCCAGCCTCCGTGTCAAAAACCTGCCTTGGCGTCACGGGCACACTCTGTACATCAAATGGCATTTTGTAATCTGCGCTAGCTTTAACATCATATTGCGGGTCGCTCATATTGAACGAGTGAAAGGGTATGCCGGAAAAAGCGGCAAAATTGGCGGGGTGTCGGCGTTGCCACTGTGAAAGTCATCAACCCACGTTAGTATATTTGATATAACATTTGAATCAAGCAAGGTTTGGAAGGGGTGCACACCTTGCTCCATAAACGGTCAAGCTGCGCATGATGCAACCAAAATAGAGGGTCGTTAGGCGTGAAGGCGACGGCTAGGTCCTTGCAACCTTCCGCTGGTAGTTTCTTTGGGCAGTCCCCGGCCAAGTCACCGCCAACGAAGTTATGGACATGATTATGCATCTGCTCCATTGAGTGCTGGAAACTGTAAAAGTCGCCCGTGTGATGTTCAGTCGAGTTCCGCACAGAGTCTGGGCCCAGTGTGGAGTTCTGGGGCTTTTCATGATCGAACCACCCAGTGATGAGCGTCAAGTTCCTACGCAGTGGGTGAGGGATCGGCCAGGCAAGCTCGAACTGGGCAAAAGCGCCTGTAGTGACCTTGCAATCAGCCTCGGGTGAAGAACTACAGTCTCCAGTCCCGCCTAGTCCAAACTCGGGTGAATCTTCAAACACGGAAGAGCCGACCAGGTCCGCGTGATCGCGGGACCAGTCCCAGTATGGCGTTGGACCGCCGTACCCGCAGTTTTGGCGGAGAGACGCGTCGAACAGATAGAGGAACCAGCGGTCTGCGCAGGTGTCAATATAGAAGTGTTGAACAAAGGTTGAGAGGGGACGGAACATACGCCACGGCAAAAAGTAGACATTCCTATGTGCGCTGTGCTCTACTGCTGCGTGTGAGTACGAGAAGTCATCGTATAGACTCCTCATTCCCTCGAGAACTGTTTGTTCCGGCGTGAATGACAATCGTTGGTGCCGTATGCTTCCGAGGCATTTCACAGCTCCCACCCAGCCAGATTTCTCGTCCTGGGTCAATGTTCGCCATTCTTTGCGTTCGAAGAGCTTGCCGCACTTTGTTGCTTGTCCGTGGCTGGGGAGAACTGAGAAAATGGCAAGTGCAAAGAGAAACAGGATTGTTCGGCCCATGGCTCTAACAAGAATGTGGGTTTAGGTTCTTAGAGAAACGGCACGATAGACGCAGTCACACAGAATGGATGGCAGTTACAGGGTTAAATAAGCAGTTTGACTGTGTCGTTTGGATTATGTTCCACTTAAGCGCTGTTTCGGCCAATGAGAGAGTATCCTATAGGCTTATACTGCCATTCCGTTGGCCGACACCAAGTTTTACCTCAATTGGTAGCACAAATGCTTACGCTGTGGCAGGACAAAATAGTCCACGAGTGTAATTATTATCACGTTGAATTCACTAGTATCATCACGGAGCGTCATTATTTCAATCGTAAACGTCTCTATGTTCCAATGCAAGTCGTGTTGGCTACGATGCCAGAAATTCGGCTCGGCAGAGAGTCTGACGTGGCCTGTCATCCGAGATAGTTTCCATACCTGGCAACTTTCCATGGTCTTTGACTCGCCAGCAGCTCGCGGTAAGGCTGATTGTACTAGAGGGAGGGATGCTTCTTGTCTCACTAGCCGAAGGTTTACTTCAAGTCACTACAGAGTGGGACAAAAGCCCCCCTTGCAGAACTCTAAACCTGAACAGAGATGATCCCAGTTACCATCCGAGGGACCGTGAATCGTGGTAATCCACACTTTTCGATTCAGACAATGCTCAGACGGTAGACCCCATCGCTTGGGGCCGGACGGCGGGCGCAGCCGTTGCGCTCTGATACCTGCGGCGACTTCTGATATTCGAGACTGGATGCAAAGTATCTGGCCCTGAGGGAGAATCGCAGCTGCCGAGGAGGTTCAAGGGAAAGGACTTTCCCACTTATCACGCCGTTCATCCACTTCTCAAGCTCATTCTGCTTTTATCAGAGCTGCATTTGGCAACAAGAATAACCTCTTCTGGCGCAAATTCATACCTAGCCGCAACCACAATGATGTACTCGTCAATTTTCCCTTCCCGATCCCTTGCTCTCTTCCTCTGCATCATCTTTCCCTTCTACCTCGCCCTTCGCGGGTCTGGCTCATTGTCTGATGTCGCCATTTTCTTTTCTAAGCTCTCCTTACGCGCTGAAGCCCTTCACGTTGCGCTCAACGCCCCTCTAGACACCCCTCCACCATCCATTTCCAAAGCACCCGTCGGGACTTCCACGAGGCCTGCCAAGGTTGTACGCGCAACTGAAGGAGGAAAAAACCTTCCCGAAGATTTGGCACACGCCATCAACTCCTTCGAGCAGTATGCGTCTCTCGCCCAGGGAGTGTTGCAGCGGAAGTATGCGCGGTACGACCGCCAGACGCCCTCCCAGAAGCTAATGAGCGACAAGCTCGGGTATTCTGCGCACTTTGAGAAGGCTACGGAAGGGATTAACATAAACGCTCGTCTCTCGAAGCAGATTGCGCAGATTTCAAGAAAGCATTACCAAACCGGTCCAGGACCGTTGACAGACGAAGATGATGCCGAGTTTGGTCTTGTGGACCTGACCTTTGGACATCTTTCGCGAGACTGGAGCACGTTTGGCGCCAAGGAGAGGGAAGCTACTTTCCCGCCCGTCATTGCTGGCCTGGAGAAACACTTTGGCAAGAATGCCAAGGGCAAGAAGGTTCTTGTACCTGGATGCGGTATGGGCAGGCTAGCAAGCGACATTGCTGATCTGGGTGCGTATCCTTTCCTCAGTTGACTTGTGGGCGTGAATTCAAGTTTTGACACATGGATGCAGGGTATGATGTTACGGCCAATGATCTGGACTTCAGCTCAATACTGGCTCACCACCTTCTTACAAACCATACAACCTCACTGCATCAACATACTATTCATCCCTTTGTGACCAAATGGACTCATCAGTCCAACCCTATCTCGCGCTACACAGCCCTGACAGTGCCGGATCACATGCCGAACAAGGCTGTCAAGTTCGTTGAGGGCGACTTCTTGGAGATGTTCCCAGAGGACGGCCAATTCGACGCCGTTGCCTCATTGTTCTTCATTGACATTGGCAGCAACATCATTGATTTTCTGAGCAATATCCACCGGCTGCTGAAGCCTGGTGGCACTTGGGTCAATCTTGGACGTAAGTAATCACTCTTACTCCAGGACTCTTCCATGAATTTTGACATTTCTGTTTTTCTTGTAATCCAACCAGCAAATTCGGACTGACATGTGACTACGTAGCACTAAAATACGGTACCCACACCGCCCTTCAGCTCTCCGCCGAGGAAGTGCTTCATCTGGCAGATCTGATTGGATTCGACGTGGACCTTTCATCGCGGAAGAATATTGACAGCCTATACGCTCAACAGCCAGAATCATTGCTCAAGTTCACTTATGGTGAGTACCCGTTCAGCTTCTTACGGGAGGCGAAACCGATATCTAATAAAGAAAACAGTAACACAATATTGGACGGCCACGAAGAGAGCTTAGGCCAGAGGTGTTCTGTTGCTTACAGGACTGGAGCTAGATGTAATGTCGCGTAGAATATACTATGACATCTTGTCACATAAGGCAGCAGGCTTGCAGTGGTTGACACGACTTTTAAAGGCGGTGAAAGCTACTCGAGTGAGCTACAGTGCAAATAGATATTGGACATATGACATTTTAACCTTACAATTCCGCCTGGAAAGCTTCGTCATGTTGTCAACCAGGAGTTTGAATGATCGCTCGTTTAAACTCAGCCCCTTACTGCCATAGTAGTTTGGGCATACATAATGTAGAGTGTAGAGTATAACATCCTCACGATTGGCATTAATTATTCTCCCTCGAAGCCTTCCATTACTGATTTTGCATGATTTCATGAAGGTCAATGTAGGCTTTCTTAGCGACCTGAAGTCATAAGATTTGAGTCGATGGGCTTCCCCATGAAGGCCATCTATCACTTTTGTTTACGTTGCAATATTTGTCCTGAAGGCGAGCGACTTAGTACCAACGTAACATAGCAAAACGTCTCTATTTTTGTTATGACAGAGATGCACAGGCTCACAGCCTTATGTCTACGAGAAGATTCCCGGCGAAACATCACGAACCCGAGCCAAATTAACTGGCTTCCCTTTCTGCCTTCTATCACACAGTACGAGGGTGTACGAAACAGAATCACATTGAAAAACATACCTAGCCGACACAAATTGTCATTCTCAGCATCTGAATTAGGTTACGGTAATGACTTGGTAAACCGTAAACGTGATGAAGGCTATTGCAAAAGCGCAGTCTCTCTTCAAAGGACTATCGATCCCATATTTTGTATTCGATTGACGTGATTTTCATGTTCTTTACAAAGGGCTGTGGCGAGCTGGAACAGCACTTATCGAGACTGTAGTGAGATTGACCAGTGAGTAGTTCAGGGGGTGGTTATCGAGACTCTTGCCGTCAAGCGTAGCGTTTTACAAATGATGCTGCACATTTGATAGGACCATTTACATAATCATATTCAACTCCGTCTCTTCATATCCTACTTGCGTCGTTGGTCTACAAGTAAGTTGTAAGTTACAGGTGGAACTTATATTGTATGCGGCCACGAATGGCAACTGTAATATCTACTAACCTACCGTCGCACGCTGACGAGACTCTATGGAACCTCCATGGTGAGTCTCACTCTCGTCCATGTGACTTGGCGTCAATAAATTGAGAAAGTGAGACCGAGGTGACTATCTAGGTTGTCTGATATCGGCCATGGTAGGTGTCTCCCTCTGATTGAATCTGATCTTTCCCAGGGGACTAGAATAAAACTCGTTGCAATTTGTTTCACCAGCTCGGAGCTACAGACTACTTTATGGCAGCTGGAAGCAGATTTTCTATCACAAACGGCAGATGGCGTCGTCTGTACCAGTGGGATACCGAGAAGAGAGGTAGGAAGGGCGTATGGGTATCAAATGGGTGGATAGTGCACGGCAGCGCAATGGAGTTGGGATCATGAACCACATGGCACGGTTACACTGACACGAAACGTAGAGAGAGAATAAAGAATCTCCAGAAGATTAGATGACACGTCTATGAGATGAGATGAACAGACTTGTGAGATAAGGTATCAAGGGAGCCGGTGGGCTGTCAACAACTCATCAAGTAATGTTACACAGCCACAACTTCGTCCAGGCTTAGCGCCACCTGCGCCACTGCGCTAACCACATTGTCGCTGCCTGGCGCGATGTTCGTTCCTAAGTGCTTACGGACTGTGCCGCAATCCACGGCTTGCTTAAACACAGCGGTTTTCTCGGGTTTTCAAGCCATCGATGGTTCTTTTCTCTCTAGACCCATCAGTTGATTCATCTTTGAGCGAATAAAGATTTGGATTGAAGCAATTATGCCTCCCACGGAAAGGAAGAACAACCTCGATCTTTCGATACAGCTCCTCCACCCAGAAACGCCCCTTCACGGAGGCAGTGTCATTCTCGGCCACATAGTTCGCAAATCGCACATCGTCGCCGCCAACGCCACAGTCCGCGTCCGCCTCTTCGGCCGTGCGAAGGCAAAACTCGTCGTATCCCGCGGCAATAACCAAAAGAGCTACTACCGTTCCCGTTTCAACTTTTGGCCTGAGAACGCCGTCGGCGATGTAGTCCACCGCGGACCTGTCCACGTCGCGCCCGGAGCTGGGAGCCAACCTGTATCATGGCCTTTTGCGCTCGCATTGCCGACGCATACGGATGCTAGGGCTGTGAATGCCTGTGGCGGGGAGAGTGCCAAGGAGGCGTGCTTTTTGCGCCCCAACGTCGGGGGTCATGCTGGCCTAGGGCTACCCGAGCAACCGCTGCCGGGGACATTTCATTTCGACGGGTCTGGGTTCAACAAGAGCTGGCATGGTTTCGTCGAGTACTGGGTTGAGGCCGAGCTGGCGGTGCATGGGAAAAGCACAGTCGTAAAGGCGGCGATGCCTGTCAGAGTATTTTCGCCTCCGGTGCCATCGCCAATGATCAGCGACTTTAGGCTGGAGAGGCGGAACAAGACTGGGTGCGTGAGCAGTCAGCGGTTGCTACCAGGAATGACTGACGCGGAGCTGTCGTTCAAGCAGAAGACGCAGAAGTTCTTTGGCTCATCCAAAGTTCCCACCTTCCACTACACGCTCGATGTGCAGTATCCCACGGTGATTCAGCTAGGAAACGAGGCGACCATCCCGTTTCTGCTTCATCTGACACCATCCAGGGATCGGACGTCGGAAATTATTGAGGATGTACCGCAGACGGTGACGATAGAGCAGCTGGAGCTGGAGCTGCAGACGACGACGGGCATCATTTGCCCCGGAACTCTTGATCCTCACGACGCAAACAAGACGCGGAAGCTCTGCTTGGCGCGATTGAAGCATCTCTTCCAAGCCCAAGATAGCACCATTGTTGTCCCCTCGGGTCCTAAGGAAGTTCCTCTAGACCTTGGTGCTGTCCTGGATCTGCGAGTGGACGCGCTGGGACGACTGCTCCTCGGTCAAAGAAACGGTGCAGGTTCGTTTGGGCAGACGGTCGTGCCTACCTTTGTGACATATTGCTTAAAGGTTGAGCACGTGTTGCACTGGGAGGTGAAGCTGTCGGTGGCGGGCGAAAGCTGGAAATGTGAGGGAAGTCAAAAGTTGCTTGTTCTGGCACCAGATGAGGATACGGCAAGTGGGAGGACGAGGGCATCTGCGGTAGCTTCGTCATCGATTGCACCGCCGCCGCCTGTTGAAGAGGTTCCTGCTTATGATGGGCCTAGCGAGGCAGCTCCAGCATATGAGAAGGTTGTGGGCGGTGGGGAAGAAGCACCGGCCATTGGGGGAAAGTCTTGAACTTGGGATAAGATGCAGAAGAGGGAGAGACTAAGAGGAGTTCATGGTTGAGAATCGGGGGATATGAAACACATGATACCCATGCAACGGCGGATTCAGTTGGAAGAGTCTACATGTACGTACCCTAGATCACGAAGATTGAGTATTATTGATGGCAGCACTGGATCCAACGCGGAAAACCTCAAGACTGTGTGATATTTTGCTATCGGGTATCTGAGCTAAAACTAACAACGACCTCGAGCCGTGAAACAACGATTTTGATTGCGAACAATCCTCGATAGATATAAAAGCCGTGGGAGAGCGAAAGCGAACTGAGAAGTGGTTTGTGTCGCACTCGGGCTCGTGGAAAGGTTCTCAAGCTGGGATGGCCAGCTGGGAAGACATGATCTGGTGCTATTGCTCGATAGCTTTTTGTTATCTTTACGCCTGGAAGACTCGTGCCTCGAGTGCTGTACGGGTCCTCTGTCAGTAAACTTCTCCTCGACGCTTGGCTTCAAAAAACCAGAATCAACTCACATCGCTCCTTCGCAGGTCTACAGCTTGAGCATACAGCCCGATAACATCCGTCGATAATGTATCGTTCGGCACCGGGGTTGGTATCAGAGCACCAGTTCAAACAAGCTCCAAAGTCGGTCCCAAACGTGCCGCACTCTCCGGCCGTGACCGGCACGACAACAATAGCAGCGAAGAAAGATGCGGCGAGTGCGAACTTCATTGTGATTGAATTCAATAGTGCGAAGTTAAAAATCAAGCTTAATGGAAAGCACCGAATTACGGCAGAATCTGAAAAGAAATAGCGATAAGGAAAGTTTTTTGGCTGAGAAGGTTTGATTGACTGGGGAAGAGGGAAAGTATGTCTCTCTTTTGTAAAGATCTACATCGACGTTGCGTGGCTCTTTTTTTCCCAGTCAGCATCATTCGCGTTCATTATTAATCTCCCTGACACTTGCAAATACTCGGGCGGGTGCAGGACACACGTGGAGTTTCATCCCGGAATAGAACCGGAGCAGGCCGATCATTTGGAAACGACCCAGTATCACGGTCACAGATCTACAGTGCTCATTGCGAGCTAAGATGAACGGCGCGCCAAGTGCTGCTTGACGTATCATGTGCATAGCAGTTGATCCATTATACGCGGGGAGTTAACGAGCGCCGTGGGCACACGAATCATTTCCTAGTGGGAACTCCTTCCCTTCTGCTAGAATCGAGTGGCCAAGCTGGAGTCTGAGGGCCCAGGAGGCTGGTTAGACTGAACTTTAAACCTGAGTTGACAGGGAAGTTCGGATTCTGTAACGGGTTCGAGTCAGTTTTTGGTGCAAGACAATACGCCGCACGATGAGGAAGGCCTCATCGTGACCAGGGGTTCCGTCCGAGAGACCCGTTACGAATTAATATAATCTCCTTCGCGACTGATGATTAGCCAATGGAGCGAGAGAAAGAAGCGACATTGATATGATCAGTATTCGTCTAAGTGCTTGGGGCTCGAGCATTTCGGACTCTCTTTATGACTGAAGTACCTGTAGCAAAGTTCACTGACTTCGGAAGCCCTGATATAGGGTCCTTCATAGGCTATGCATTGAGAACACGTATATCAAGCCAGGTGTGCATGCCCAAAGCTGAGAAGCCTGGAAAATTGTTTCATTTCGGAGAGGCTACGGGGTTCAGCATTTGGCTGAGCAGACTTCTGGCAACACGGGCAATGAGTTGTTCGCAATCCACAAGATGCTCTTTAGATGAATAGTCACGTCCGATTAGTCAATTCCTCCGCATGAAACTGAGCTTGCTCAACACTATGTGAGGTACACAACATTGGCAGCGAATTTAAGCCTTTCCGATATTGATGCTCACCGTGTCCGCAAACCCTCCCTCCGGAGCATTCACAGTCCAGACCCTGCCTTCAGACATGATGTAATTGGTCAGGTACTTGATGCCAGCGGCAAAGATGCTAACCGCCTTCCTGTCATTGTTGTTGGTCAAGACAATGCCCTTGCAAGTATAGGTCCACACGTTGCGACTGCCCTGGCGAACCCATCCACCGACCATGTGGAAGGAAACAGTGACGCCCATGAGCAGAAGTGACTTGGGAGAAGCAACTCCATGAGGAATGGGTATGCCGTCAATGCGCTTCTCGAGGGCCAGGGAGGAAGCGACTTCGTCGTTGGATCTGACGACACTATCGAGATGTTAGACACGGAATTCAAGACATAGCACATCGAATTGACATACTTGGTTGCATCGGAAGACTTGATCTCGGAGCCGATGAGCTGAAGTGAGCCTTTAGCATCTCCTTCGGAAGTGGAGAAATGCTCGACGGGAGGGACAGCCAGGGCCGTGACGGCGGTGGCAAGACTCAATGCTGCGAGGAACTTCATGGTCGTAATCTGAGTGAAGGAATATGAAGGTCGAAGTGGAAGCGATATAGGTAGGCCGTGGTGTCCAAAGTCTTCAAGGCCGGGAGTTCCAGAGACTTATACCGTTTGATCAGAGAGGGTAATGCACTTGCAAGTTCAAGGAAGCTGATGGATCTGCTAGACGCTGTAATAATTACGAGCCTGTACAGCTTCTCATTCGAATGAACTCGAGAGAAAAGGAATATCAATAACACAAGCTTTCGATAGGGGAAAGTCAATCCGCCCGGTGTCGGAATTTGGTAGTTTGAAAGTTGTGGCCTAGTAACCTCCGTGTCGATCAATATGTCAAGCCAACAAGTCCGAGGTGACTGGACCGGAGACTTTCGCAGTGCACCAGTGGACGAGCGAGGCTTGCCTTGATCAGTATTGGGCCATAATGATTCAGACTTGATAGTAATTTCATTTAGCTTACCTTTCTGACGAGATTCTGCTTCGAAAGAAGTAAGTTAAATTTACGCGTAATGAAATGCCGACTTTTCTCTTGAGTCGCGTGCCAAGTTCCCCTTGATCAAATGATTAGTTGCAAGGTTGACTCATGGTTATTGAGAATGCTCCGCCGTTGCTGAGCACGACGGTGAAATACTAACATGGATCGACTGAAAGAACTTTCAGGATTCAATATCAGATAACGACAATATTTGTCTGTCAATATCCTCGAATCCTCCTTTCAAGACTAGCCAGACGATTTTGAAAACTTCGCGCGCAAATGATGAGTATTGGTTTTATGTGTAAGGTATGGTGATTATGAATCAGTATAATTTAGGTACTTAGGTACGAACAGCAGCAATGATTCGGTTTCAAGGCAATCAAATATTCTATGTCTGAACAAAGTCCTCCATTCCCCTATCAATTTGGGCGCTTACAGAGTTTCAAAAGTCTCTTGAAAAACTCTATCGCTTGCAGAAGCCGTGGCCAGACTTGCCAGTAATCTTAGGCTGGGTAGAGTCGATAACATCGTTGGCGACGGGGTAGTATCCATCACGAGCCTGCGCCTCGCAGACGCGGTTCCAGTCATCGCCATCAACGCGCTTGTGGGAGAACCACTTGCACTTCAGTCGCGAAATGTTAGCATCAGACCTGACTATTGTCACAGGTGTTGTGGCAGGAGTGAATAGACTTACCCTGCCCTGACCGTGGTTGTAGTTGGCCTGTGATTGTGTTAGTCAATAATTGCCTCCGCCTTGGAACTTCGGTTTCCGAGTATATACAGACCTCGCCCTCGTAATTGTTCTTGCAGGCGTTGAAGGTGAGCTGCCAGTCATAGGTCCAGCCTCGGCCGTTCCAGGTGCTGCAGGAGCATTCGTAATGAGGGTCCGCGGCGACGCCAGGGGCGAAGAAGGCACCAAGAGCGGCGAAGAGAACGGTTGAGGCAGAGAACTTCATCTTGGCGATTTGGATCAGGATGATGAAATATTGTCGAAGTGATAGATGGTTGATGATGAAGAAGCGATGATGACGATGAGGGTGGTGATGAAGTGATAGCAAAAGAACGCCGGACAGTTGCCTCTTTATGTTCTTCAATGGCAGTCATATTACACGGGAATTGTAATGTAGTTTCCTCCCCATACGAAAAACTCAGAATAATTGGTAGCAAGTAGACTTGACTCGTCCCGCGTCAATAATCTCAGCCGGAACTTCCCAAACACGCCGGTCGCGAGACTGTCGACAACCTCCAGACCTGGTCTCATCATAATTATCCATGTTCTGAGATAGCAAAGTCTTCAGAACACGAGATAATTCTTTATTTTAGTTTACTAGTCTGGCCGGATGATCTCGAGACTTTGATAGTCTGCTGTCTCCAGATGTCCATCAAGGGTTGGGTTTGACGTCAAGACTTGAGTTTGGAAGCGGTGAACCTCGCAGCTCGAAGTACTCATTTTTAGCCGGCTACACCGATAGCCTAGACCTGACTGGCCTGAAATATGGTCTGGAAAGCATATTTAGGCAGCGTGTTGAGGTATTCGCAAGTATCGATGTTATGTCCATTCACCTTGCCTTAGCTGTGATCCGAAGCCTTATGAGTGCTTGTCTTGGGCTCAGCATTGCCACATGCAGCCCCACATACACGGAGATTAATCAACTTCTAATTCAAGTCTGTCAATATTCCCTGACTACGGATTATTTTTGGGTAAGGCGGGGAGTATCACTGCACGTGTGATATCAGTAAACTGTTTTCCCACGCGGTTACATTACACCTGGTGTTCTACATGCCAAACGTTACTGTAGCCATGTCAATTTCTGCCGAAGATTTGGTAATAGTCATGTGTCGACAAACTTCATCGTTCTCATAAATGACTATTGCAAGGGGGTCGGCAGATTTTTGTTGTGGAAACAGTGGCATGGAGCGATCGACATGGGAGAAACGAGTTTACGGCGCATGAGACCCTGAAGACAGGCTGAGTAAAACGACTAGCCACTTGTTAGCCCCGAGAAGCATGTTCCAGATCGTCCTTACGAAATCACGTCGTATTGATGCGCGGTCTTGGCATGCCCGGGCCCAGCATCGCCATAAGTTAAGCTTTCAAGACGATGGAGTAAATCAAACTAGACTCCCAATTCTGCAAAAACTGCCCGTGAATGGAAATGTTTCCCGCACACAACTTGGACCATGTGCCTAACCTATTTTGACCACCATATCCACTTCTCAAGCTGTGACTTGAAACTTCGATTGTGAGTTGGCGTGATGAATTTGACAGGGCTGAAGTTCTCAACGGACACAGATTTACCGAAGGGTATGGTGTTTCCCTCGGACATAGGAAAAATGAGGCTTCCAATTATCCGAGATCATCTTTCAGATGTTTGGTAAGTTGGGGAGAAGTAGGACAAGTTCTGAGAAGACTGGTGCTCCAACCTCTCTTGATCTGCATCTGAAACTGGCTAGAGGTCTAGCTTTTTATGTGGCCATCGAATTGAGTCTCTCTTATTATTTTTCATCTTGTTTTGCGTAAGACCAAATTACTCACCCGTTGCCTATGTTGATGTTTTGTTACGGCATGAATGCCCAATGTATAAGAGCGTTACGGAAGTATGGCGCCGACAAGCCGGCACCAAAGTCTCACGTAAGCGACGTTGATGTGATCGAAAGCTGGCAGAATACCTATCCACGTCTTACCAAAAAGGCAGTGTCAAGCGAACAGACATTTTCTAAGAGCTACCCTTAATACTCTAGGCCTCCTCATGGCCCACGACACAGACGAACATCCTGGGGAGCCATCGTGCAGGGCTAAGCTAGACGACTGGACAGCAGAAAATTGAACCAGCAATCAAATTAATAAAAGAAGCGGTTCTGGTACAAAACAGTCACAAAACAGGTCTCGACAAAAAGAAGTAAAAGACTGAGCGTCAAAGCCTCCGTTGGCCCGAAGACTTTTTCGGAGATATTATTTGTTGAGTAGGTACCAAATGGAACCTTGGACGATCCAGAAAAGTCAAGTACATAATCAACCAATGAAAAGAAAATGACCGAGAACCCCACGACGTACGGTACGGAGAAGTAAGGTCTTGGAAAGTTGATGTGTAAGGATGGTTCGGGAACTGGTGGTACATCGGTGGCTCAATGACACTCGACCTCCATAATACTACCAGCTAATCAGGAATCTACAGACCAGGAAATGCATGCCGGCTCAGGCTTTCCTGCACATATACACATTCAGCGATTACACTTTACGTCTTGGTTGTTCCTACTCATCGATCGGAAAGGTCGTGTTGAACGCAGCTAGAATTCTAAGCAAGGCTCATGTCAAAATATCTGCTGATCCCAGACTAAGTACTGATGCATTAATCCAGAGACATGAAGGCCAACGAGAATGACTTTGTTCCGCAAACCGTGCTGGTTTTCAGCGCTTTCAGCAACAGAACTGTGACCTCAATGGATCTTTTCGACTTTGAGAGGCTCGTTCTCTACAAGATGTGTGGACCAGTTTACATCCTTCTCTCCAGTAACATTTCGAGTCAAGATCTCGTCATTTGTGACCAAGGCCACAGAGTCGATAGCCCTTGCAAAGCAGTGCTGATGACCCTTGCATCTGCTCCCCAATCAGCATTAGCCCCTATTTTATGATCCCGCATTGCCAGTGATTGTTATCGTACGGGCCACGGTTGGTGCAAGCACCCGAAAACCCACCTCGATCCTGGTATAGAAGAGAATCAGCCACTTACGTTGCTTCAACAAGCGTTCAACAGAACAACCAACAACTGTTTGCGCCGCCAAGCTGCGGGGTTCATTCTGAACAGCACAAACAATCATTTGAGGAATATAAAGCCGCTCGATCCCCCGTTCAGCGGCTTGAGTATGCCCATTCAGCAGGCGAAAGACAATCCCCAACATCCTCTCTTAATAGATTGGCCCAGACTATTACTTCCGACATGGATGAAACGGCATCGCACACACCAAGCAGTCCAGCTGAGCCAGTCTCAGACCCCGCTGTGTCACCGGCACAAGGCGGTGTTTCAATCGCGGCAGCACCATTGGAAGTAGATGACAACTCTAGCGTCAGTTGCCTGCAAAAGTGTCCGAGAACAACGAGACGTTCGAGCTTACTATTGAAAGACCACCGATGATGCATCTACTATCGACGACCGAATGTAAAGATGCCAAATTCCCTACCCCGCTCCCGAATTATCGTCGAATAAGAGTGATTAGCTGACGAAGGACTCAATTTCTCCTAGCTCTTCATACACAGCCTCTTTGACATCAAGTGTTGTAGACTACCCGGAAGAGTATGGTCGAACATATCATGCTTTCCGGGCAGGATGTAAGTGAGAAATCGAGGATCAAATGTAGCCCGTCCAGCACAACTCACATAACATCCCGACATAAACAGCATACAACTTTCCAAACGATGAGGTACGAATGCCGCAAATCATACCACTATACGGCCTTTCTAACATTGATTGCATGTCAGAGAGAGATGGATCGTCTAGACTTGACGCATACCATGATTGTCAAGACCATCGGCAACAAGTTCTTCCTCGCCCCCATCAAGGCTGAGGTGACGCACCGCATCCTCGATGTAGGAACCGGTACCGGAATCTATGGGTTGTTTGTTGAGAAAGGCTCAATCTTGCATTCTCAGTTTTAATCATGGCTGTTGTCTATTAGGGGCCATCGAGATTGCCGACTTGTTTCCAAACGCCGAGGTACATATACATGAACTGTCAACCGCCAAGGCCAGAAAAAGCTGAATTAGAGACTATGTTAGATATTCGGGAACGATCTGAGCCTGATACAACCAGATTGGTGAGGATTTTGGACACCAGAGATAGGCTGTTAATAGCTAATTTAGAACCAGGGTGCCGCCGAACGTCAGATTCGAGATTGACGATGTCGAAAGCGCTTGGGTTGTCAACGAGAAATACGACTTTATTTTCACGCGATACATGGCTGCTTCAATCGCAGATTGGCCGAAGCTGGTCCATAGAGTATATGAGTGGGTTTGAGACCTCCGATTGCCAGGGACTATTAGCCACAGAGTGGATCGCGTCCCGTTCCATAGCAAAGTTGAACTGACGTGGTCGTGTGCTAGAAACCTCGCGACAAACGGCTGGGCTGAATTCCAAGACATGAGCGTTCTCTACGCGTGCGATGACGGAACACTGACCGAGAAGCATGCAATCATGAAGTGGGACCGTCTTTTCATCGAGGCTTGCAAAATGCTGGGGCGCGAAGACTCCCCTGGCCCCAATCTCGAGGGTTGGGTTCGTGAAGCTCCCTTCAAGAATGTGGTTCACCAGCACTTCAAGATTCCTCTGGGTCCATGGGCCAAGGACGCGCACAACAAGGATCTTGGAATGTGCAATCTTGCTCAAACTCTTGAGGGCCTCGATGCATTCACCTTGAAGCTGTTCATTGGCGTGCTTGGATGGACTAGGGAAGAGGTGATGGCGCTGTTAGCCCAGGTTCGCCAAGAATTGAAGAGTGGTGCTTTCCACGCATACCTTAACTAGTAAGCTGGATTTACCGAGAGAATTAATTACCTTACTGACGGAATATAAGCCACGTCGTTTACGGACAGAAGATTGAAGAGGAAGAGGAAGAGGAAGCAGCTGCGGAGGACTAAGCTGAAGCATGGTATTGTCGGCATGAGACACGCAGAAAAGGTAGATGGAGTGAGGTGGACTGCAACAGATATAATCAATAGGTTAAAGGTAGTGAATTCTCGTCTGATAGTAATTAGAAGACAAGTATAAAAGCTGAGAATCCATATGCGAGCCCGGTAAAAGAAATACTGCGTCATTCAAACGACAATCAAAGAATTCAGGTTGCTCGCAACCCGCTACGCCAAACACCATGTGAAAAAAATGGACCGAAGAACACATGACCTCTACCATCACAAGCTCAACTTCAACCGCCTGGTACACCCGCGCGGATGTTGTCGTACTGACTGTTAGGGTAGCTCAGCTGATTGAGACTCTGGTCCTGGGTGCTCGCGCCACCGAGAGCATCGAAGCTAGTCGCCAGAAGACTTCCACTGTCAGTTCTGTCGCCGCTCGCCTCCCAGAACATGGAACCACCGAGGCCCTTGCCTGTCAGATATGAGACCTTGGTCCGCACCACGGCGGGGGTGTCATAAGAGATGAGCTCTTTGGCGGCCGGATCGTAGCTGTAGGAGGCAACCGCCGTGGCATCGTAGAGCTCGGTGGCGCCGGCCCGGGGAAGAGCCTTGTAGTCCCACACTCCGTTCTCCCAGGAACCGCTCCCGATACCGGTAAACGGCTGGCCGATGCCGTTGGTCTGTTCGAATGAGCGGCCGTAGATGGGCATGCCGAGTACGATCTTTGCGGCTGGTACGCCGGCGGCGAGGTAATCGTTGACAGCAGCATCAGTGGAGAATGGCGTCGACGAGGGGTTGCTCGGGTTCGGGTACAAGTTCGCCTGATGGCCGCTATTGGCATCCCAGGAACCGGCATAATCGTATGCCATCAAGTTGAACGCATCAATGACATCAGAGATCGCTTTGAGATTCAAGACGTTGTAGTGACTGGGGCCAGCAGGTGAAGCAATAGTCAAAAGGTAGTGATAGCCGGGAGTGTATTGGGCGGCGTAGGAGTCCAGCTCGCTTCTGACTGCTTGAAGCAGGAGGACCATGTTAGCTGCTTCGGTGGCGTCGGCTGGATACTCCCAGTCAATATCGATGCCGTCAAAGCCCCAGTCTTTCATGAGTTTGACAGAGGACTGAGCAAAGAGGGCTCGGCCTTCGGGCGTACTAGCGGCAGCGGGGAAGTTGGTCGACCATGTCCAGCCTCCAATACTGAGCATGACCTTCATTCGGCGGTTGGCCTTCTTCAAAAGGTAAAGCTGTTTGACGCAGCCGTAGGCGTTTGTGCCGACATCGTTCCAAGCTAGATCCTCAATGAGTCAGCATGTGTCGGTGTTATATCAACAACGAACAACAAGCCTTACAATCAGTAGGATAGTGCTTCTCCAAATCGGCGTAGGTATCGGCAGTGTAACTTTGAGTGGGTTGGAATGTTAGCTTGCCTGTTCCTGCGCTAGTCATCTAGGTCGAGCTGTGAATTGACCTACACTTCACCAGTCGCGCGAAGATTCATGAAGGCATAGAGGACATTGGTGATCTGTGATGCTGGAAGATTCTGGGGCTGATAATTGCGACCGTATATCGCCCTTGAATGATATTAGCTGAGCTCTATCACCTCAGGTCTAACAACAACTTGCCAATTAGTGAAGTAGACTGCATTTGTGTAGCCTTGGAGACCTCGCTCCGTGACGTTCGTCGGCGCCGCCGTGGAGGGGCGCACAGCTGTTGAAAGTATGCCACCCATAGTGATTAATGATTGAAGAAGCTTCATCTTGAAAGCGGTATGAATTGATCCGTTAAATAATTTGCTAAAGGAGTGAATACGAGAATGTCTCTGCAAGTCAGGTACACGTCACTGGACATGAAGCGATCAACTGATCATATTATACTAATCGAGTCCGTCGATGTTAGACAAGACGCTATCTACAGTAGTCAGCCGTCAAGCAACAATGTCATTGTTCAAGTCCTGACGTCCAGTCGTCTGGGTGTGACTTGCAAACCCGGTCCATTCCCAGCGAAACGTTACGCGTCTTCAAATGAGGTCGTCAATTTTGACTAGGCTTGTAAACCCCTTAGATCCGCTTCTGCGATTCAGTCTTGGTTTGTCGGTCTGTGCATGTGCAAAAATTCGAGCGCGTCGTCTGTTTGTCACGTTCAAGTGGTAGCAATGAAGTTGACGATGACCTGCGAGCCTGGCCGCTCAATGTACCATTAACACACCATAGTCTCTTGTACCCACCCAGAGTACTGGTTGCAAGTAACAGCTCGGAGATTCGCTGTGAAATTCTATGTGTCAAGGGAGCGCCAACACCAAAGGTGAGGATTTGGCGATGGTGCCCGGTGAGTGGCTGGGGGCGAGGTGAGGGGCCGGGGCTAATGCAGGTGGTAGCCGACTTTCCTCTGTTAGCACAACAAGAGAAGTCATTGAGATTGGCTGAGTTCTGATATTCTTCAGGACCTACCCTTGAATGGCCATGTGCCTACAATTTGGCGAATGTAGGGCGAATGACCGAGTCGGGGCCGAATGTGACCCTCCACTGCGTGGGTTTATCGCCCGTTTGGGACAGGCCCAATGTGAGCACATGCTTCCTTTCTAGCGAATCCCCTAAAAGCTATGATTTTCTTATCGCGGTAAGGGAGTTATAGGAGAGACTTGTGACGTGTTTCTGCCAACTATCAATTCCATTGAGTGGGTGTTGTCTTTGATAACTCAAGCCAACTTGCACTGCCGAGACAACTGAACAAGACAGGCTGTCAAAAGAGAGACTGACCCGCAACAGAAACAGCCAAACTCGGTTCAGAGTTACCCCGGCCCAAGCACCACATGAAAAAGAAATCCTACGGAACTCACCATTCCCTTCTGGAAGGTGAAAATGTGATAAGGCGGCAGCGGCACATCACCCGCTCCGCCCTTTCGTCAAGAACGGCTACATCAGGGGCACCCTTATTGATACTAACACCATCTGAGCAGCTGCCATCTGATGTCTTGCATATTGCAGAGTTGTATCGGCGGTTGACCCCGAGGTTTTCTATGCCATCTGCAATGCCCATGAGGCTCTCTCCAAGTGATATATGATCTGCAACGTTGCAAGTGGAAACCGAAGCAGCGGGTGCTCTAGATTAGGATCTACAAGGAGGAACGAACCACCACTCGACGCCAGGATGATACTCGAGATTTAGGCAACCAGCAACTACTACGATGTTGTGAACGTTGACTACCTCCCGAGTCGCTATCCGGCAATCAACTTGCCACATCTCGTGACTACCTTAGTCATGGAAGGAAATCGGTTCGGTCCGCACGTTACTTTGGTTTGCAACTGACGTTGACCCCGGCCTTCGGCAGTATATATCGTCGAAGGATCAGAGTGAGGAGGCAGAAGCGCCATGAGTTTATTGTTTCAGCGATTAAATCCCCTGCTGCGAGGCACGGGCAAATTGATTGTTGCATTAGATTTGTCTGGCAAACGCTACTCTCTCACTTGGCAGTTCCCACAATTCCAGTAGCACGTTGCTCTGCATCTGCATCTGTTACAGAAGGATCTCGAGCCACTGCAGCTGGCGGATGTTGAGGACGCAAGGCTTCTTGAGCCAAGTTGACAGCATTTCCATCGGCGGCCCCGACCTGTGTCTCGCCGCCGGGTTCCACGTCGGCTTGCTTTTCAGCCAGCTCTTTCTGGGCCTTTCTAATGCGACGGCCTCGTCTGATGGCCCAGATAGACAGACCCATGACCATAGTGCAGAAGACACCGACACTGAGGCCGATGGCTAGGTTTGCCTCCAGCGGGAGATGTCCAGGGTAATAGCCATCGCCCAGGTAGGTTGTACCACCGCCATAGGATCCGCCTCCGGAGCCCGAACCCGAATCACCTGTTCGACATTGAGATGAGGTAGATGAGCACCAATCCGGCATGACGCTCGTTGACGCGGGGATCTGAGCTCCGAGGCTTGAGAACGGAACTAGATTTTCCGTCTGCGTGCTGCTGAACTTTGTCTTCGCAAAGCCAATCTCTTCATTGATTAGGTCAAATACCATGTAGGAATGTTTGAGGAATGTATTGCCCAAGGAGTATGGATAGGAAGAAGACGTGTATGTCGAGGTGGAATTTTCCGACTGGACTCCAAACAGGCAGTACTCGGAGGCCGACTCGGTCTCCCAAGACCACTCCGAATGGGACCAAACATCTTGAGACACCACGAGGTCGGCAAGAGCTACATTCAACACAGGTCCCTCCGATCCGTACAGCTGCACAGCCAAGCGACCCGTGGTGGTGTTTTCCGTGCAAGCAATAATCGCGTAGCCGAGGTCATCATTCCAGGAAGCGCCAGCCAGAGCCCAAAGATCTAAGGCTATGTCGTCGGGTAGCACTGATAAAGCAGCATCTGGCGAGAGAAGCACTAGGTCCGAGGTGTCATATGCGTCGGTTTGTTGACGCAAAGATTCTCCGAGAGGCTGTAGGTCATCTGTATCTGACTTACTACCATTGAAGGACGTGATGAAGGTGTCAAATCGCCTGCTTGTTGACCATGACCCCGTTGTGCGCACTGAGAAACGAAGAAGAGGGCCCTCAAACTTTGATGTATCGATCGCACCCAGCAAAAGATTCCCAGACGTGGCGGATGAATCGTCCAGCCAGAGACTGTACGCGGGGGAGCTAATGAGACCATCTTGTACGAGGCGTTCAGGAACGGTAGGATAATTCGAGGTACTGCTCGGGCTCGCGGTAGATTGTGCACTTCCGGTGGTGTTGAAACCCAGGCCAAGGACACCGATCAATACATCTGCCGATTGAACATAGCCCATGATCATCTTGGATATCTGGCTGCCAGCCACGCCTAGTGTGTCGCTAATCCATTCTCCCTTAGCTCGGCCGACCGAGTACCTAGTGCTAAAGTCCTCGGTGCCGGGGTTGACGTAGGTGGATGACTCGTTGCTCTGGAATGCGCCGTATTTGCACGAATATGAATCGAGGTAATAGGCGCTCCTGGTGGAAGAAGAATCGTAATAGTCGCTATAGTTGTAATAGTCGCAATACTTGGCGTTTGGGACCCAGGTGTGCTCAGCCTGCACGGAGACTCTCAAGGAAATATCTTGTGGCGGTGTACCGACAGTGGCGTTGACCAAATAATTCCAATCCGTCACGTAAACATCCATCGCAGAAACTGATCGACGGTCCGCCACGTCCCTGGTTTCGACATTGCTACTGGCCTTCGGCTGAGGTCGATGGGAGAACGGTAGATGGACTTGCGCTAGGGCAGTGGCAGCGCAGCCACTGAGCGCGAAAAGAGCGGACGTCCTCATGACGATGAAGGACAGAAAACGAATGACGGCGATGAAAGGCGCATGGTGGAAAAGAAGGGAAAAGGGAGAACAAAAGGCGAAGGGTGATAAAGGATCAAATTGTGAGCCGATGCGACGAGAATTTCCGGCTAATGCAGAGCCAAGCGGCACAGTATCTTTCAAATAGGCAGCAGAGCAGTAGCTCAACCAACACGAAGGAATACGATGCTGTGGACAGGGGTTTAGCGATATTACGAGGTGGAGTTCCACCGCTTGAATTGGGTTAGGTGATCTAGAATTCACGAACTAGCTCTAGCTAAAATTCAAGCTTCTTTCTCCAAGCCACCATCAATGGGCACCGGCGGTTGGTTCTCAGTTCTCCAAGGTTAGACTTTCTCAAGGTTCCGTCTTCGCCTGAGCCGGCGCGTTGAGAAGCTCCTTTAACTCACCGAAGGCTTTGAGTATGCTCTCCGATTCTCCCTCCCACTTCTTCCGCGACTCTTCCCCGATCTCTCCGTGGCCCATGGCAGCCACCAGATCCGGTCCGGCCCCACCCGCAAAAGCAAGCGCCGGTCGCGTCGGCGCAACCCGGAGTTTCATGCCCTCCAGCGTCTTCTGCGCCTGCGCTGACGCCGAGTTGCCACCCATGATGCCATAGCTGACTACAGCAATGGGTTTGCCGATCCACTCGTTATACAAGTAGTCAATGGCATTCTTGGTGCCGCCAGGCAGGCCGTAGTTGTATTCTGGAACCACAATGATGTAGGCATCGTACTTGGCGATTTCCATGCTCCACGCTTTGCTGTGCTCGTGGGCGAAGTCACCTGCAGCTGGGACCTGGGCGGGAATGATCTGTTCATCGAAGACGGGAAGTCTGAAAGAAGAGACTTCTACAAGATTCAGATCGATGCCATTGGTGGTAGCATCTGTGGTGATGGTGTCTTTCACCAGTTCCGCGACCTTAGTTCCAATGCGTGGGGTTCGAGTGCTCGTCGCGATGACGGCAACTTTCTTAGCGGCACTCATATCAGTGATAGATTGAAAGATTAGAGATCAGAATGTCTGCGATTTGACTGAATTTTGCAGAGGTTCGACAATGCCTGTGTCAGGTTGAAGTTTGATGGAGTGCAAGTACTCGAAAGTAAGAGTTGTTGCATGTTGGCTAAACAGCCTTTTATACCAAAGATGAACAGCCAACGCCATGTGCACCTAAATTGTGTTACTCGCTTCTGTCTCCAAGTCTTGCAGCTTCAGCTCTCACGCCGCTGATTCATAATCAACTCAAGTAGTCCTGTTCCAGTCACGCCTGACCACGTCAGAGAGATAATCACTGTCTGTGTTCTCGACTTCTCAGAAGCACGCCAGACCCGCGCGCATCGGTCGCGAGAGGCGTCTTGAAGTCAGACAGATGCGCAGCCAAAGACTGCATGTACAGACTACCGCTCTCATAGCAGCCTATGAGAGGTGTCTCCTCGTATCAACCCTGTGTGGCTTCTGTGGTGCTTACACCCGCGCGCAGATGTCTACGTTCTTTCATCCCAACTTGGGGAAAGGCGAAACGAGTCGCGTGCGGGGAACGGTAAGGCGTAGCGACCCGCGCGGAGGTTAGTCATCCACACAGAGATACGTCAACGAATGAAAGAGTTTCCCCCGTACAATGTTTCGACGAACCACCTCCACAATCTCCAACAACTCGGTCGGTGCATCGTGAGACTCAAATTAGCGGTGTGCTTTAGGCGTCCCGCGCTGACCCGCCAGCATCTGTGGACCACCAACCATGATCTGGTTAACCCTGCCTCGGTGGCTCAGTGGTAAAGCGTCTCACTCGTACTGTTGTCCATCATGAGAAGATCGGGCGTTCGATTCGCCCTCGAGGCACCATTGCTTTTGGCCTTTTTGTATCTCAGCCTCGAAGATGATCTGCTTCACACGAGAATAGAGAATATGTGCTCAAGATTGAGACAAGGTTCGACACTGAGAATATAAGGAATGGCTTTCGTGTGGTTGGGCTTGCCACTTTGTTTTCGGAATCGTTTTTACCAGGACTGATCTCATGCGGCGGAATAAGAGCTTGATATGTACATTGATTCACTGTTGCTATGGCGTTGACACGATAGACAGAGAGATGGTTTCTTCTCGGCGCTTTGAAAGGCAGATCATGCAGATGCCAAATGGTCATAAGGTCCGCTCCTGCACATAACTTTTTTTCTTTCTCAGTTACATTGTACTGGACTTATTCATGCTGGACAGTACAACGATCCGGAGCAGCAGGAAACAGCGGCATCTCGGCCTGAATCAGGTGTGCACTAGACACAAGTCAGCTATAAAGCCAAACCGCAGAGCTCTTCTGCAGTGAAAACGAACCTTTGACTTGCAGATCGCCCATGGATCAGCGTAATTGATTCTGCACTACAATAAGTGGAATGTTAATACCTAATCTTTCCAGTGCCTGGAGATCATCCAGAATTCAGTGACAAGTGAGCAATCTTACGTCTTCAAAATTGCAGTCTGAGGGAGGGCCAGTGCAAAATTGCGCAGAAACACCCTGGAAGATGACAGCGGCGGCAAGGAAGAGGGTTGTGGATTGGAAGTGCATTATGAATCTGTACTCGGAAAGATGCTTGGTGCAGAAGATTGAGCTCGATAGCCAGGTGTCGAAATTATGGTGATTGTGAAGTGTGATTGATGTGATTAATCAGGTAGTATTGTCAATGTGGATGTTGTAGGACTATTTGTACTTACATCATCTACAATTGGCTCAAGCTCCGCAGTCCGTACAGAGTCAAGAGAGATCCACATCGTAAGAGAAGGTTTTTGGAATGATGTCTCAAGGGAAGAAAAGCTGCAGTGTACGGATACTGGACTTGTCGTAAATAGAGTAAAGGACGTGCCTGCGGAACCAAGCAGCAGCAATTCGCGTGCGCACTAATGGCTACATCCTGTATCTACTATGTCGACTACATATACCTGGCGGATAGCTCCATTTCTTAGTTGCTACCGGGCTTCCATGCAGTGCAATTAAGTTCGCTATTGATAAACATGAGACGAGACCCGCCTATTTTGTAGTTGACTCTGACTCGCTCTCGGCTCAGATGATGGAGTTTGCAACGGAATGCCGGCTTCTTCATACAGCGTTAAAGCATCTGTTGAGCTCCGGCCAACTTGAGCCCTTGGAGTTGAAACGGGATGTGGCATACTGAGGGGAGGCAATGACTCCTAGAGACATTGAGGCGGGTTCAGCTGCGAAGTCCGCCCGTATTTGTGAGTGATGTGGGGGCAGTCTTCTAAATCGTCCATGTTCCCAAGGCTCCGAGTAACTTGGAATCAATTCGACATGCGTTACCCAACATGTGGCTTCTAGGGAACCATACATGAGGTGCTTAAGTTGGGCTTCAATTGGTGAGAGTCAATGTATAGTAGTTTTGTCTATCTACGTAGATTAAATTGTGCCAAAAAAGCACTACTCTATGAACGACCAGAGGAGGAGCACTGGCTGGGTATCTTCCGCGGTTTTAGAGTCTCGATCGCTACCTAGTTATGTTTAAATCCACTGCATCACATATCCTTTTCTCGATCAGCGTCGCAACAGTTTGCAGTGCCTCTGCGATTGTGCACTTGGTACCGTATCCAGTGCAGTCAAGTGTCGGGCTTGATTTTGTCTTGCCGCGGAAGCTCCCTATCTTAGCTCATCAACCGTTCAAGTTCAGAGTGCGTGCACTCACTGCGCTACTCCACCGCGCTGGGCGAACCGATGACATGATCTGACAGGGGCGTGCTGGGCCTCGTCGCCGACAACCGCAACTGAACGGGAGTCTTTTTTTCCATGGCGCCACTCCTTGCTAAACACATGTCTAGACCCAAGACCAATGACGGACCGCGACCAGGACCCTTGCTAATTCAACTTCTCAATTCTCTCTTGTGAAATTGTCAGCAATGAAGACCGTTGCGGTGCGGCTTGCAAGGGGGCTTGCCTTGGCCAGTCCAACTGCCACCAACCAAGGACTGAGAGACGAGGGAATATGACGTCACCGAATAGTCGTCCCTCGCCAAGAGCGCGATGGCATCGAATGAGGTCAATGATTGGGATGGGTGACAGAGCCGTCAGCAAGATGGAATCCTGCTTGTCGGACCTCTCGACTAGACAAGTTCTTCTGTCCATTGCAACATCAACCATTTACGTGGACGGTCGAGTTTCGAAAGATTGTCAGATATATCTGCAAAGCCGGCACCTCCATCGGCTGCATCCGATCCCGATTCCTGTGCATCAAATTTCACAAGGATCATCCTCCACGAACCACTACTCTCTTTCACGTTAGACAAGGACCATTTCTGTACCTGCGGCACCATGAGACGAACCAGTCGCATACTGTTAGCTTCGCTGGCCCTCCACTCCACAGCCTTCGCACAGTCCGACCTGCCCTCAAAACGTGGGCTGGCTTTCCAGGGCGACGACCACACAGCCGACAGCCAATTGCTCACCTCCGCAAAGTCGTTGATCAGCTGGTATTACACATGGTCAACATGGCCTGCACAGGCCCTTAACAGCTCCATCGCGTTCATCCCGCTCGTCCACGGCGTCGACGATGCCTCAGATTCAGGCCTCAGCTCACGTCTCAACGCACTACCTGAATCATCCACCCATCTCCTCACCTTCAATGAGCCCGACGGAACGACGTCATCTGGCGGCAGCAGCATCGACCCAGAAGATGCCGCTAAAGCCTATATCGAGCACATTGTGCCCTTCCGCAACTCCGGCTCTCGCAAGTGGAACATCAGCCACCCGGTCGTCACCGGCTCCTCGCAGGGTATCGAGTGGCTGCAAAAGTTCAACGAGTCTTGTTACGACATTGACGACAACGGCTGCCCAACCGACTTCGTCGCCGTGCACTGGTACGGCGACGCGACCGGCCTCAAGAACCACCTCGACGGGCTGCGGGATTTCTACAACTCCACGTCGCCAGATCTCAAGTACTGGATCACGGAGATGGCCCTCCCTAAACAAGACACGGATGCAACTCTTGCCATGATGAACGAGAGTCTGACGTATTTGGATGGACTGGACTATGTCGAAGGTTACGCCTGGTTCGGTGCCTTCCGCAAGGACGAGGCCAATGCCTGGACCGGTAACTCCGTGTCGCTATTTGATGGCGACGGCGGGCTGACAGACCTCGGTGCTTTGTACCTCGGTGGAGACGAACGAGGGTTCGAAAAGGGCCAGAAGGGCGAAGGCAACTTTGCCGGCTCGCTGTCTCCAACAAGGGCGCTGCTTTGGACGACTATTCTTGCCGCCGTCGCGACGTTATGGTAGACGTTTCCAGGATCAACAAACGTCGAGCATAATATTTTGCTTGATTGAGGTTATGTACGAGGACATGTTTACGATTCTTCTTTGCATCTACGTACAGATGAGTGTGCAGGTCACACATATTACACTTATAGCGAGATTGATACCTATTTCATTAGATTTTTCAACTCATACAACAGACTAGGAACATACAATCAAGACATACAATCAAGACATCCAATATGTGTAAAACTCAGGAGCAAACTCAAATTCTGAAACATACTCTGGAGACTGTAATTCTACCAACGAACAGAACAGTGGTTCTCAATTAAGGTAATCGACAGTCTCTAACCCTCATTGAGGCAGCTCGTGTCGAACATGCTGCTGGTTAGATAGCTCGGGAGCAACCGTGTTGGCATAGCACCAAACGAACTGTGAATTCGGACCACCAGTTTTTGAGCCGTCGTTCTCAGTCATCTCTAATGTTTGCGTGGTATTCGCCGTCTTCTTCTTCTCGCGCAATAGCATCACAGCTAGTGCTCCAGCAATAATCGTAAGAGGCACACCGACGCCAACGCCAATACCCGCCGCGGCGCCTAGAGAAATGCTGCCTTGGCGGTCTGTATCGCTGCCCACAGGGCACGTAACAGTGCTATTTCCAGTGGTCGATGTAGCTGCGGGACTGTCTCCAAGATCCGTGCTTGCCGCTTCGTTCAACATAATTTTGCCGGGAAGACTGACGGTGAAGTTGCCGGTCGCGCAATTCTGAAGGTTGCTGCAAGAGAATCGTGCGTTGCCACAAGTCCAGACTCCGATATGGAGCGAACTGTCTATGAGGCACGATTCCATATATCAGCAATTATTCTCATGAATGGGATTGCCTAGTAGTTGTCGATCGAAGCCACACTCACCGCCTCCAGGTATGTCGCTCTTGTCGCAGTACTTGGGACAACCGCTTGACTGGAAAGTATCATCGATGCAAGCCCCACGATACATAGTCAACGTCAAAGGTTCGAAGCAGAGACCGTTTGTTAGGCAATAATGGTCTTCGAAACAGCACGCGGCTGCTTCGGTGCCCGCGGCAACAGGGCAAGGTTTGACGACATCGTTGGGGACCCCATTAGGCCAGTAACAGGTTTGTCCAGTCGCTAAAGTTGCCACCAGGGATATTATAAAATAGAATCTAAGGTCCATTTCGCTCGGAATATCAAATACTCAATGTACGCTGCGTGTGATTCTATCACCTGTTTAAGGATGGATTGAGCTTGACGATGGGATATCACCTCGAGATATAGATGAGAATTCTGAGACGTAGTGACGTCCGAGGGTACCTTTTCAAGCTGAATGACTCCTTATTCCTCCCGAATCAATAATGCCTGGCCAAGAATTGAAGGTCTGCGTGCATGGCCTAAGGTTCGGGGATCCTACATGTTCATGTATGTTGAACAGAGGTCTGGTGATTGTTGTGTTAGAAGCGTCATTGACTAGCTGCGCCCCCTCCTACATGCATTATCCGGAAACTTGAGCAATCATGAGCTTTTAGGTATTTCTGAGTAAGCTCAAGTACCCACTAGGCTCGACTACTAATCCGCGTACAGTGATACGAGCTCCAAAGCCAAGTGATAAGCTGCGCTCCTAGAATCCTCATTACTTGCCAAGGTGTGATGATCTGGGAAAGAATGGTCGTCATTGCAGGCCATGGACTGCATGCTCGGTACAAATTAATACCTAGCGTATGGCCGTGCATGGGAGGAACCCTAGAGCTTAAAGACTGAAGTCAGCACTGACTTCATACCGGTGCGAATTGATACTAGGTGTCCTGTGCACATGAGCCAACCCAGATATTAGATGCATTTCCTTGCATGTCAGTAACGTCGAGGAGTACAGGCTCAAGAATAGATCGTAGAAGATTTTGAAGGCTAGATATCTACGGTTAGTTGCAATCCGACCGGACGCAATGTTCATATGAACCTCGGTTACTTGGGCACATAGGCCCAACATGGTCCAAGGCAATGGAGAGTTGCGTCGACTCGGGCTACTATCCAATCAACAGCATCGAACACGGGTGAGAGAGCCTGCAATCCATGACTATATTATTCCCGATGGAGCCACTCGAAGAAAATTTCCAGACATTGACACATTGTTCACTTGTTTTATCTGTATTCGTATGCAAACGCTGGTAGAGACGGTATATATAGGAAGCATGCTCCCGCCGGCACCGCCGGACTCGGCAACAACGCGCCCTTGGTAGACAGTGTTTGAAACAGCTGCGAACCGCAGTTGCGTGCTGCTAGAAAGCCTGTAGTTCGTTGTTGCGGCTTTAACTCATTAAAATCGGTTCCTTCTGACAGAACAAGGTTGACGCTACCAGAGCTTGGACGAACCACGGGAATTTCCTCGTGAATTCTAGCTTGCGGCACGGACAGTGTCCAAATTAGAGGCGGGCCACCCCGTGTGCCGAGAGTTCCACCATCAAGCGGCAATATCCGAATCACGGAATGGTTTTGACGTATTCCACAGCCAAGACACTGCTGAAGCTTAATAAATAATCTCGAACTCAGTTGATCGTTCCTAGTCATGGACTATAGGACTTAGGACTTTGCCTTAGTCTAGCCAATTTAAGTCACGAGTACTTAATTTGTACTGTGAGAGCTCAGTACCGGAATGTTTCCAAACGTAGGTTGCCTTTCGCCATCATATTTGTGGCTTAACCTCTGACAATGGATACTATTTTGACATTGACCAAGTGGATATTGGAAGCCGAATGAAGAGTGATGGGGCAAACACAAGTAAGCCCTTGCACAGGATGCTTTTGCAAAGACTGAGAAACAAACGAGGCAATGGCCAAGACTAGAAGTAAACAAAGCAGTGAATGAGGACTGAGACTCTCGCGCTGGACGAACCGACACACCCTGGTCTCCTGATGGTGCGCGTACGGACAAATCCGATCTTGAGTCAGATGGGAGTCTGGGAGAGGGACATAATGGCACTTACCTAAGTCCTTCAAATTGCTCTCGAAATCGTAAGGCATCGCCTCGTTTTCCCCGGCGACAATTTATTTACAGTTTTGGTCTCGTTCCGCGGCCGCCCACCAACACATGCACCAGGTTATGAAGAAACATAGTGCGTCCCCGACGTGAAACTGCAAATAAAGTCTACATTGAGCAGCTGTTTCCCTTTGCTCTGAGACCTCTTCCATTGTCTACCCACACTCTTTTGCTTCTTGCTAACCGTCACTCCTTTGCCGCTATCATGTTGTTGAAATCTCTTAGCCCTCTTCTGGGCTGCCTCGCCGTCTCCCAGACCGTTTCTGCATCACTATTGCCCCGCGATGGCGATGACTCTGGTGGTCACCCCTGGATTAATCATGACGCCGTCGTTCCATTCACTCAGAAGCCTTCAGTCGTTGGTGGAAGTTTGGAACTTCGTTTCAACCCCTTCCTCTTCGTTTCGGGAGGTTGCGATCCTTACCCGGCAGTAGATGCCCAGGGCAACCTTGGGTAAGTAAACTTCCTTTTGTTTTCAGTTACTCCTCTGGCATAGATTACTCTTGAGGATGACACCATGCTGATACGATGTGAACTAGCGCTGGTCTGAAGCCTACTGGTGGTGGCCGCAGTGGCTGCGGTGATGGTGGCTCGGCTCAAGTCTATGTCCGTCGTGGAGAGAGCCAGGGCCGGAAGGCAATTATCTACAGTTATTACATGCCCAAGGTCCGTTGGGCCAAGGGAAATAACAACGGTCATCGCCACTACTGGGCTAGTGTCGTTGTCTGGGTCAACCGCTTCGGCTGCGACGACAGCGACATCACGTCCATCTGGCCCGTCGGAATCTCCTACACCACTGACCACCTGAACTGGGGCTCGGCTTCTGCCGGAGAAGTCTCTTTCAGGTCCTCGGATGTTGGCATCGATATGGCTACACACCCCAAGATCCAAATTCACGACGAGGCCATCGCGCCCTTCACCGGCGCCGATGGTGATAAGCTTTTCGAGCGTACCCTCATCAGCTGGGACTCCCTCCCCGCGCTCGCAAAGAAGGCGTTGACGGACGTCAAGTACGAGAAGACCCAGGTTCCCTTCACGGACGAGCACTTCCAGGCTCAGATTGACGCTGCCTACCGTGATGGTTTCTATGCTGGTGTAAAGAAGGAGCCTGACTGCCCTTCAAATGATGTGCCTCCAGCCGATGACCCGCCTGTCACTACAACGGCCGCGGCTGCCGAGCCTACCGGCTTGGACAAATAATCAATGACTACCTAGTTTGGAAGAAGTGGTTCGGCTTTCGACAGTTGGGTTAGGCGGCAGTTCTTGGGTGAACGATCGGACGAAAGTCTGTCTGTACTGATCTATTTACAATTCGTTCACCGGTTTGTCCATAGAGAACTTGAGAAGGCCATCCGATACTTAGACGAGGAATAATAAGTCTTAATTTCCGAACAATTTCACCACATGAGAGCCTAGATACATGGTAACATTTACTTCAAGTGTCCAGCGTACAGTTCTAAAACTCTTCGGAGCAGGCTAGATAGCGTCGCAGCTCTTGATGAACGTTTCTAAAAGTTCAATTCGAGATTATCAGCATGATCTACAGATTTCTTTAGCCCCAGTCATTATATGTACTGCGTATTCCAGACTGTCTCCTGAATGTTATAGCACAGCGACGTTGAGCGTTCAGATCGGAACATCTCAGTTGAGGCGTCATATTTACGTGCCCCTTCGATGGGAACAAATTGTTTATCTTGTGATATGGCAATTAACAAACGTGACTTAACCGCAAAATTTGACAAACACTTATTTTTACTTCGGAGTAGATAACCCCCTAATTTTGCCTTTATAGACCTGAACTAAGCACATCCGCCTGATGTTTATGTGATACTGGCCACTATCCACCGTGGATACAGTTGGTGAGTTTTCGCCGATCTGCCTACTGTTTTGAGTTCTATTAGATATCTGACGGCAGAGGCTTGTGCGAAGCGGTGGGCGCCGGTGGGGCCTTGGAGGGCATCGGGCCAGCCGGCTCCGGATCAGTGGGGTCACCTCCATCCTCATCGCCGTCGCCGCCCGGAAGATCGGCATAGAAACCCTCATCGAATGCCTTGTTCAAGTTATCGCCAAAGTTCTTGTCGATAAAGGGGACCGAGGTGTGCTCGAAAATGGCACCGTCTAGCTGCTTCTGCGCAGGCTCCGGGAGCATATCCCAGTCGATGATTGGGAGGTTGAGGGTGTTTTCCATGTTCTCGGTGAGCGGGCCAACGATTTTCTTGCCCCAGTAAGCCACGAGCGGATGCGTGGGTCTGCCCACCAGGCTAGCGCCCGACGACCACTTCGTGGCGGGATATGAGCCAACGTTGTACGCTCCATTGTCGGTTTGGTAGCTGATGCCCACGGGTTGCGCGGTGTTGACTTCGGCACCGTAAACCCATACCACGATGGATGCCCAGTAGTGACGATGCTCCTTGTTGACTTTGGGGACGTAGAAGGAGTACATAATTCCGGTGCGTTCTTTGACTGTGCCAGTTCTGACATAGAGCTGACCTTCACTAGACCCACAGTCACCATTTCCCTTGCCGGTAGGCTTGAGACCGGCACTTCATTTTAGTCAGTCTCAAAATCTTATAGCTAGTCACCATCAGAGACAGAGTAGATGTGCACATACCCGAGATAGCCTTCAGCATCTACGGCTGGGAAGGGAACACATCCTCCCAAAACTTTGATGAAGGGCTGAAAACGAAGTTGAAGTTCTCCCTTAGATCCAGAAGCAGCTTCAGCTGGGAGAGAGTGGATGTCGTCATGGTTCTTCCACTTGCCATCTACGGCCACGTCCTTTACTCGCGCTTGTAAGGTGGCCGAGAGGACACTCGGGACGCTGGCAAGCAGGAAAGTTGCAAAACTGATTAACTTCATTGTTTCGGTCGAGCTCGAGTTGTCGAAGAAGGTGGTAAATGACAGTCAGTGTCTGCATTGGCTATTATATATCTCTGGCCACCTGGCGGCGTCGTCCATGGGAGCAGGCGTCAAAAGGCTGCAGTCTCCGTGGAATAGATTGAATCAGGCTATCATCTCGTAACTCGAACACAATATTCCAGCGGCTAAATGAACGGAGAATCACGGTGAAAAAGCATAAACAGTCGAGCCGTTAGGGATAGCATCCACTTTCAACGAATTGCCGTAACCTTAACATTACTACCCGTTGGAAAATGAGGCTTAGTTACCTAAGTGATCATCATGGTCTGTATACGCTAAACGTACAGACCCAGACGCATCAGAAGATTTTGTTCCCCATGCCTGGTGACTTACGAAGCATGATTGAAACATCTCGTGATTGTGTGAAAAACAGAAAAAGCAAAAACGGAAATTTGGACGGTCGCTCCGAAACTCGTTTGGGCACCTTGATAGTTCCACAAGGACACGATTGAGAGACCTATTAGCTATAACAAGATCGGCGAATATCAGATCTTTTATCTACCTAATAGCCTCAAATCTAGGCAAATCCTCATGGTCTTTGGTTTGCTTAAAACTCCCAGACTCCCAAACTTTACGGATTCAAGGCTTCTGGCCGCATCCTCATCTCCAGCTTCTACTTCTTCAAACTATTCACAATGCGTTCCCTCTACTATTTTCTCCTTCTCAGCCTTTCGCTTCTGGGAGTCTATGCCGGTATCTTGGAAGAGCACGGGTACACGGTTGAGGAATACCAAAATGGACTATACATCGTCACCAGTCCCCATTACTCCGGGGGAAACGCTCCGCTTGACAAGGTCAGAATCAACGTGGAAAAGAAAACCATGACCGTCTACTTGGCCTACAACGGCAAGGAAGAGGACCACGAGGACAAGTTGTACATGTCCCAAGTTCTAGCGGCTCTTTGCGATAAGGAGGGAATCGATCCCGACGATTTGTGGTGGGTCGTCATTGACGACGTCGAAAACGTCGCTACAAAGACAGCCATGACCCAGTACCGCACCAAGTACGGCCTCCGTTTCAAAGACGAGATCAGAGTCAAGCCCGATCAGGAAGCGGACTGGGCCATCTTCAACCAAACTCCTTTCTACCGAGCCGTATACCGCATGCTTCCTCGCAAGGGCATTGACCAGATCATTATCAAGAGGGAGGACGGTCAGACAAATATGTATCTCTCAGTTGAGTGATGGCCTGGAGTAAGTTCAATCTTTTTTGACACTATCATTGTCGGTGTGTGTGAGTTTGACTGATCGCGTGTAGTCAGTAACTTGACTTGGGGAACACGATGATGAGTTGGCTCCTTAGTGACTGGAGGGGCTGGAAAAAAGTGGTGCTATCCCAGACGTTCGTCCCTGTGGTATCTGTAGCACTCGAACGTAGCTGTACAGCTTTTGAGCAAAAGAATACATACAATAACTTACTTGCCTCATCGAAGGAAACCAGGAGTAAAGGGGACTGGCTGTCTTACGACACAGAAGTAATGGTGAAACCTTCTGGCCGTGAGAGTGATGTTTTACACTCAGCCTCATGATAGAACGTTGTCTCGAACGGGTTTTCACGTGACTTCGTGCTGGGTTTGACCATCGTTACGCCTAGTTAACCAACCCCATCGGCCCTTGAAAATAAGATGTTATGGGCCCCATAGCAGACAAAGTCGGACTCGGTCTATCACTGATATTACTGAAAACCTCCCAGCGGCTGCATAGGACCGGGAGTAAGAGGGTGCGTCTACTGGTAGTCTCCGGCAGCTGAATTTTAACTCTTTTCTTGATTCGCTACGTTGTTTAGTTTTGCCATCTTACTGTGACAACTCGACCAGGATTATGTGGCGTGGGCAGAATCTCAAGCTGATGATTTTTACGCCTCGAAGGTGGGGTCATTGAGGATGGATGCAAAACATTAGGATGATATGAAAGCTATGCCGCCATTCAGAAAACTCGAATAAATGGCATTCCTAGGCAGGATGAAGTGCATCGCACGACGTGGGCATAATATGCGCCTCAAGTTGTGATATCGGAGCAAACATTGGGGCAACTAGTTCATGCTTGGTAAATGAAGGGTCGCTGCGAACCGGAAGAAGTGGGGTTGCAACTCGGCTAGCCAAACTCTCAATGAGTGACAATTAATATGGGCTTGAATTGAGTTGACCCAAACTAGCTTTGATTAAACGGTCTGTGAGGCTGATCAACTCGGTTTCTTCGGCCATTCCCGCCCCGCCTGAATTCTTGCAAATTACCTATCTTCTCCAACGTAGCCGGACTCACCGATACTCAACGGCCTGTGCTTCTATGAGTGGCACCTTCGTTCACCGCTGTGATAATCCGCAGGTGAAAAAGGCTCCGGATGGTGTTAGTCATTTGTTTCGAGTTTCCTAAGCCTAGTAATATACTGTGGCAGATAGCATCCGGACAAGCGTTAAAGTTGAGTTGCACTCAATGAGTGATCGGCGAGTTTTCAGGCATTAATGTCGCTACATACACCTCTACTCGGGCTATGCATATTACTATCAAACATATGTGTCTATGGCAGGTCGGTAACGCCGCCTCTCGCATTTGTTCCTTTCCAATTACCTTACCCTATATCATATCATCGGCTTTTGGGGAATGTGGAGTTCCTGCCAAGGCACTATGTTCATGGCGTTGAGTGAGTAGAGCAAACTGAATCGGTCAATCATATTTCACCGAGAGTTTCTACAACTTTTCCATCCCACACTGTATTTGAGTTGAGTGTGCCTCCATCCTTACGAGATGCTAATTTTCAGTAAAACTGGCGCTGAAAGCCAATTTTATTGCAAGTAAGGCTATCAAGCTGACGGAAACTCCGTCATCGACACAAATGCCCGTCCTAGATATAAGGAATCATCCACGCAAACCGTGCCATGTATTAGACTAGCTATACTCCAGAGGACACTGCACTCCTTCTCAGTCCTCCAGTCACTCCTTAATTGCCCATCATGATCCGACACGCATTGACTTTGCTTCTGCTCTCGACGACCATTACTGGTCAGGTCACCTCTCCCGACAGTCCTTACAACCCCGAGTCGCAGGATGACGGCGATGCATTGGCAGAGAGGGCCGTCAACCCTGGGATTAAGCCTCTCCCAAGTGTGAAGCCGGCCCCGGGCTCGAAGCCAGCCCCGAGTGTCGTGCCTCCCCGAAATCAGACGTCATCTCACGTTCCATCGACGTTCTCCAAGTCGATCCGTATCACCACTTCCTCTCACTGGAGTAGCTATGCTCCTTCCTCTTCCCGGAAACCGACATGGAGCCCGCTTCCTTCTTCTACCCGGAAGCCCAGTCAACTTCCTTCCTCAACCTGGCATAGCAGTGCCCTGAAGCCGTCGTCCACGCCGGCCCCGATCCATGTGAGCAACGGAGAGACGGTTGCCGCAGCTGTCGGCGCGGTGATTATCGGAGGAATCCTGGGTGGCTTTGTCATGGCGCCCTCCGGTGCGCTTCTGCCCATCGCGGCGGGACAGACTGCCGTGTTGTCGGCAGCGGCCGGCTCCGGAGCCGCTGGGTCGATGCCCGAATTCGAACTGGATCCCGTTGACGACAAGCCTGATCTGCCCGAGTCCGTCCCGGAGGTCAAGCCCACTCAGCAGAAACCCACCGAGAAGCCCACCGAGAAGCCTGCGACGCCTACACAGGTCCCCACTCCCTCTCAGTCCTACGATCCTTGGACTTCCTCCGCGGCACCGTGGTCCTCCTCGGCTCCCCCGTCAGAGTTCCCTTCTTCGACGAGCGCACCCTTCTCCTGGACCTCATCAGAGCCTGCCTCCTCTCTTGTGACCACCTCATCTGTGTGGAGCACTACCATCCCCACTTCTACTTCATCGGCTGCCCCGACCAGCACTGCTCTCAACTGGATTGACCACGACAAGGTCGCCGCCTTGAATGAGGCAACTTCTCTAGGACTGGAGGGTCAACTCCAACTCCGATTCAACCCCGAGCTGTTCGTTTCTGGAGGCTGTGATCCCTACCCGGCCGTTGACGCCTTCGGAAGTCTTGGGTAAGCCAAAAAAACAACTTGAAACAACATAAAAGATAGCATGAGCTAATCATCATTTACAGAGCTGGTTTGAGACCTACCGGTGGCGGACGAAGCGGATGCGGCAACGGCGGAACCGGGCAGGTCTACGTCCGCCGCGGAAGCAGTCAAGGCCGTACCGCCATTATGTACTCATACTACTTCCCCAAGGTCCGCTGGGCCAAGGGCAACGACAACGGCCACACTCACTACTGGGCCAGCATCGTCGTCTGGGTCAACCGCTGGGGCTGCGAGGGCGACACGGACGTATCGGCCGTCTTCCCCGTTGGCGTGTCGTTCACCAGAGACCACACGGTATGGGATACTGCACAGACTGGCGACATCTCCTACTTAGAGTCGACGCACCCCAAGATGCAGATTCACGACAACGCCATGTCGCCTTTCACGGGCGCCGATGGTGACAAAGTCTTTGAGCGCACTCTCGTGGCTTGGGATGCCCTTCCTGACGCAGCTGAGCGCGCGCTGTCTCTTGTTGAGTATGAGAAGACCCAGGTGCCGTTCATTGACGCCAACTTCCAGACCTATCTCGATGCTGCGTATAAGGAGAGCTTCTACGGCGCCTTGACTGATCAGCAGGGCTGCGGCGGCACCAACTAGGTGAAGTGAGCCTTAGTATTCGGATATCGTGGAAGCTGAAGCTTTGGATGCGAAGTACGCATACAAGAGTAGCTGAATAGATTGATACTACGAATTAATCACCAACTCTAATCAATTTGCGTTGAGAGTCACGTGCATGTCAGGTTACAATTTGGAGTCTCTCACATTACTTTTACGTTTAAAAAGACCCAGGATATTCAACCTCACCAACCGGATCAAATACCGCACGCGAGGGCCTGACCATTTGATGAATAAACTACTCGGAATGGCTGGAAGACAGGACGACATTCCGAGACCATCAGCCTGCCTCGGGCACGTCACCGAACTCTTCATCCCGCCGGCGAGATCTTGCCTATTTCAATAGAGGTCCCCCATGCTTCAAATCCCGGGGATCCCACTTGGACCGAACCATTGGAGACAGCTATCCATTCTAAACACCCCCTTGCCCCTCCATCTTGCCAGGTCTGCCACAAAACTGCGAAACACAGCCCATCCAATGCTATCTTGGTCGCTAATCTGGCAGAGCCTACGTTCCGGCTGTCCGTAACAGGCAAGGTGGAGCAGTGACAACGTCAAGCGCGGGGCCGGATTTGCTTCGAAAATGCACGAAATGCGGGGAAAGATGGGAAAGATGGGGATGAGGGTTGGCCAGCGTTCCCGCCGGTTAAGCCTGATTCGGTAATTTTCCGCCGGCTAGTTGCCTTATGGGTTTCCCGCGGGTTATATTCCCTTTCACGAGATGCTCGTGGATACGTGAGGACGCCACTCTTGGGCGACGAAATTCCCCAATGAGGGACCTGGAGATGTAGATGACGGAGGGTATATAAGGGGATTCAGAACTCTTGAGCAATGACTGCGATCCTGCGAGTTTGTTTTCATGCCTCTTTCACTTTCTCAAAGTGCTGTATCCTGATCACGAACACTCCATATTTCTTCCCGCCCGCATTATAGACGCCATAACTAGTAGATATCTCTGTTGAAACTCTCTCGAATCTTCACAATGCCTCACGCTGAATCACCTACGCCTGATGCCCCTCCTACCATCAATGGTGTCCAACTCCACGTCAACGACGACCTCCTCTCCGCCAACGAAGTCGAACCCCTCATTCAATCCCACCTCACAGAAGACTTCGATGTCCTCCGCCAACGGTACCGTCAACACGGCTACCTTCTCATCAAGGGCCTCATCCCCCGCGAAGACGTGCTCTCCGCACGCGAATCATACTTTAACTCCCTAGCCCCTTCAGGCGTGATCAAGCCCGGCACGTCTCCGCGAGAAGGCATCTTCGACGACGCAAAGTCAGCCGCGGATTACCCAGGCATCGGCGCCGGCAGCGTCAAGAACGCGGCGCCGGGCGAGACAGACCGCTCTGAGATCTTCACCGAGGCGGCGCTCAAGGCGCATACCGAGGATTGGTATGCCGGCTCCGAGGACGGCTCAGTCCGGGGCTTCTGCAACCACCCGGTCCTCCGCAACTTCGTCGCCGAGTTCACGGGCTGGGGTGACGAAAACACCCTCACCGTAAAGCGCACGCTCCTCCGCAACAACACCCCAGGCAACAAGGCCATTGGCGTGCACTATGACCAGTCCTTCATGCGCTACGGCGAGCCGACGTCCGTGACGGCATGGGTGCCGATCGGAGACGTCCGGCTCGAGGGCGGCGGGTTGATTTACATGCAGGACGGCGAGAAGCTTGGCGAGGAGATTGAAAACGAGTTTACAACAAAGGCGAAGGCAGCCGGGATGAGCGATGAGGAGACAAAAAATGCGTTCAATGCGAATATGATGAGCACGGGATTCTTGTGTGATGGGCCGGCGGACTTTGGACGGCGGTATGGGAAGAAGTGGCTGGTGAGCGCGTACGAGGCCGGCGATGTTGTCTTCCATTCGGCACACATGGTATGTTTCTTCCGCATTTGCATCAGGAAGTATGTTTGCAGATTGCTGACTGCGACACTAGATTCATGCTTCGACCAAGAATTACGACCCTGAGGGGCGCATCCGACTTGGAACGGATCTGCGCTTTGTCGACAAGCGCCGCCCATGGGATACTGTAAGTCATGTTCTGCCTGCTTGCGATGCCTTACTTTAAGAACGTCCCTAATAAATAGCAGCGTTGGGATAAGCATTACAGCTTCAACGATGGCGTCTGATCCGACCGGGGCCATTGCGCGTGACGCCGAGAACGTTCCGACGCACGCAACCACGATGCAAAATTGTGTGAAGAGAAGAGATAGAGTCGACAATGACCATGACACATAGCCAATGAAATTGAATCATCTTGATTGAAAGCTATCAAGTTGTGACCATTGCTCCTTCAAAGTCTTTACCAACGCCCCTGTCTTCCATTGGACGATGGTCCTTACTTGTGCGAGATACTTGATTGTATGTTCTCGTTCGAGGGGATGTCTTATCAAATGGCCGCCTGAGAGAAGTGTTAGGGTCACGGGGCTAGCAGATATATCGTATCGATTGACTTACACAAAGACAGCATGTGTGCGGGCAAGTAGTATGCGTTGACAGCCTCATTTGACCGGGCCAAGCCCATGAGCATACATAAATAGAACGTGATTTCACGCTGTGTGATGTTTAGTCGAGTGCATGCGTTTCTTTCGACTGCAACTCACCTCGCTGTCCATCCTCTTCTTCGTTCCCTCAAATCCTGCTGTCGGATTTGAGCTGTTGTAATCCTGGAAGGAAAATATCGCTTTCGAAGCGTAGTAGTACCCGAGTGCAACGGTGCCTGCATGGGCCTTGCTGTCAGTGACTCTCCTACTCCATAAAGTCAAGAGGAACAGAGCAGCGTTTGTTATGTGAAGGTTCATACCTGGATCTGCGGCCATCCACAGGGTCGGGAACGGTCTTCCTTTGGCCACATCCGCCCGTTCATAGAAAAGGGGCTGGAAAGATAGTGGCTTCTCTTTAAACCACACGTCGACGTCATTCTGCAACTCCTCCCAAGTCTCTGAGCTGCTTGTGCTGAATCCCGATCCGTCCTCCGGGAAGAAGAGTTTCAGCACTTTCGCAAACAGATAGACGATTCGGTTCGCGTGCGCTGTGTCGTCGTTGCTTCTGAACGTAGAAGACCTCTCAAAGTTTTCTAGGCAAATCTCGATTGGCGTCCTGCGAACTAGGAACACATAGAGTGCCTGTCGTAGGTGGACCCAGCTCGCGGCCTCAGCCAGCCCGCCTTGCGTCACGAAACGGGCAATGGCGTCGTGATTGAGCAGGTTCCTCGTGCCTCGAAGGTGATGGTAGTGGGAGTCTGTCTCGTTGTCGTACTCTTCGTAGAGCCGCATGATCACAACAGCCGTCAGCAGAATCGAGTCCCATGTCTCTGGGGGTTGGGAGAAAGCTTCGATGAGCAGTTCGATGCAGCGATTGTGGTAGTACGTGCTCTCCAAGTCCGATTTTTCGTTTGTGTCGTCGTTCCCCTGCGTATCGAAACGACTGGCTAGTGCGAAGATGCCGTTGAGCAAGATTGGCTTGCGAAGGGCGAGGCGGGGGACGTCAAGGGTGAAAGGGCGAGCATCGTGACACGCATCAATCTGGTATCATTAGATGCTGTTGTATCCTCGCCAAAAAGGACGGAAATGGTGTAAGAGAACACTCACTGAAGGCGCTATTCTCAAGATGTACGTGCGAAACAAGAAGGCCTGGCGTCCGGTAAATCCGCAATGCTCGGGGTCCACGGGCTGAATGCGGAATTCTGCATCCGAAATGAGACTCTCAGCACGCTCCGAGGCAATCTGGTGTGAAGACCCGGCCTGCGTTGACGGCGAGTCCCCTAAGAGATATGAAATCTGGAGCTGTGGCTGCACCTCTCCCGATTGCCACTGTCCGCTATCCGAAGTGGTGCCATCTCGCGCCGAGTCGAGATACCCGGGGCTTGATGTGAGGCTATCCCGGTGTTGTTGGCTTTCCTGCGGCGGCCCGCTGTTCAACACAAAGCCGATGGGCGCACTACCATCGCCGTGAGATCCATGTCCGGTGAATCGTTGTGCCGGGGCCTCGGCCCGGAACGCGTGCGTTGCCGGCGGTGAGTAGCCGAAGTTGAGCTGTCCTTCATATGGCGTCAAGCCGTGCGGGGATGGGTGAGATGTAAAGCTGTTACTTCTGTCGCCCGCTGTACGAACGGACCGGACGGCCGGTGATGAGGATGCCTCGGATGCTGCGTCGTCTACACGACTTACTTCGCTCTTGCGTCGGGCTGGACAGAGAGAGTAAGTTCCTGACCTGCATGGAGGGACTGAGTGATCGGCAAATGAACAAAAACGAAACGCGGTGCGAAAGACAAAAGCTGAAAAGGTCACCTCGGAGAGGAGTGGGCTGGCAGAAGACCCGGAGGGCCCGACGGGAAGGGTGGGCGCGGTAAAGCATCATCTGAGAAAGGAAGGTCAAGTCAAACCTCGGTGATCCGCCTTCTGAACTCTGTCCCCGGAGAGAGCTGCCTTTCTGGAGCTACCCGGCGCATGCTTAAAGCGTAACGTCGTGTCAAAGTGACATTCGAGATCGGCCTCCAAGCAGGCGCCGCAACCCGTCGCGCCGGGTTGAACAACACATTTACGGTGACGCCGCCGGCAGGCGTCACAGCAGCGTCGGGGCTTCATATACGGTCCCGGCCGCCGGAGGAGGGGACCGGAGCCTTATGTTTACTCGTATCCTCTCTCGCCCGCCGAGGTCTACGCAAAAGTCCGAGTGTCATCCGACTGTGAGCCCATCTGTTCGGGTATCTCCTAGGTGTATTGCGGTGTGTGACTGTGCCCTTGTTTCCGTTGACGTTTCTCTCTGCCTTTACCTCGGAGAGTAATCAAATCGACTCTGAATGGGCCGTTGGCGGTGGGTTTGCTTGCCGGAATGGGAGCGGGGTGAGCAGACGACCGTACGATTTTGCGGGGGGGGAATGAAAAGAGTTGAATCCCGCGGGATACATGGCCTTTTGAAGACATGGGGAGCGCTTGGTCGGGGCTCGGGATCGACGCTAGGCGGGGGATAAATT